AAACAAAAATAGAGAGAGAAAGAGAAGGAAGGAAAAGAAGGGAAAGGGAAAAATAGAGAGAAGAGGAAAGGAAGAAGAAAAGAAAAAGGGGAAAAGAAGGAGATCGGGGGCCGAAAGGGCCTTGCCGCCCATGCTGTTGCCCCCCCCCCCCCTCCGCCAAACAAGAGAGAAGGAAGGAAAGGGAAAGAAACAAAAGAAGAAAAGAAAAGAATGGATATCAGTTGCGATCTTCCTGCAAACAAGATGTGGATCGCGGAGAAAGGCCTTTGCCTCTACCCCCCCCCCCCTCCCTCCACGACCACCCCCACCCCCTCCCCGCAAAAAAAAAAAGAAAGAAAGAAGGGAACGGGAAAGAGGAGAGCTAAAATGGAACACAAAAGACGAAGAAGAAAAGAAAAGGATGAAAAGAAGCAGCGATCAGTTGCGATTAATCCCTCCAACATCGTGTGGATCGGGGGGGGAGGGGCGAAAGGCCCCTGCCTCCCTCAGCGAACTTAAATGAGAGAGAGAGAGAGAGCGAGAATAAGGGAAGGGAAAGGGGGGAAAAGAGGAAGAAGAAAGGGAGGGGAGATCAGTTGCAATTTGTCCTGATTTGTACCCCTCCCCCCCCCCACCTCAGCAAAGAGAGAGAGAGAGAGAGAGAGAGAGAGAGAGAAGAAAGGGAAGTGAAAGGGAAAGAGGAGAGAAAGGGACAAAAAAAAAACAAAGAGGAAGAAGGGGAAAGGAATTAGGGAAGATAATAATAATAATAATAATAATATGTCTTGTTTACCCAGGGCAGCCTCATCAGTATTCAAACTGTTGCGATTTGCATTGGTTCTTCTATATCATCATTGTACAACTATCATTGTACAAATGTATTTATATATTCATTTATTATTCCTGTTTGATAACAAAAATATGAATATAAACTCATAACAGCAACAAAATTAAATGTAGAAGGAAACTATCTTGCTGGGAGCAAGAAGCGCAAAAATGATCTTTCATTTGCATGTACATGACTTTTATTATTCATATTGTTAAATTAAATCATGTGAAATAGTATGCATTCAAGCTTTTGGGACTTTTTTGGTGTATTTGTATGAAAGAAAGCGTTTGGAGCTTATAATGCACATGTTGCAATTTCAGGTGCAACTTAGTGTTCAAATATGGGTTACGCACGGCCAGGCATTAGTGTAGGAAATCTTTAGATGTTAATCAGGTATATGACTAAATTACTTGTTTGTTGCCTTACGAACAAAATTATATTTAATCAGGCCTGAATTGAGTCGCAAAACAATCATTGTGTTAAAAGGGAAAAAAAAACATATTTGCTGACATTCGAAATTCCCCAATAAACAATACGATTGGAGAGCGAGTACTCGTTTTGTTTTTCTTCAAAACTTACTTAACTATAAATAGCTGGCCTCTCACAAAACGCAAGTATAGGCCTGATGTGTCATCAGGGGCGTCGCTAGACCTTTTTTCAGTGGGGGGGGGGGGGGGTATAGAGGCCAACGATTACTGACAAAACAAGCTACCAATTAGCGACAAAATTAAATGTCCCAATATCTACAAATTTAACCCTATAAACCCGGGGCCGAAGGCTAAATTGTTATGCGCAAATAGTCATTTTCGTCGACGACATAAATATACAAATTATTTCGTCAACTTAGTAAGCACCATAACTCTATATTTTAATGCAGGCGCGTAGCTAGGATCTTATTTTAGGGAGGGGCGGTATTGAGCAAGCGATTCACTTAAAGAGCGCGCAAAGCGCTCCCTAGGTGGGGGAGGGAATGGTGAAAGGCTTCCCGCGCGAAGCGCGGTAGCTTAGACGTTTCATTAAATTATTATGAAAAGAAGACGATTTGTTGTACCGTTCTCGACTCTTAATCCTTGTCTGAATTCAGTTTCCCCATCCCACGCGAAGCACGGAAGCTTAGACGTTTCATTAAATTATTATAGAAAGAAGACGATATTGTATACCGTTGTCTACTCCTAACCTTGATTGTCTGAATTCAGTTCCCCCCCCCCCCCTCTCGGGCGAAGCGCGGGAGCTTCGACGTTTCATTAAATTATTAGAAAAAGAAGACGATTCATTGTACCGAATCTAAATCATTGTCTGAATTTTCAAAAATGTTTCTTTGTCCGATAAAAAGTCACAGTTCGAGGGGGAAAACATTGCTGGCCGACCGACATAAAATATCCCACCGACTTCAACCCCACCCCCACCCCTTTAGCGACGCCCCTGAATGTAGAGTGGCCTGAGCGGGTAGGCACAGGGCGTGGTTCTAAACTTACAGAGACACTTCGATGAAGACTCCCTTATTTCATGAATGCGTGTGTTGAACTGCCCTGGGTTTTACAACTTTAAACCTCCAGGGTTTATCTTGCATATTTTTTACATGTTCATTTATATAATAAAAGGAAATATTGAATATTCAAATATCATAGGTAGCAAATAAAGGATGACTATTAAACAGAGGAATGAAAACAAACAGATAGGAGAGGATGGTCAAGCATAATGATGTGCACCAATCTATAAATGTGAATGACTAAGTAGCCTGTTCACACTACAGATTTACAGTAACAAAGCATTTGTAGCTTTAATTTTAAGCAGTTGAAGAAATTAATAAAAGTAGGCCTACTTGAAGAAATCGTTGAATTGTAAGATATTCAGTTTATTTTTATTAAGTAAGACAAAGTACTAGGTGTTAACATAACAGACTTTTCTTCTTTTGAGGTGCACATGCAGCCTCAGACAAATGTGCCAAAGAAGTTTTGTCTTCTTGTGTTCCTGGAAACAAAGTTTTGGGCAATATTTTTCAAGTCCAGTTTATCTGTACGAGATTTATATATGAGTAATATTAAGCATTATTTGAGCTTTCTTTGGGTCATTGTACTTATCAGATAAGTTTTGAACCCTTTCAAGACAGAGAATGTTCTCTCGCAAGTTGCCGTTGTAATTGGGATGGTAAAGTAAATGAGAAGAAGGATGTGCACCTCTGAGAATGATCTCTTATAGATTGGACTGTTGTTGAAAATCTCACAGATTGTTTTAATGTATTTGATAGGTTTCCTCTCATCGTCACACACGTCTTAGAGGCTTGTTAGCTGTCGAGTTAATGCTACGAAGTCAATATCTCCGGCATACACTTCCCTCAACTCATCAGCACGAACAAAATATTGGGAAGGGGGGGAGGGCTCATGATAACCGAGCCCGGCCGAAATATTGGGGGAGGGGGGGGGGGGGGAGCTCAATGATATCCGAGCCCCTCAAAAATATCGGGGGGGGGGGGGCTCCGTGATGTTATCCGAGCTCCACAAAAATATCGGGTGGCTCCGTGATGTTATCCGAGCCCAACCAAAAACAATTGGGGGCTAATGATATCTGAGCCCCACCATCATATGGGGGGGGGGGGGCTCAAAGATATCTGAGCCCCACCAAAATATGGGGGGGGGGGGGGTGCTCAATGATATCAGAGTCCCGCCAAAATATTTGGGGGTTTCAATGATATCCGAGATCCCCAAAATATATTTTTGTGGGTCAATGATATGCGGGATCCGATGTCTGAGCCATGTCTGTCCCACCTTGGGACCTACAAGGCTGGCCCCTGGATGCTAATCTGACCTTTATTTTAATGCTTAAAACCCCTGCGCTTCTGGGGGCTCGGCCCCTTGGACCATATACGCCAATTAGTGACCTGCCAGTGTCATGAATAAGGTATTAAAATATGCTAATTTGACCGTAATTAAATGCCCCACCCCCTGAGCATCCGCCAATTTGTGCTATGCTCTACCTTATCTTAAATACTCTAGCATCCCCACTCACTTTCAACCCCATTTTTAATCACTTTTATTTCCCATTTAACTCCTTCATTAAACCTCGAAATGCCTCCATATACTTGGGGCGGGGCCTGTATCACAAGAATATACTAGTAGTGAGTTGGTTGAAGTACGAAGCCACGTACAAAAGTATAATCGATTACAACAGTTGTGGGGCCGATATCACGAGTATGCCTTCATAGAATAAAGGTTTTAAAGAAAATATTCACTTCTACTTTCAAAAGGACTGGCCCATTTGCTTTCAAAAATTGTAGAGTTATTATTATGTAATTTCTAGAAAAAATGTCAACCACATGATTTACAATGAGTCTAAATACGTTGATTTGCCGAGTTGCTTCCTTTTATCAAATATAGGCCTACACGTAAAACAATGGGGGGACAGAATGTGCGGATAGCAAACGAGCAGAAAACCGCGTTATGTCTGACGGACAAACGAAACTGGTAGGACAAACGGCGCGGTCACACCGGCACGAATTTTTTTTTAAGTATGAAAAACTATAGAATTAGAAAATCACTACAAAAATTGGCAATTTGGTTATCAGTTTGAGACGTCATTGCCTCACTATTTATCAATTGCTTTAACTATTTTTATCCCATTATTTTCCCTTTTAACCCCCTAAAATTGATTTTCCCATGCCTTTGCGGCCCAGGTAATATGATATTTATCATATTGCGTGCATGATATTTTAACAAAATCTATTATGAACTTTGAAGAATCGATACTTTTTTTCTGATATTGTGTAGGCCTATTCATAATCATTGGTTTTTATATGGACTAAATAGTTTATTAAAATTTACATTTTTCATAATTTAACTGAAAAAAATTACTAAAAATTAGTGCATCCACACAAAAGCATATAACTATCAATAGGCCTATAACTAGGATGCTAGTGTGAGGAAATAACATTTTTTTTTGGGGGGGGGGGGAATTGGAAATAAATTATCAATATAAAGAAGTTCATTCAAAATTCATAAATTTCTTATTAGTTATCCGAGTTTGCTCGTTTTTTAAAAAAAATTGGTTTGTCTGATTTTTCTGCTTCTATTGAAAATCAGTTATTTTTGGAGTGGACTTGCCCTCAATACTAGCAGTAAACATGAAAATAAAAGATCTATTTAAAACATCATGTCTGGAAGAGAGGCTATGGGCTGGACGAGCTCGAGGCCAAGAATGTAAAAGCTGCATGACGTGACGTCGTAAAATCAAGTGACAACTTGAAAGAAAATTGTGAGTTTTAGATAAGGTAGATGAAGTATATTCCTTTCATATCTGTTTTTAAGATTTAATTCATTTACTAAAGGAAAATTTTGTTTGGAAGTAAAATATCTGCTGTCAAATGCCAGAGAAGGCGACCGCTTAATAAAATACCTCTTCGATTGGGGCCCGGTTGTTTCATATCTACGGTAGACCGCTTTCGGGCCGCTTTACGCGCATAAAAGCCATAAGCCGTAGGCCTAGCAGGTTGAGTGCTTCGGACTTTATGATGCGTAACTATGTAACAAGTTAGGTCTAGGCCTAGACCTACTAGTACAGTCGACATTTCTAGGTAGGCTAGAGCTAGCCCCAGATCTAGAGTACACTAGTATTAGTAGTCTCAGAATGGTATTAGAAGCACTAAACGTCTAAAGATGGTGTGTCTCTTTCGTTCGTTGCCTCTTACTTCTAACGTTAGTCTTATTTGGGTAAGGTCGGTCAGCTCCTCTAATAAATTAGAGACAAAGCCAACCATAGCGTCTGCTCTGCAGAGTCGGAAGCTGAATCTAGTCACCAAATTCCGGCCAAACTTTTCGACTAAGGGCGCTTTTTGGGATTTTCTTTGTCAAAATTGAACTCGGCTCTGTGTTGAAAATTTTGCAGCCATAGTTTACTGCGCATGCAGGATGTAGGGTCTTGCTCTATTCTTTGTATGAAAAATATGTGCAACTTGGGAGGCTTTGTTGTGAGCGTGCACTAGATTCTAGATCTATTCTAGTTTCCTGTCAATTGACCTCTTTTGGCTTATGATGATTCAAAAAATGACTTTCGTATAAACTCTCCTTAGTCTTATTGGCTATAGGACTTTATCACAACTGACCTAGAAAGCTAAGGCATATTTTTGTATTTTTTATATGCAGAGAATGGACGACTCGGAAGGAGTACGTGGTGAAAGCTCCAATTTTCAGTCAGGTAAAACAAATACTGGCGGTAATGAATACAGCAATGAAGAGCCACATTTGTGTTCAGCAGAGTTGGAAATGGACAGGTAATAGAGGGGTCTATTCTGTAACAATTAATGTATCAATCTTAATTCTATGAATGCAATATCTTAATTCTATTCTTGTGATTGTCATAACAAATGTAACTGATCTTGAATCACATATATTTTAATCACAGGGCCATAAACATTCATGATCAAAATGCAGCTCATTAATTCAAACAGTACAGATTACTCGCTGCTGCAAGAATTGTTCCATACGCACAAGTTTGGAAACTTTTACAATCATGCATGGTCGACGTTGGCAAAGGAATCTTTAACAATTTCAACTGATATATTTGGACATTTATTTCAGGGCTTTACACTAAACCGGGACACATAGGCACTCAATATATAATTCCGGACTCCACAAATTATAGATTTTAGCAAGGGGCTCATGCACACAGATCCAGATATCCTATTCCAAACCCCTACTGAAAAGTTATTAACATGGAAACCTGCTTTTTCTCAGAAATAAACTCTTATGTTTTCACTTTGTATTTGGACTACTTTATTGACCGTTTCCATTAGTTGACCCCAAGACTAGAGAGACGTTTGACTGAATCGTTGACTACTTTCTTTTTCAGTACACAGCAGAATTTACAACATTCATCTGGAGACGCATTTCACCATGCAGCTGGAATGAGCAACGTAGGTCCAGTTAGGAGTGATGACAAGATTACCAGACAAAGACCCTTGCTTTCAAGGGAAGCATTGAATGACCAAGCTCAGCAGTTGATTGAGAAGATCAACGAGAAGAGGAAGAGAGATACCAATGTACTCGATGACTTTAGGAAAGTTCTCCAGGATAAGGTAATTTGTTGGTTGAATTAGTGGCTCAACCATGTAGTTGGTTTAAAGGTATAGACCAGTTTTGGAAACGCCCCCCTCTCAAGAAATGAAATGGAAGCTCTCATTACCAATCATGTGAAAGAATATGTTTTGACTAATACGCAATGATACAAATTTTGCCGGGATACCGCCTACTAATTGATATATTTCGTAAATTGTCATATTGATCAGGCCTGGGCAAATATCGTGAATGTGCTTCAACATTGAACATAAGGGCATACATTTCTGCTTTTTTGCAAACTTAGGTTGAAGTATTGCCATCTAAACCACTGAAGGCAATATTTAAACAATATTGAAGGGATATTTTGTACCCAAAACCCTTGAACCGCAATTTTACCACAACCGGTTTTTATCTTTAATAGTCAGCTTTCCGTAGGATTGCAGTTTCCCTCTGGCAAGAATTATCTTTCATTTAGAAGATTTTTCATTTTTATTTTCTTGAATTCATGTAATGAGTTGGAAAGAGCAGAATGTTTTGTATCTTATGAGTGTTTCACTGTCAAAATCCATCAACTGTAGTAATGTCATTTCATCAATAGTTTGATTTTACCGGGCTTAATTGCGTCTTCATGATCACTATGCAATCTGAAACTCTGTTTGATCATGATTAAAGATAATAATCTGCCTAGAGGCAACATGTTAACTCACTCAACTCAGAAGCTACGGCCCTTCTGGCTTTCAATAGATGACATGAGAGTATTTGCTTTCAGTGTAGTTTTACATCTTGCACTGATCAATATGTGTTGTATTTTTATGTGTTCTTGGAATCTAGAATATGGCATAATTGAGATGAAGAAACCATTTATTTTGCCTGAATAGAATATCATTTTACTTACGGTTCACTGTCTTTGACTGCAAATGTTTTATATAATTATTCTATTGACTCCTTCATTTTACAAGATGTAAGATGTAAAATGTTATTCTTAATGAGGATTTCTTGAACAGGTAGGCCTACTGTCTGATATTTCACATTATGCTGTATACCAGTACTAAACTTTCTAGTTAACATTAAAGAGATTTCAATATATTTGTGTGCATCTGTCTATTCTTACAGGTGGCGTTGACTTGCGGTGCTCTCGAGGAGCGAATGTACAGAGTCTATGAAACAAGTGGGAAGAACATGCAGCCCAAACTCCAGGAATTCTTTGCAACCTTAGACAGAGTAGCAGCCATTGAACGGGAACTGGCACATTTTAAAGAAGCTCTTGGGGTGCTGTACATCGATATTCAAAAAACAAAACGTTAAATTCATAATTTTTTTTTATTTTAGTCACATTAGAAATAATTGGTATTTTTAATTTGTCACTTGTTACAAATCCATGTCCCATTTGTACATATATCTATAATTGCCAGTTGTCGTTTTCATTTGAGATCTGTATCATTGTGACTTTTTATATTGTGCATATTGACAAATTTAGTTGGCTCTGAAATCAGTCATCTTTTCTAATAATTTATTTAATTTCAAATGCAAATCTCCTGAAAAATTCAGTACCCACTTCCATAAATATTGGTAAGTTATTGTAGTCATCAATTTCGTATTTTCAGATTTATTGTATTCATTATGTTGACCTTCATATTGCCACTACCAACATTATCAAAGATTCAGTAGAGGTAAACAAATTGTACATATAAATATTTCCTGCATAATCATCTTCATTAGTCCTTATCAAGATCATCATTATCATCATCACCATCATCACCATCATCATCATTGTCATCACCACCACCATCACCTCTACCGCCAGCACCATCATCATCATAACCATCATCATCATCACGATCACCACCACCACCATCATCATCATTACCACCACCACCACCATCGACACCACTTCTACCAGCACCATCATCAATATCATCACCATCACCACCATCAACATCTTTGGCATTGTACAAATCAACAAGTGGTTAACAGATATATAATAGGAGCACAATGCATGGAATGCAGTATACAACACCCAATGTTCTAGGTACAGAATACCGGTATTGAATATGATTTGGTGGTGTGACCAGTTCCATGGTTGTACTTTCATAGGCAAGGGAATGCCAGGCAAGAATTGCCTTGTTCTTAAATCTTCTGCCATGTTTAATACGTGCATGTATTTTAAAAGTAAATGCAAAAGACACATTTGGCAACAATATGCAAGTCTGAATGAAGGGCTTTTTAAATGCACAAGTATACATAATTTACACCGCAAAGTATTCTTTGGTTTTTCTCTTTCAGGTGCAAATGTGCATGTTAAGAATCACAGACATTTGATAATTTGTGGTAGTTAGAGAATGCAAACTGTTAAGCCCAACTGAGAAATTTACTAAACTTGCCTTCCAAATAGCAAAGACTCTTTTTGCAAAAATAGCAAACATCCCTTCCAAATATGAAAGACAGTCCTATTGTGTAAAGGAAATAATAGAATGGGAAGTGGATCAGGTGAAAAAAAAGAACATTACACATTTTTATTTTCTTATTCAGTTCATATCAAATTTCATATGGCCTTATATGTTTAAAAGAGACATGGTGAAATCATCCATTTATCATCTATTTTGGGAATTCTAGTCCTCAGACTGGACTCTTATCCCGCTAGTTTCAAATCGACTTGTGGAAAGTTGTGTATAAAGTGTGTGCTCACCTGAAATGGTCTAAAACCCTGAAATTGTAGTTGGAAATCTTTAGTATCATTTACAAAATATGATATCTCTATAAATATCTGCTCTGAGCAAACTAATTCTACAGCAGAGGGCATGATAATGAGTCTATTTTACTTTCATGCCTTTGATATTCAATAAGTGCCTCTGTTGGAAATATCGTTACAAATGTTGGTTTATTAAAAGGTGTATGATCAAGTGGATTCATTTGCTCATGAATGCTGTATTTTATTCATATTCTCTACTTTAATTACATGGAAAGTAAAAGAAGGCCTGTGGAACTAAATCATGAAGATGAGCATGATTTGAAAACTTTTTTTTCAAACTTAGGAGGATAGATGAATCGATTTATTCCCAGGTGTGAATAGGTATTGTCTTGGCGACAAAGATTATTAGCATTAAAGGGGACCAAGTACCACAAAGGTTTTGACTGTATGTATAAATTCATAAGCTGGTATATTTTATTCAATGGGTCAGATTCAAATATAAATATCCGTTAAGCGATATCACGAGTTTCAATTCACTCTAAAGAAAGACCAAACGTGATTGTGAATGGACCAAACATGATTGTGAACAGACAAAACGTGACTTGCGAACAGACAAAACGTGACTTGCGAATAGACGAAACGCGACTTGCGAATAGACAAAACGCGACTTGTGCATAGACCATTCATGCATGCATCAGCGAGGAAATTGACGCTTGGGTTAATTTCTGATACATAATTTGTGCCCTTGAATCTGGCCTTAACCAATTGAATATCTCATGGTATTTTGGGTGATTTTTATGTCTTCTATGAATATACCAGTCATTGTATTTCCTTTTGGTGATTGGCCCCTTTTAAGGAGTTTATTTCTGTTAGGTAATTATATATTCACACAACAACTTATGAATTGCACTATTGTAAACACATGTTGTAAGCTTGACTGTTTAAATTTAATATTCACTAGGTTTGCAAGATATGGTGAACTGATCACAATAACAATTTATTAACATGACACATTTTTAAAAGGTTTAATCTGAAATCTCTCTAAAAATCTGAAGTAGGAAATTTCTCTACTGGCTGGTTAAAATTTGTTTGATTTCATAATCTATATGGTTTGCACGAATATAATAGGAAATACTGGTATGTGAAAGAAATGGCAGCTTGCACGTTATAAAAATACATATAAGTGCAAAGTAGTTTATTTAATACTTTAGAAGATGATAATAACATTATACTTCACAAATAATGGGTAGTGTCTATTTTAGATGATAAGACACAAAAAACCAATGACCTCCGTTAGATGGTCAAAATGCTGTCTAGTGAAAAAAAGGCAATCTAAATACTTTATGATAGTTATGGAATATCAATAATGAAAAAGAAAAATACCTTAAATTTAATTCACAATTATTAGAGCATATGTTATAGAAATTGTTTCTGGCATTAATCATACAAAAATGAATGAAATCAGATGGATATAGTAGACATCGCATATACAATGTATATCATTTCATTTTAGAGAAACTTTTTTCAAATATCAGGAGAGACGTATATATGTAATTATTGTTACATGTACATAAATATACATCTAGTCTATCCTCTACATCCAACTCATTGACTAGTCATAGAAGGGGTTTCTATTTCATATTTCAACTGTAAAAAAAAACATGCAGTGATTGGTCTTTAAGCCTTTTGAAAATTTATTGCAGTGTTTTTTTCTTCTTTGAAATGAAAGGTAGCTCAATCCAAGTATATCACTGGCATATCAGTTTTTCACAATGGACATGAACTGCTTGGCAAAGGCAACAAGATTCTCTTCCACAGCAATTTAGCTGGAAGTTTCGTCAGACATCCTTCAGAGATCAATTCAGAGCAATATCAATTAATATAACTGCCATTTTCTTTTTTTAATTTGTATCCAATATTCTTTGAAGAGGGTATAGCCCCATTAGTATTTAAAATACTGTTGCATTTCATCACAAAGCAATTTTATATCAAAATCACACACCACTTGACTGGAATGATCTATGATCTAGGAACACACCCAGTATGCATGTCGACAGATCCTTGGATCTTTGCCGTGAGCTGGAAACACTTTGATTTCTTGCACTTGAGTGTGACGCAGCTGAACCTGGCAGGAACAGAGATCGTTCCACTTGGTTCGCAGGTGCTTTCATCACATCGAGGAACTTTGGAGGTGCAGTCGTAGGACAACCCATCTTCCAAAATGACATTCTGCTTGGATATATGCCATGGGGTAGGGACGCATTTATCGCCTGGAAAGGAATAAATACAAGAAACGCATATTAAAGGGATTTACTCCAGAGTTAATACTCGATTCGACCACTGATTACCTCAACATTATGTGCTTGTTAGAGCTCCTCTCTTTATTGATCACTTTGAAGGCTCGTTCGGATATGACGCAGCAAAATGTAAATGTAATACGCTCTACATATCCTATCTTATGACACAGAGTTTTGTGAATATGCGTATGACCGTCATTGCACAGGTGCCATTCATTTACAAATTTTTAAAATGAGGCAGCTTTATTGTGGCAGTTTTAATACCTCGTCATATCTGAACGAGCCTTGATACCGAAGATTGCCTTTGACATCATGAACATACCACTTATATCACTTAAATTAAATCTTTTGGGGAGATATCACCCTGTACGTTGGAAGTCTTTGAAATGTTAAGAGACCACTACTATACCACTCCCACATCATCCCCCTTCAAATGATAATAACCACCATAATGATGATAATACCAGATATTTTTATAGTGCAAATATCCAACATGCAAGGTGCTCTAATATTACCCTAGCTCAAGTTAGGCTCCTAAATTTCGTGCTCACAGCATTCAAGGAATTCCTACCAGTACCCATTTAACACCTTGGTGGAGAGTGGCAAATGTAAAATAATTAGTTGCTAAAGGAGACTGGTGCTGGGCCAGGGCTCGACCCCATGACCTTCGCATCTCTAATCAAGTGTTTATACCACTTGACTATGAGAACAAATACTTATTGACTGATGACTACATACCTCCCGTGCATTCTGGTGTGGCTACTTGGTAGGACCTGGCAAGTTGAGGTCCGTTGGAGTAGACCTTTCCATCTGGTCCAATGAATTCCATCTCTGGACTAGGATCCCCGTTGAAGTTACCACACAACCCACACTGGAGACCCTGGTAGCGCCGAGCAATCTGATAAACAAAACAATTACCAGGTTTAGTATTCTACTTATAGTTATCATTTTCTTAAAATACAATGTAGATGTATATATAGAATCTAAATGGCTTACAAATAAATACAGTTTCTGTTAACTCCTTCTCAATCGACTATTAATTGTTTCTAGTGAATTAAGTCTGTGCAATTACTAAACTTGTTTTAGGAAAAGAGACGTGAAATTCACATTTTTTTATATCAGAATAAAACGTACAAGAATTTCCACACTAGAAAGTGAGCAAAAGAGAATGGAAAAAAGGTGGTTATGGGTGGAGGGGAGGGGGACTGCATATAGGGATGGGCATTATTTCTATTTCAGTCCCAGTAATTGAACTTCCATGTGTTACACATCTTACAGAGCACATGGATTACATTTAAAAGCATATGTACATGTTTTTGTTTTGAAAAAAAACACTAATAAAATCTTTATTACAAAAAAATCAGGACGGTCTATTGTGAGAAAAAAGTCTGTATTTATTGGACAAAAGACAAAATACAGTCGTTTTGATAGCGTGGGTTCTTATCCCACTGCTGCCACCAACGTAAACTTATTATTTCTTATCTCAGGCTCTGCACAAAAAGTGTACTCTTCTTGCTTCATTTACTTTAATCACCCTTGCACTCCTTAAAAATACATCAAGGAGAAAAAATGAAGAGATGCCTTGGTGAGACTAGATCCTGTGTTGCACTGACTTTACTTGGAAAAACTCATTTTTTATCATATTGGAATATAAGTGACATCATAAATAAAGAGCCAATCAGAAATTTATAAATGGAATAGTACAACATAAACGGAAGAACCCAGGGAGAAGGATGGACCAAAAGACAGCATGGAATGGTTATCATGAGGAGTTGTGAATATAAGTGAGAACCAAACAATAGAACCATGTGAAGTGGAAATGGAATGGAAAAGGCTTGGATGAAACTTATAGGCACGGAAATGGCAATGAGAATGGTGTGCGAAGGTTGAGAGGGAAACTGAGGTTATGAGCTCAAATGTAAATGAAATGTAAATCATAGCGAATAGAAAGACAAGTGTAAGACCTCAAATGAAAATTAAAAGAATAAACACTGCAAAATATAATTGGTAATTTTTTAGTCCCAGTCCCAGTACCTGGACTCTGACAGTGGTGCCATCAAACAGGACAGCAAGCCCTTCCTTCCTGGCAATGATCAGATATGTATTCTCCATCCTGAGCAGAAGAAGGGTCTCCTTGGGTTGGGGTGGGGCGTCGGTGGATCCGTTCAGGAGGGGCTGGTAGAACCTCTCAAAGTCCTGTTCCTCATCATTCAGGGCCAGTTCTACGTACCGAGTCAGACCGCCCCAGTAGAGGTCATCGCTACGGACCTGTGTTGTGCAAGGAGAGATCGATGCAAGCAGCTAGACTAGTGTACTTTATTTATTTGTGGAAAGGACATCTCTAACTTTATGTCCCAGACTAGAATCCTGTATAAAAAGGTTTTAATAAAACCTCCTTGTTTTCTTGCTTTGAAGCAGTTTAGAGATACATGAACATATAGATTCGGATGTTTTAAATGGTATTGTCAAACCTATATTGTGTCCACCTCTATATAAAGGTGATTTTTCATTGGCAGCAACTTTTGTCTTTTCCACCAAGTAAAAACTGTCAGTTATATATCAAACCAGTCTGTTGGCTTATTAAACTGTTGTTGTCTTGATTTATTAATGTATAGATAGCTAAATATGCATAAAAGATGGCATTTTCCCACTAAGAAATAATTGCGTCTTATAAACCTGTCAACAGCATCATAAAGTGGATGCATCATAATGTAAACATCAAATAAAAGAATTTCTAAACTTGGTGTTTTGCGTTTCACGTCCACTGTTCCAACCCCAAAAATATACATGTATTTGTTAAAAAAAAAAAAAAAAGAATGACTGGGGCGATTATCTCTCAGACATTTTCCTACATCGACGTTTCACAGGAAGATCGACGTACCCTATCATAGCTATGATGACTGTGATGATGATGCTGTTGATGATGACTCTCTGATTGAGGTGTGTCGTGACTGTGGAGGTCTTCGGAATGACCAGTCAGGATCTCGTGGACAGTTCTATTTTGTTGCTCCTGCTGGGCTCCTTGAGTATCGTAAGTCACCTCTACAGGAGTATCCTCTAGGTTGGCTTCCTGGTCCGCCTTCTCTTCTTCATTCTCTAGGTATCTCCTGGTCTGTAAAATTCCAGAATTTTTTTTTTTAGGGTCTAACTTTAAAATAAAAAAGGATTATATATAGCTTAATTCATTTTTCTTTTTACAGCCATATTGTATGACATATCAGTATATTCTCTATTTCTTTCTTAAAATGTTCTTTTTCTTGGCCGTTTTTCACCTTTCAGTCAAAACAAGACTAAAGATATGTCCTGTTGTAGCAATTCAACGCACTCTTCATCATTAACCACCCAACTTTCTACAGTTTATCCAAGAACCTTGTAAGGCAAATTTAGGAAATAAAGGCTACATTTTTCTTTTGCGTAAAAGCTACCAGAAAACAAGAGGAATCCTACCATTACTCGTGAGGCTCCCAAATAAGAACCATTTCTCCAAGAGTAATGGTTGGCAACTAGATTTCATCGAGAGATTTTGGAGATTTTAATGGAAGAGAACTTCAGAATTACTTGTGCATTAGAACACTAGCCTTCAAGTATTTCCTGGGTAATGTGAGAGTGATTTATCGCAAGTGTATGCAACGTAGGACCTGCGCATATATTCTCTGAGTTTTGTGTTATAAAAATTGAGAGATGTAAAGCGTATTGGACTTTACGTCATCATAAAAAAAGCTCTGCGGTTTGCCACACCATATCTGAACAACCCTTAAAGGTAAAGACCAGTTTTGGAAACGCCTCCCTCTCAAAAAATGAAATGGAAGCTCTTATTACCAATCATGTGACAGAATATGTTTTGACTAATAGGTGATGATACAAATTTTGCTGAGGAACCGCCTAATAATTGATATATTTGGTTAATTACTATATCTATTTGGACCTGACAGATATCGCGCACAGGTCGCTTAGTCACATAAACATTTTTCTATGTATGGTGCTTGTAACTTTACCAAGACTGGGCCAAATTTCTTATCATTTTGAGGATTCCAGAACCTTGCAGTACACATATGCTAGATGATCAACCTTTTCTGATGGATGCCACAACGTTTCTTTCACAATGCAATCGCATGACCATCTTTAAAAAAGTTTACTCCTTCTTTGATCTATAATAAATCAGAAGCAATCGAACTAATTCCTCTTACCACATCAATCACTTGGGGGCGTGGTGCTTGGACCCGCAGATCCCTGCCTTGTTCCAAAACTTCTGTCACATTCGTTCCATCGTCATAAAAGACCAGTTGGGATCGTTTGGGAAGCGTAACAATCTCACCGTTGATCACTATACTCATGATGCTGGACTGCTCATAGGGAGTCAGCTCCAGCTTGTTAGCCCCAGCAAAGACTGAGATTGCCTGAAAAAAATGTACATGTATGTAAGTTATGCTTTTTGCCTGATTTAATTCATGTTGGCACAATTTGTTTTTTCATAGATAATAAACATACTTTTATCATCCTTTTAACTCTCAATCTTCCTTATATTTCTCTCTCAGTACCTCATTCTCACCCACCTCCTCTTCTCTACCTTTCTGTCTCTACTTTAATTCCTGTATATCTTTTTCATCATCGAATGTTAAATATTATCTTTTGAAATCTCACTATCTTGCTAGAAATCTCACTATCTTGCTAGATATTTCTTTCTTTTTATCAAACTAAATGTCATTGTGTGTATCTGTTTTTCTTTATCTCTCAATTTTCAACATTTTTCCATGTATCAATCATGTCTATATGAGCCATAGGTGTATGTGTAATTCTCTTTACATTTTTCTATTTTCTACCTCTAATTTTATCACTTCCAGTTTTACTCATATCTATGTTACATGTATGACAAGGCATGGTGGCTCAGTGGTTAGAGCGCCCGCCTCATGCACCGGAGGTCGTGGGTTCGAACCCTGGCCGAGTCATACTAAAGACTTATAACAATGGGACCTTCTGCCTGCTAGCTAGGCGCTTAGCATATTAGATTGGAGAAGGGTAGTAATAACATATTATGTTATGCAGGGCCCGCTGGAAGAGCAGTTTCATAACTGAAGTGGCTACCCTGGGTAAATAAAACGTTGTTATTATTATTATTATGTGCGCGTGTTTGTGTTTCTTGTATCATTCTCTCTCTCTCTCTCTCTGTCGTTCTGTCTGTATTTCCATTCCCCTCTCTTACCTTCTTATCACCATGAAGCTTCCTGGTCAGTACAGTGAATCTCTGATGTTCAGAGCAATCCTTAGCCACCACATGTTCGCATTCAGACCAGACGTAGGGGTAGCTAACATTGTCAAACGTGGTGATCTGACCATCACTTGATAGCGTACATTTGGCTGAATAGAAAATGAAGTATTGTAATAACTTTATCAATGTTTCTTAAAGTTTATGAAAATAGCTGTATTCAACATTCATATTTCTATAACAAGTAATCTGAAGAAAAACACAAAGAAGAGTCTGTTTTCAGAAATGAGGGGAGAATACTAGCTAGTATACTGATATGATCTATACTTTGAATGTTAGGCTTCCTGTGAGTAATTTCGATTTGTGAGGAAGTTTTGGCTTGCTCCCATTGTTTCCAGTTGGTTTCTTGCTGGTTACAAGACTCTTTTTGACTTGTTTTTAATCACAACATTGAACAAGCCATCTCTATTTACTGGGTTAAAGCAACAAATTCTCACAAAACGATCTATGTACGTCTTTACAGTAACAAAGAAACAAAATATATATGTGACCTTTCATGCTTCTTTCTCTGTACACGAAGACACAAAAGAATGTTCTAGGTAATACTACCATTATTGAAAACTATGCTACAAAAAGCGTTTAAGTAATCTGTATTTTACTGATAGTACAAATAATTTGAGATTAAACCACTTTGTTTCCTCCAAATAAACTGAACACAGACCAGCAATACATTTTTAACCCAATATATACTTAAAAGCCTGTTATAACAAATTGGAGTCGTGGCTTTGAAGAAGGCAAATCCTTAAACTTGGCATCACTGTAATTTGGAAGACAACTTGAAGTGAGAGAGTTTAAATGATCTTACGAGAGTAAGGCTGTTTCATCGCGGTGCTCATGAATGCTTCAAGGTAGGTTTTTCTTAAGGTATACGGCGTGACCTTGAAAGGCAGGTTGACATTGTTGAATCTCACCAGGTCATGAGGCTCAGACATGGTGAGGTTGACCTTGTCCAGGGAGTCATCAAGGATAGCTGACAGCAAGATCTATATGTTTATCAAATGAGATGAATAGAAGTGATATAGATTTAACTAACAAATTATGTAGAGGAGAATGTTTTTTTCAGAAGACATAATAATCTAGCGGCGATAAAATGTCAGTCTGATGATGCCTGCAGCAACGAGTAGGCGAAATTCTCACAGGTAATACAAACTTTTTGATCGTAACACTATGAAAATTCAATCTATGGAATTACTGCCAATCAGATGAACCTTTTCAATGACATTAGGATTAGATGTTAGGCACTATAGACATTGTTGAATAGCACCATGTCATGGGCTTGACATGGTTAGCTCGACCCTGTTTAGGGAAGTTTTTCTAGATAGATTCAAAACATACATAAAATTAACATCAAATATCAATTCATTGAATTCTGAGGTCATGATTATTTGTACTGAGACCCCTTTGAAATGCCTGTTGAATGTAAATGATTTCATGATGTGAATAAGACATATACCTGTCCATGTATAGATCTGTACCATCAGAAGATTAGTTGAACCGAGACCCCTTTGAAATGCCTGTTGAATGTAAATGATTTCATGATGTGAATAAGACATATACCTGTCCATGTAGATCTGTACCGTCAGAAGTCTCTGTCTCAGCCTTGTTCCACATGGCATGCTTCAAGTTCTCAACGGCATTAGATATACCTGTCTGCACAGAATAAGGTAGCTACAAAATAAGAAGAAGAAAAAATATATAGATTAATATTACTTGTAGTAAATACTGTTGTATAGACAAAGGTCAGTTCCATTTTGATCATCACATGTGTGGTTTTCTCCAATGATCATCTACATTATTGTGTTACAAGGCCCTTGCATGTATATCAAGCATCAATTTTACAGACATAGAGACAAGTATTTTGAACAATTTACATCTTCTTAAATTTAGGTACCACTTTTTAGTATAACCCAAACACAAATTATGCGATACAGTATAAGAGAAATATTAACCCATCGACTACTGAAATATCTTATTCCCATAGATTTCATACATGGGCCACCAGGGGGGTGTTTCACAAAGATCCTAAGTTGAACTTATCTCTAAGTTGGACTTAAAAATTATGGAAAGCCATTAGCAAAGTTATTTTGAAAGGCATTAATTGTTTATTCAAATCATTCATATTGTCTATCATCAAGGAGATTTCATGTTCTGGATGTGGAATTCACAAAAAGTCTAAAATACTTGAATTTCTGCTTTTGAATATATTTCATTTTAAGACTCCAATGGCTGTCCATAATTTTTAAGTCCAACTTAGAGTTAAGTTCTACTTAGGATCTTTGTGAAACACCCCCTGGTCCCCATAGTCATTAGGTTAACTAAACTACTGAATGACAATTCTTCAATCACATTATGGTAGATTGTAACACTGCCAATTTGATGGCAGAACATTCAGTAGACTCCTACAAGAACTTACATGCTGATGACTAAAGCTGAGATGCATGGCTCTAAGCTGTTTTTTATCATGTAGATCTCTTTGCTGGCTCCTACTCCTTTCAAACAGAGCCTATATTAACAGAAATAATAATAATAATAATATAAATACATTCATAGAGCGCAGAAACTATCCAACATTAAGTATATATTCTACTGCGCTACAAGAGCTCCTGATATGCTTAGATTTACGGTTAATTGAAAAGATGTGCTTTCAGGGTCGATTTAAACATATTCACAGATGGTGAATATAGCGCAGCAAACAAATGATTCTTAGCAGTAAGCCCTACGTGAAAAAGTTAAATTGTTGTTTTGATTTGTGTCTTTTATAATGTTCAGTAACAAAAATGTTTTTTATACTTTTTATCATAAAAAATGAGTCAACCTTTATATAAGGATTATATGTTTCATTTCAGGTTGCAGCCTATTCAGTTTATTTTTATGTCCTTGTCTAACATGTTCTTAAGTTTTATTTTATGTTATATATCTGATTGTTGTATGTAATGTTGGCTTTTTGACTGAATGAAATTGAATTAAAAATTAATTAAAATATTACAAAATCGAGACAGAAATAGCGAAGAAAAACTCTGAGTCTTATACGTGAGGGTATAGAGGGGGTTTGGCTATTGATGGCCGAGGCACTAATGTCGGGGAGGGGGGGGGGGGGTCACCAATCTTACTTAAGAGGAATCCTTGAGAACAAGGCCGTCAAATGTGAGGGGATGATTTGGGTAAAATTAGACATATATGAATTGATAAAAACATGAATGAGATATAATTAGAAGTGATGTAGATTTAACTAACAAATTATGTAGAGGAGAATGTTTCATCCAGACTGTGTACATTCATGATGCTCATCACTGTGGGGTTTTGTCTTGTGCAGTCGGCTAATTAGCTGGTATATGAGTAGCTATACCACTGATAATGACTATAACTCCTTCTTCTCCTTTCATAGAGTAGTGAGTTAGATACATTCTCACCTTGAACTGGACTTGTTTGTCCGACGAGCAGCTTCTTCCCCAGCCCATCTTCAGAGAAAACTGAGCCTGAGGTCCGATCTCAGCTACGGGCCCATGTCCATGGCCGTGGAGGATTGGTAGAGGATGATCATGAGAGTCATTGGACGATGGGTGGAGATGATGATAGTCATCATGCTCGTCACTATGGCTGTGGTGATGGTGGCCTCCTGCAAGGAGACGATGAGCTTGATGATAAGACGTATTGGTTGCTGGATGGAGATGCTCATCGTGGTGTTCGTCACTATGGCTATGGTGGTGAAGGTGTTGATCGTTCAGCTCCCCGACATGGTGGTATTCGTCGCTATGGCTGTGATGATGGTCATGGTGGTCTCCGGAAAGGAGACGATGAGCTTGATGATCTGACGTATTGGTTGCCGGATGGAGATGCTCGTCGTGGTGTTCGTCGCTATGGCTGTGGTGGTGTAGGTGACCCTCCTGGAGGTTTCCAAGGACATGTACATCATGGTGCTCATCACTGTGGCTATGGTGGTGGTGGTGATACAGAGCCTCTGGGGTGGTGTCATTGGTATTGGGTTGGGATATCCCACTCCTGACGCCATGGTGGAAGGTATCGTGGTCATCATGACCATGAGAGTCATGATGATAGAGTGACACTGGAACTTTGGTTGGGGTCTCAGACTTGAAAGATGGAAGATCAGCTTCAAATTGCATGCAGAATACCTGTAGCAATAATAATAGAAAGAAAAAAACAACATAACAAAGTGTAAAAAAAGAACTTTCTAGCTCATCAGAAGCCAGTGAGTATTCATGCCCACTAAACTCTGCAAAATAATGTTAAAGGAACATCTATATCATAACTAACATTTCAACTCTTATTTGGTACATTTCATTTAAGAAACATGGACATAATGTATACCTGATGAATAATCAAGACTGCAAGGACTTTTGAAAATCAATGACCATGTCAATCCTGAATACAGAAACTAAAATGATGTTGGTACACTCGGAGCTTTGCTACAATGCAATTTAAACATATCTCAATCCATATCTATAATTTATATGAGTCATCATGCTTATATAAGAACAGGGTAAATTTGATTAAGAGAGGGGGAATTTTGTTTTCAGCATTACTGAATACGAACCTGCTTTTGGTCTTCATGATGATGGTGATCATAGTGATCATGGTAATGAGAGCTAAAAGACAATGGTGCCTCGGGGTCCTGTAGGTCTGTTGGAAGCTGGACAGCCGGGAAGACTTGCATGTTGACTGCCTTGTGGCTACGACCCTGAAGGTCAGCATTGACCTTGACCATAACTGTGCGGTCATCACTGGAGTTGTGACCTTTAGCTGTGATCTACAGAGCGAGGAACATCCAAAAGATATATGATACTTTTAATCTTATTGTACCTTGCATCCTCTATGAAAGACGCTGTTTAAATTAAATTATCATTATTCTTCTTTCCATCTTTGTCTTTACTCTATTTATTCATTGTATTTTGAAATGCTTCATACAAATGATAATGACACAAGTAGGTAATTTATTAACACAAACATTTTATATGAATTACCGTTTGTTATTTTCTACATATTTAATCTAATTTGAAGTTAGTGCATGAATACAAACTTGTTAAACTATTATATTGTTTCTATATATCTTTACAAATCATTTTTTCCACATTTGTATAATTATTATGCCTATATATAGTAAACAAAATATTCATGTACTATGTGAAGTTTTCTAATTAATACAAAATACAAAGATATTTCAGTATTTAATTTAGGCAACAGAGAACATGGGAAACACTTAAACTGTAAACGAATCCCAATAAAACATGATGAAATTTGGACTTAAAAATCAAAGAACTTACAGTGACTACCGTAGCAATGACCTAGAAATGTAAAAACTGTGTGTAAATGAGAGTACTTACATTCAAGAAGAAGTTCCTGGTGATGATCTTGGTGTACTTGCTGGCATCGAGGTTACCAAAGACTTGGTCAAACGCTTCACTCAATGTGAGATGGGTGTGGTGATGATCGTGGCTATGGTACTGATCATGGCTGTGATTGTCATGGACATGTTGGTGATGCTTCGCAGTATGATGGTGGAGGTTATCGTGGTGATCATGCCCATGGCTGTCATGATAAAGGCTGTCCTGGTGTGCATGTGACTGGCTATGGAAACGATGCAGTCCAAACCTTTGATTTATAACATCCATGACTCCATGTAGCCATGCCGTCTCCTTAGTAGGAGTAGGTTGGTTTGCTTCCTGAGTGGCATTCTCTGTTTGAACTGGTGCTGAGGGCGTGGTGATTCCAGTTGGCTCTACATCAGATTTACCAAACCAATAATCCATGTAGCTGCTGATTTGATCTCGAAAGGTTAAGTGCGCCTCGGTGACCTTATTCAAGACGGCTTCTCTTAGAGATGCCTTGTCAGTTGAAGATAAGTCTTTCATGGGAAGATGATCATGATGATGCTCGTGGCTGTGATAATCGTGATGGAGATCAGAGGCTCCTTTCACAGGCACTGGGTCTATTTTGTAAACAGGATGGGTGTGTTCGTAAGTTTTGATTTCAATGTTGCCATCAACATGTTCGTGGTAGGTGTGGTTGTGCGTTTCGTCCACTGTAGTTATATTGTAAGGGGAGTGATGATGCTCATCGCTTCCACTGTGGTGACCGTGATGATTATCTCCTAGAAGACCATGATGTTCATCGCTACCACTGTGGTGACCATGGTGATGGTAATCTATCTTGTTTGTCTTTTTCTGAGGCAGAGGCTCAATCTTATACACAGGATGACTGTGCTGGTATGAGATGGGTTTACCATTCTGATCTACATGATGGTAATCAGTGTGATTATGTTCATAGTCCTCTATCTTAGTTATATTATAGATCGGAAGATGATGGTGCTCATGGCTATCGCTGTGACTTCCACTGTGGTGACCGTGGTGAACATCTCCTAGAAGACCATGATGTTCATCGCTTCCACTGTGGTGACCGTGGTGAACATCTCCTAGAAGACCATGATGTTCATCACTTCCACTGTGGTGACCGTGGTGAATATCTCCTAGGAGACCATGATGTTCATCGCTTCCACTGTGGTGACTGTGATGATAATCTCCTAAAAGACCATGATGTTCATCGCTCCCACTGTGGTGACCGTGGTGAACATCTCCTAAAAGACCATGATGTTCATCGCTACCACTGTGGTGACCGTGGTAATTATTTCCTAGAAGACCATGATGTTCCTCACTGCTACTGTGGTGACCGTGGTAAACATCTCCTAGAAGACCATGATGTTCATCACTGCTACTGTGGTGACCGTGGTGAACATTTCCTAGAAGACCATGATGTTCATCGCTTCCACTGTGGTGACCGTGGTGAACATCTCCTAAAAGACCATGATGTTCATCGCTACCACTGTGGTGACCGTGGTAATTATTTCCTAGAAGACCATGATGTTCCTCACTGCTACTGTGGTGACCGTGGTGAACATCTCCTAGAAGACCATGATGTTCATCACTGCTACTGTGGTGACCGTGGTGAACATCTCCTAGAAGACCATGATGTTCATCGCTTCCACTGTGGTGACCGTGGTGATAATCTCCTAAAAGACCATGATGTTCATCGCTCCCACTGTGGTGACCGTGGTGAACATCTCCTAAAAGACCATGATGTTCATCGCTACCACTGTGGTGACCGTGGTAATTATTTCCTAGAAGACCATGATGTTCCTCACTGCTACTGTGGTGACCGTGGTAAACATCTCCTAGAAGACCATGATGTTCCTCACTGCTACTGTGGTGACCGTGGTGAACATCTCCTAGAAGACCATGATGTTCATCACTGCTACTGTGGTGACCGTGGTGAACATCTCCTAGAAGACCATGATGTTCATCGCTTCCACTGTGGTGACCGTGGTGAATATTTCCTAAAAGACCATGATGTTCATCGCTTCCACTTTGGTGACCGTGGTAATTATTTCCTAGAAGACCATGATGTTCATCACTGCTACTGTGGTAAACGTGGTGAACATCTCCTAGAAGACCATGATGTTCATCGCTTCCACTGTGGTGACCGTGGTGAACATCTCCTAGAAGACCATGATGTTCATCGCTTCCACTGTGGTGACCATGGTGATGGTAATCTATCTTGTTTGTCTTTTTCTGAGGCAGAGGCTCAATCTTATACACAGGATGACTGTGCTGGTATGAGATGGGTTTACCATTCTGATCTACATGATGGTAATCAGTGTGATTATGTTCATAGTCCTCTATCTTAGTTATATTATAGATCGGAAGATGATGGTGCTCATGGCTATCGCTGTGACTTCCACTGTGGTGACCGTGGTGAACATCTCCTAGAAGACCATGATGTTCATCACTGCTACTGTGGTGACCGTGGTGAACATCTCCTAGAAGACCATGATGTTCATCGCTTCCACTGTGGTGACCGTGGTAATTATCTCCTAGAAGACCGTGATGTTCATCACTGCTACTGTGGTGACCGTGGTGAACATCTCCTAGAAGACCATGATGTTCATCGCTTCCACTGTGGTGACCGTGGTGAACATCTCCTAGAAGACCATGATGTTCATTGCTTCCACTGTGGTGACCGTGGTGAACATCTCCTAGAAGACCATGATGTTCATCGCTTCCACTGTGGTGAGCATGGTGAACATCTCCTAGAAGACCATGATGTTCATCGCTTCCACTGTGGTGACCGTGGTAATTATCTCCTAGAAGACCATGATGTTCATCGCTTCCACTGTGGTGACCGTGGTAATTATCTCCTAGAAGACCATGATGTTCATCGCTTCCACTGTGGTGACCATGGTGAATATCACTTCCAATGTGGTGTTGACTATGATCATACCCTCCATCTTGCATCACCTTTCTGATATGGTTAAGTGACATCCATCTGCTCTCTGCCGTTCCTAAACTCCAGATGTAGGGAGAGTCATGATGATGATGGTACCTTTCACCATGTGGATCATTCAAAACCATCTCGTACTTGTCTTTGATGCGAAGATGGAGCTGGATCTCTTTAGGGGTTGTTTCTCCTGCAAGGATACTTATGTTAAACTGCATTGGACCCCTTAGTAGACTGCAAGGAGAGAGTTTATCTGATGGATGGACGAAGGAAGCACCAAGCCCAACTCCAAGAGCCTCCACCTTGAACTGTTGAGTTAAAAACATACAAAGACAAAGTGAGCATGCAGACAAATCAATTGGTCGCAAGTCTTCCCATTAACTGCAAAGTTAAACTTCGATATTTCTTAAAGCCACACTGTCCTACTTGTAGCTACTTGCTCCCTCTATATAGAAAACTTCCCTAACCAGTGCCTGTTGGTCCCCCATTATCCTCTGTTTCTTATGTTAATTGAGAGCTGAGTTAATGAGATAGCCACCTGTCACAGTGACCTCGCTGGCTAGATGGGTGGTCTAATCCCTTCTGGCTGAACTAGTACAACCAGCCTTTAAGATAGATATCAAACTGATGTTCAGTTGGCATTCATTCAGATAAATCACAAAGCTTATGACAATGCCAAGCCGTCTGTATCAAGCCAGGTGTGATAATAATTGTACAAGTTTGCTTTTTCCTTCTGCAATGGTGCTTTGTATACTGTAAGCTTTCACACTCTAGACTGATCTCCAACATTATTTGTTTTTTTGCTGGCCATTTTGAGGATTGTTTCTCAATGAAATTAACCAAGCCTATTTTACATCACAATAAAACATCACTGCTATTAACTTATCATGAAATAAAATGATTACAGAAACATATTTATTCAATTCTTCAAATAACCTAAAAATATCATGTTCAACACATTACCTTAGATGGTCTTAGTTTCTCCACACTTGATATTTCTTGAGTACTCAATTGGGATTGTCCAGCCTGTAAATAAAATAAGAACATACACAGTCATATGAAAACTAATGTTTTATTGCCATGGCAACGTTTCAAGCACAATAAACAATAATATGACAATCCATGGTTTACACCAACTTTCTCATTTGTCATCACTTTATATGCCGCATACACTGTTGTAATCCTAATCATAATCATTGACACATTTTCATGAGCCAAGACCATATCTGAGTATTGGTATGTCTATCATCAACACTGCATCTACGATAGATACCATCCATCATCATCTAATTCTTCAAAGTTTTGCAATTACGACCATCATCATCTACATGAAATCCATCTCCGTCAGCTACCACTCATACATCATTATTCCCAAATATCATCACCACCGACAAGAAGACAAGCCATGGCTCAGTGGAGGTGCAGCGGGAGGTCACAACCAAACCCTATTGGCAGTGACCCGTCATTTGCTCCTGTGACAACTACACTGGGCTCTATCTTATCAAAGGTATATGGTTAGGGTTAGGGGTACAATTGGGTTTTATGTTAGGTTTATGGGTATAGGTCTAAGTTAGGGTTCAGGGGTTAAGTTAAGAATTTGTTTAGTGTAGGAAATTGGTGCAGCGCAATTATTCCAGGAGCAGGTGCCATAGAATCCAATGTGCATCTCGGATAGGAAAGCAATAAATCCTAGTAAGCTTGCCTATCAACAAGCATATGTATGTACTTGCTTTCTTACCACTCAGGTAAAATAAAATCATCATCAAATTACCCGTAATATCTTCTTCATTATTCCGAATCTCCAGGACAATTACTCACCTCTTCAAAGATAGAGCTCGTCACATCAAAGTATGTGAAGGGTTTGGTCTTGATTGAGAAGAGCTGCTGGTTCTCCTGTGGAGTGGTCAAGTTGGCCGAATAGTCCTGGCGCTGGAGGTCAACCATGACAGACCCATTGAGGACCAGAGAGGAGTTGAGGGATACCCTGAGAGCTGTTCCGATCTTGATAGATCCACCGATGCTGACCCCCATGTCTCCTACCATCTCCACAGCAAGGCTATAAAGGCAGTGGCATACAATGAGTGAGTTTTAGACGATCATGGAATGAAAATGGTCAAGACATTAATCTACATTTGCCACACTCAACCCAGGTGATGTAACTGGGTACCTGGCAGGAATTAATTCCTTGAAATGCCACGCTAGAGCGCCGTAATGGCAGCCGTGCTAAAGCCAGGGTAATAATCGGGAGCGGGAGAGTGTCAAGTCGGACAGACATGAGCGCTATCAAAGAACCCACTATTATTATTATTATGAAATACCTGACATTTCATAGGGTGGAGGACAAGTCATGTGGGCTAAATTAAGGATGGGCGGTGTCATATAAACGGTTAACAACTAAACTATTCATACCCTTACTAAGTTGTGTAATCATTTTTAAATTATGGGAAAAATGTATTTGTCCAATTTCTTAAGGTTGTGACATACTAAAGCTTACATCGAAAAGTATTAAAGGACCTGAACCAGTCCACCTTTCATTCTCGAGTTACAAAACAAACAAAAAAATTTACAAGGGGCATTAATATTTTAGTTTTAAACTGTAGGTGTATGCATAGCTAATAAGAAATATGTATAAGTGAATCCTATCAAGCTGTATTCATTATGAAGTTAATATGGAATAGGGCACTTTCAGATACAAAATAAAAGCGAAAAAGAACAGTGCATTATTGTTTCCTAGGTCAAAAGTCATATTTTTTCAACTGATTGGCAAAATAGAATCACAATCTATATAAGATGCTTGCTACATTGGCAGAATGCTTAGTCTCAACAACGAACCAGTAAGGTTGTGTAATGCATCAGTAACACCTTTGCGTATTTGGCTTGCGTATTGCTGCACATTTTTTTTTTTTTTAACAGAAAATCATTTTTTGACATAAAAAATAGGAATAAATGTTAAAACGGCTTGCCATAAATACGCAGCAATACGCAAGCCAAATAAGCAAAGGTGTGACTGAGGCATAAGACTTGTGACTTACCGTGGATTGAAAAAGCCTTCAACACTGACTGCATTTGGCAAACGCATGTTGGCGACAATGTCTTCAAGAGGAGGATCGAGGGTGATGGTTCCGGACCCCTCAACGGCTGCGACGGCTGAGCTGGAGAGCTTCAGGGTCAGGGGGATACCCATGGAGGTCGGGATACGCAGGTATCCCTCACTCAGGGTCGTGGCCTTCTGGTAAGAGATGCGGGGATGGGTGAAGAGTTCTTCAAGGGTGCTCAATCTAGAGCTCTCTGTTCAATTTTTTGGAATAAGAGAAAGAGAGAGTGAGAAAGAGCATAACAAGATGGGGGAAGAGAATGGGGGGGGGGGTACAGATAGACAAGCAGAGAAAGAAACAGAGTAATAATGATAAACATATATGTATGAGAGAGAGGGAGAGAAAAAGAAGGCAAAAGGAGAATGCTAGAGTAAAGTAGTATAAAACAAAGGGCAAATTGGAGGGAAGAAGGGAGAGAGGGAAGAGGACAGCAAGCGAATGAGACCGCATAAGAAAATGATGGACATATTACTCAACTGCGACACGGCGTCGTGCTTTCATCCCTTCACGGGCATCAAGTTCACAAATAAAATCCAATGTGCTAAGATTTTATCCTGATTATTTTGTGTTCCTAGATATCTAACTTCATGACTGATACCATACGGTTTTCAATGTGGACAGATTTATTTTTTAAAAATTGGCATTGAAAGGGTATATTATTTACCTAGGTTCATAAATGAAAGGATAGAGCTTTTGCCAATGGCCATTCCTCTGATCTCTCTACCAAACGCTTTCATGTACAGGCTTGCCATAGGGTCTGAGTCTTCACGTAATATGATGTCAAGCTGTGGGAAAAACAAGTTGATTTGATTTAAAATATTTCATGTTAAATTAATCATTTACAAGCTACATGTACATGTATAACTTGAATATTGTATTTCATTTCATGGTCTTGGTCTTCTACGGCCAATACAAAGCTGTGTAGAAGTCTGCAAAACGATCCCCTTCCATCTTTACAATATGTTAGTGCTCTTTTAAATGTGTTCAAATGTATTATGTTTTTACATGAAAGTTTACTGTCAATATTTAACTTATGTCTACTACTACTGTGTTGCTGTTGTTTTTTATGACCACTGCATCTATTACTTTAATAAACATTCTCAATCCATAAGGGCTCTACATTTTTATGGAGCTACAAATACTTGTATTAGAACTATTCTTTCTACTCAAGTACTCTTCATTATACTTCTACTAACTGCTACTTTTACTGATACTACTACTTCTACTTCTACTACTACTACTACTACTACTACTACTACTACTACTACTACTACTACTACTGATACTACTACTACTACTACTACTACATAATCAATCACCTGTCTGTCTATTTCATCCAGGAGACGGTCCCGATTATCTCCATCTCCACTTTCACTGTTACTCATAAACCTCTCCAACATCAGTTTTCTCAACCCCTCAACCTTGAAGCCAACCTCTAGAGGGTTCAGACTGAAGCCCATCAGATGAGTGTTCAGCTTGGCCGCTAACCCAGATGTATAGGGAGAGTCCTGCTCCATGATGTACTTCAAGTTGGCAAAGACTCCCAGTCGGTCTTCAACTAAGATAAAAAATAAGTAGAAAGGAAACCTTCAGCAACACAGGCCTATAACGCATAAAAACGAACTGAAATGCATGGCTCTTGTACTACTGGTTTAGTTGGGTTTGATATAATTACTTAGAAAATCCTTTTCTTTATTAAGTTTGACAGTTGTTAACATTGGAAAATTTGAAGTGTAAATCTCCTTTGCTTTTGACAAATATTTAATTTTGAATTACCTGATTCCAAGCCCATTTTGTAGCTCTTAGAGTACTGGAATCCATAATCTGCTGTAGGGGTTATCTCCAGTAATGATCTTGCCACACTTGACCTAAAAAGAGTAAAATAATATGGGATATTCTGTTATTACTTTTCTTCAGGAGGAATCTGTAAGTACATCAGAATTAAATTGTCAATTTATAAGTTTCTACAAAGGTTATTAATTTTCCTTTTCTTGAAATTGATATATTTCACAGACCAAAATGTAATTTTCCTCTCCAGAAACATATATGTCTATGATTTCATTGTTTAATGTTTAATGAAGGAATTGTATAACAGAAATTTGTAGTGCCACACTGTTTATAGTATGCTGTAAAAGTAGAAATATTTTTGGTACGTTAATTCTCACGAATTTCGCGCTAAGATCGGCAAGCATGAATTTTAGAACTCGCGAAAATGATTTATGCTTATGCACGATTTGAACGGGCTGAATTGCGTGCAACGCGAATTTAAGAACCAGCGAATATATCTTGGGGTCGCTCAGCACAAAAAATTAATCACGCCAAAGTAACATTGTTTAATAAACGTAACTTATATTTTTATGCACTATCTGCATTTTGGGTTGTATGGTCACCTCTACGTACATTTTGGGTTTGTGGCTACTGATAAAAAATGTTTTAAAGTAAACTATAAATGCTTATTAATATGACTTACACATTACTTGGCACCTGCATGCTGCGGTGGCTCAGGGCTTCAAAATGAGAGGAGACAAAGCTCGACACCTGAGCGCTAGTCTCAGACTCCAGGCTGTTCATCAAAATCTTCATGATGGAGGCACTGGGTTTGGCATCCATAAGCACGACAAAGGCAGCGATACGCACCTCTGCATTGTTCTCCTTGTTGGTGAAAACTGTCAGCGACAGTTGGATGATCTAGTGAGTACGGGTAAGAAAAACAAAATCGTTATATTGTGTTATTATTGATAAACAAAGAAATCAAATGTGAAAAATCAAGGTTAATGTTAGATGGAATATGTTTCTAAATGTCATATACACTCTCTTTATATTAATTAATATAAATCACTTGTTCCTTTGTTTGACATTCGATAAATTTACTTCAATTAAAAACAGAATTGAACCACACCGTTGCCCTACAAATAATCAAGATCGTTCGTTCGTGTCTCCTTAGATCAAGATTACTGTAATCTTGATCTTCGGAGTAGTTGCTACAACCGGCCGTGTCAGACACGTTGCCCCGGGGTGCGAGATAGGACTCTTGTAGCGTGCCCCCATTTAAAACAATTATACAGTTACAGTTAACAATACATTTAATTAATAGTATGAAACTATTAAAATTACTCTCATGTTACGGGAAAAAATATTGCATATACATATATTATGAATCAATTGATTTGGTTGATCCAGTTCGATGGCACAAACACGGCTCTACTGGACAGAGATCCTAATAATTACAGAGCTTGGTCTTGTTGCTCTGTTCGCCAGCAGTTTAAGGATGTGGAATCCCGCGGCACATTACTCACAAGAGTTCTAACAAGCCAAGCTTATACAGAGCCTATAATAAGTAATGTCGTACATGTACCACCCACCCGATCGATCAAAAACTCATAACTCATAACTGAAAAAAAGTAAAAAGAAAAGAAAAAACATGAAATGGTAACCATCTAAAATTTCATAGTTGTGATAAATATCTATAAAGATTTATCAAGCACCAAAAATAAATAATATCATGTTCAAGAAAAGGATATATACACTTGTATTCTTCTTTCGTGTCCTCAAATGCTCTGCCAGGCCTTGGCACACTGGAGAGCCTTCTCATTTGCTGCCACCGGGTCTTCCAGGCAGCATTGGTCGATTAGGAGTGGACATCTTAATAGGTGTGACATGGATTGCACGGATGTTCCACACTCGCAGTTGGTGTCTGTGTCGTCAGTACATCCCCATTTATTCATGTTGTATTTACAATCCAGATAAACCACACATTTGAAAATGATGACAAATTCATATTCAAAAACATTTTATTCACAGGCTTTTGTAGTAAAATAATTCTGTGTTACGAGTCCCTTCACCACACTGTATCTAATAAATTCATTGAACCCCACACTTTGAGTTGAACAAAACATTATGCATAATGTATAATCTACATTTACTAATTATATCTTGACTTTGAAACAAAAAACCACAAGTTATTTTAACCTCAAGTAGAATCAAGTATAAAGTTTATGTTACATTTCTTGGAGCTAAATTGATTAAAAATAACTTCAATTTTTTAAATCTTCAAAATTTACAAAAGAAAGTCTTACATATTTCCTGGAGCTACTTCCTGTGAGTTTCCTGAGTGAGTAAATAGCCTGACATCTAAGCTCACATGCAGTGTTTGGATCGTTGATCAAGTTCTTTAGGTTCTGGGCTTGACCGCTGAGACCTGCATTGCCTAAAGCCTTGAGAAATGTCCGTCGTGTTGATAGAGGATGCATGGCACTTGTCCCATTGTATAGAGGCTGAAAATGAAAAAAATTGGGAGACTTCATGATCAGTGAACCCAAGTTTGCTCCTGCGACAACTGCTCCAGGCTTTGTTTCGTTAAAGGTATAGCTAGGATTAAAGTTAGATTTTCAGTCTGTTCAGATGTGTCGGACATAGCAAAACTGCAGCATTTTTTAGTTATGATGATGTACAGTGTAATATGCCTCAGACTTCCGTATCTTGTAAGAGCCCAGTGAATACGCACAAGTCCTTTGTTGCGCGCAGTTGCCATTCAATTTAAACATAACAAAAACATGGCAATTGTTTTTTGGCAGCGGTTTACAGCGCCATTTCTGAACAAGCCTTTAGGATTACAAATAGGTTTTAGGTTAGGTTCATACTTAGTGTTAGGTATACTGTTGGGTCCAGATTTGAAGTTAAGATTTCGGTTCACTAGTGAAGGGTATTGACACAGAGCAATTGTTGTAGGAGCAAGTGTTGTACATGTACAACCCTTCATCATCAAATTATCACCGAGTTGCAGACTTCAGAATCTTTGCTCTCTCTCTCTCTCTCTCTCTCTCTCTCTTATATTTCAATAAATAATTAGGAATTGTTTGCATGGTAGGGAGGATATAACAGTGGAATTCTTGGCAGAAATCAATTAATCTGCCAGAAACTTTTTGTTTCTTTGTCAACTTACACTCATCAATCAGAGATAGAGGAGGGCATAACAGGCAATTTCCACAAACCCACTCAAGAACAGACACTCCTACATGTACTTCGTGAGAACAGTGCGTGATTGTAACCAGCTTAAACCGAAGACTATCGCCCACACTGACCCTGTCAAATTCAAAATAGCCCCGACGTCACCCCCCCCCCCCCCCCCCCCCATCTACAAATTAATCCACCCTATCCGCACCTCCAGTTAAAACTCAGACGAGTATTTTGGAGGACCAACCAACCAAGTACCAAGTATCAAGTTGTTTTCAAGTCTATAAATGAGTCATGGAAAAGTACCTAAAATATGTATTTAGGTCCATCTTCAATTTCAATTTCAATTTCATTTATTTTCACAGATTCATAAAAGACAATGTAAATTACAATCAAATATAAAAGTATTACAACAAAAGATGAACCTGCAGAGGGGGTGATCAAAAACCACAGAGGTTTATCGGGGATCATCCCCTGCTTAAAATTACAATATAAAAATACAATAGTTTTTTTTTAATTAAACAATAACACATACATGTACGAAAACATATATAGATATTACATGCAAATCTATGCACGTACCATGAACCCAACATTCAAATAAAGCAAACTCTATGACTTTAAAAGGGAACGATTCAAACAATGATTGAAAATATATGTATTCATGAATTTTAAACAATTATTTAGCATCCTGAAAACTGTCCCTTTTTTTATATTCTGGAATTCTGATGCTGTCCAATAGAAGAGATCCCAAAGCTCTTTTAACCCGGAGGAAATAGTTAATGGTATCTGTTATTACTGTCATTATCCCTATTATCATCATCATTGTCATCAATTACATAACCATTATCATAATCATCATCATCATCATCATTAATATCATCACCATAACCATCATCATCATTATCATTAACACCATTATATCATCACTATTATCGCAATCATTATCATCATCACCATCATTAATATTGTCACGAAATTGGTTTCATTTCGTAGATAGCTATTTCGGCGTAGATGGCGTAATTCAAGTTAAATAAACGATGCTATAGTCACGTGTCAATTTCAAGAATGTTTGATCGTGCATGTTTTCGACAGTTTTAGTCTAATTACTTTTCTACCATGAATAATTACTTATTTTCTTCTGTTTAGTTTTATAGATTAAAACTAGTGCTTTCATTTGATATATGGTTTGTTTCAATCTGATATTGGAAAGTGAAGTTATATCAATGTTTATGTAATTATTGGAAACCTAACGAGAATAATAAATGTATAAGAAATGTGTATATAAATCAAGTGTCTCACGTGTCTGTGAGTTTCCTGTCATAGTCTACATAATTGCCGTCGCCCACTGGGCACACTTACATTGTAAGGCAATCAGATTATGTTTGGATATTTGCCCAATAAAGTATTGCGTGCAACGAAATGATTGAGATGATCATTTGCATGTCTTTCCATGGGGAAACCTAAAGTTGAAGTCTGATTTTAGGTGACGACCATGGTAAGAATCTAGGTTGTGTTTGTTGGGTCTTTTACGTTCTGGTATTAGACAATACCAGGGACTACTGTGTAGCAGAGCCAGTGGCATGGTCGAGAGTAAGCTGACTGTACGAAGTCAGACGGTCTGGTTGTTTGGAGGTGCATGAAGCAAACTGGTGCGGCCAATTGGAGTTGCATGCACAAGCAGACTGGTATAGACGTCTGGAAGGTGCATGAAGCAAACTGGTGCAGCCAATTGGAGTTGCATGCACAAGCAGACTGGTATAGACGTCTGAAAGGTGCAGAAGCGGACTGGCCTAGTTGGCTTGTGGTATACGACGGTACAACGGTTGGTAGAAGACGGTGGTCGAGAGGTGGTGCGGAGCAATATATCAGACTGGTGTCAACGTCAACGGGGCAGTATATTTCTGCCAAACGGATCCACGGTAAAATTGGTACCGGACCAGGAAAACCTACCAGCAGAAGGCATCCTGACAAGAGAAGCTGCTGGGAAGAACATCGACAGGAACCGGTTTCGTTACATGTGGTGTCAGAAGTGGGATCCAGTGACAATGGCACAAGGAAGAAATAGGCAGAATCGACCAACGCCAGGAGAAATGATGAAGCACTTAGAAAGGAGTATGACAGAAGTAGATCAAATGATGGAGCAACTACGTGCTTCGATGAGTCAGGCACCAGTTGCAGACCCAGAACCAGGCCGCCAGGAAGCATTTCCCCCAACTCTGGGTGGACAAACTGCATCAGGGCCAACTGCAGATTCACAGATGCCAGCGACACAGCGGGTTAGATTTAGTTCAACGCCCCGAGAACAAAGTAGACGGCTGCCCAGTGCAGGAACTGGAGTTCATATTACACCACCGCTTTTCTCTCCACCTATGCATGATGTGGGGAGGGCAAATGATGCATTAATCGGCAGACGACCCCATATGGTACCAGACAGATTTGACGGTCGCAGTCCTGTCGAGGATTACTTGCACCATTTTGAGGCATGTGCTGGAGTAAACAGATGGACCAAAGTAGAAGCAGTGCAGTTTCTTGCTGCAAGTTTGAGAGGATCTGCTGTGAAGTTGTTAACCCAACAGCCTGGAGTGGATCTGACATACGACGAGTTGGTATACAGACTCATGAACCGGTTTGGTCTTGGAAGTAAAGCTGAGGTATACCTAGCAGAGTTGAGACAGCGTCGTCGGCAACCAAAGGAAAGTCTCCAGGAATTAGGACAAACGATACGGGAGCTGTGTGCATTGTCCTACCCCGAGTTCGATGAAAAAGGACAAGACCGACTAGCCCGTGGGCATTTTCTGGATGCCGTAGTAACACCAGAAATAAGAGAAGGATTGTTCCGTGCTCAACCTCGCACGCTTGATGATGCCGTGGAAGCAGCTTTAAATACAGAGGCCTTCCTGAGGATGAAGGATCAGAGAAACGAAGTGAAGCGTTCAACCGCGTACAGTCGAGCACTGGAAGAGTGTGAGGTTTCAGCCATCCGAGAACAGCAACCAAGGAATCCTACTATCGATGAGATAGTAAAGAAGGTATTAGATGCCTTAGACATGAGAAATGGGAGGAATACGATTAAACCAGATGTACCAGATAGGAGACCGGAACAAACCATGCCAACTAAAGTCTCGGAACGGGAAGATAACCGGTGTTTCAACTGTAATGAATTGGGACACTGGAGGAACCAATGTCCTTATCCAAGGAAAGTTAGGGGAGGAACAGCACCACCAGCAGCAGAGAAAGCAAATACAAACTTGCAGTGGGCAACTGCAAATGGGATGACAGATGAAGAGGAGCAGACCAGAGTTGGTTCGTCTCAGGATCTTAACAGGAAAGGACTTTTCCTGGAAGGGAAAATCAATGGACAGTCCTTGAAATTACTGATCGACACCGGAGCCACCAACACTTTGATTTCAGATAAGGTGTTTGACCGGATAGAGGATAATAGAAGACCTGAGTTATTACCAGTGACCAGTGTGGTACTACAAGCAGATGGGACCCCGTTGAGGACCAGAGGTAAATCAAGGCTGGAAGTGCAGATCGGAGATTCACTTGTCACTACAATGGTTACTGTGGCCAGCCTCAAGAACGAAGGCATTCTTGGGCTAGATTTCCTAGTCCAAATTAATGCCGTACTTGACTGCCAGAAGATGGAATTGAGGACCGAATGGGGCATAGTTCCATGCCTAGATAGTGAAGGAGAATCATTCTGCAGAAGGATAGTAGCGGGGGAGGAATACTCAATTCCTACAGGACACGAAATGGTGCTAGCAGACAGAGTAACAGGTGAAAAGATAGCACTGTGTGAAGGACTGGTAGAATCTCCTGTGAACCCAACCGAGTTATGGAAAAAGGGACCCATCGTTGCCAGATCTGTCGTAAAGGCAGGTGAAGATGTGTTGCCTCTCAGGGTGTTCAATTCAACAAGGAAACAGGGGATCACAAAGGCAGGCACTGCCATTGCCTCATTGTCAGCGCTGGAAGAAGTGGGCACAGAAATGTGCAATCAGACGATGCCCATTGAAACCAGTGCAAGCAGAAACTTGCCACCCGACAAGCAGGGAGACAAGGACGTTGATGCCCGACGTACGACTACCCACTTCTTTCAATGTGACTCTTGTACCAAAAGTTATGAGAAGAAAGACTCTTTGCAAAGACACAAGCGGGAAGTGCATATCCTGAAGTATCGTTGCGACCAATGCGATTATCGCACGGGTAGGAAGACGGAGATGGAGCGGCATCAGGGAGCCCACGATGTAGCTGTGGTTCCCGTGAGAAAACACAGCTTAACACCTGTTTCTTCGCCAAGATGCAAACCCACTTCCACGCCAATAACAGGGACCTCTGAAAAAGCTGATGCATCGTGGCGTCATGTAAGAATGGACTGGCGGTCACCACCACGTGATGATCCAAGATTGGACCAACCTCGAGGGAGGTCACCACGTCGTTACCGCTCATCGCGACGAAAATCCAAATCGCTCCAAAGAGACCTGACGAAATCGTCATGTCAAAAGACCCCGGAGTCTCCACAGCATGATGGATCGGAAGCTTCCCCTCGACATAGCCGACAATCTACGCCCGAACCAGGAGAAGAGTTGGATAACGACGAAAGGTCCCCTTCACCACTTGACTTGCGATATTCATCTAGGAAAATGGCGTCGGAGACTGCATGGGCTAGTGAGTGGACTGAAATTGCTAGTAAGAATGCTGAAACTCAAACTGACACTGATAGTTCTCGTTAAAGAATTCAGTCAGTACTGCATTAACTTAGAACCGCTGGTTCCGGTGGGAAGGATACAGATACCAATGGACGTTATTTTCTGTAAATGTGTTATATGCAGTTTGTAAATTGTTGTTAGAATTCGCTCGGGGACCGAGCTAAGGAAAATAAGGGAGTTGTGTCACGAAATTGGTTTCATTTCGTAGATAGCTATTTCGGCGTAGATGGCGTAATTCAAGTTAAATAAACGATGCTATAGTCACGTGTCAATTTCAAGAATGTTTGATCGTGCATGTTTTCGACAGTTTTAGTCTAATTACTTTTCTACCATGAATAATTACTTATTTTCTTCTGTTTAGTTTTATAGATTAAAACTAGTGCTTTCATTTGATATATGGTTTGTTTCAATCTGATATTGGAAAGTGAAGTTATATCAATGTTTATGTAATTATTGGAAACCTAACGAGAATAATAAATGTATAAGAAATGTGTATATAAATCAAGTGTCTCACGTGTCTGTGAGTTTCCTGTCATAGTCTACATAATTGCCGTCGCCCACTGGGCACACTTACATTGTAAGGCAATCAGATTATGTTTGGATATTTGCCCAATAAAGTATTGCGTGCAACGAAATGATTGAGATGATCGTTTGCATGTCTTTCCATGGGGAAACCTAAAGTTGAAGTCTGATTTTAGGTGACGACCATGGTAAGAATCTAGGTTGTGTTAGTTGGGTCTTTTACGTTCTAGTATTAGACAATACCAGGGACTACTGTGTAGCAGAGCCAGTGGCATGGTCGAGAGTAAGCTGACTGTACGAAGTCAGACGGTCTGGTTGTTTGGCAAACTGGTGCGGCCAATTGGAGTTGCATGCACAAGCAGACTGGTATAGACGTCTGGAAGGTGCATGAAGCAAACTGGTGCAGCCAATTGGAGTTGCATGCACAAGCAGACTGGTATAGACGTCTGAAAGGTGCAGAAGCGGACTGGCCTAGTTGGCTTGTGGTATACGACGGTACAACGGTTGGTAGAAGACGGTGGTCGAGAGGTGGTGCGGAGCAATATATCAGACTGGTGTCAACGTCAACGGGGCAGTATATTTCTGCCAAACGGATCCACGGTAAAATTGGTACCGGACCAGGAAAACCTACCAGCAGAAGGCATCCTGACAAGAGAAGCTGCTGGGAAGAACATCGACAGGAACCGGTTTCGTTACAATATCATCACCATAACCATCATCATCATTATCATCAACACCATTATATCATCACTATCATCACCATTATCATCATTATCATCACCATCACCATTATAATCATTATCATCACTATCATCACCATTATCATCATTATCATCACCATCATGTGCACATCTATGTTTACCTTTGCATAGCTGATAAGCATACTATCTTCACATGTCCAGACTTGTCTGTTAATCCCTTCTCCACAGGCCTTGTTGAGCAGGGAACCGTAGGCCAGCCAGCACTCTGGCATACTGGTGCTCTCGCACAGATCCTACACAATAGACAAACAATGCATTATTTTGTATACAAATTTCCTTATTCCATTTGTGTTTTAAATTTTCCTCTCTCTAAATTACGTCCTTCTCTACTGCTACAGTTTTTTTCTTCTTCAATACTTATTTTTCCAGGTACCTATAATATACAAGCACTGCTTTTTAATAGGTTCCTCGCATTCTGCTTAATCTATTATATGAATTGAGAATCATTGAGACGTGCTCATTTATACTACATGTAATGTATCATTTCTTATTTTACATGCATGTCTATATTTTCTGTAAAATGTGGAACAATAAAAACTTGAAACTTGAAACTCGTAAAAAGCAGAGGCTTGCATGACCCCTTTTTCACAATATTATTCCATGGAAAATCTACACTTAACGTAAGAGGGAAACGTCTGTTGGAACTGTTATTTCGGAAAGATAAAGTTGCAAATAAAACATTTCAAGCTCACCTGAACGCTATCCAAGAAGGAACGTTGGAAGGTGGTATGGAATGCCAGCATGCTTACAATCTGAGATGCTCTCTCACCAGTAATATCCTCATTAATCAATTTATTCTTGATGATGGCTACTGACTGGTCAGTTCCTAGTAGTGGCAAGACATCCTCCAGAACTTTCCTGTTGATGAGGGTCAGTTTGTATCAAAGGTCATTTTACTGATCAACTCTCCTAGATCCCTGATATTTCAGGTCATAATGAGTCATTTTAAGATTGATTCATGTCATTATGATGGAAAATAAATCCAAAGTCTAGTAAGTTTACTTTAGCGCACACAGAGTATAGCATTCAGGACTACGTGTGTATTATCTCACAACAACTATTTGCTGGCTTAGAGCACTGGAAAATACTGCATGTTTTTTTATGAAAAATCATGTGATAGTCTCTGTAAATGAGTCACATGTGACTGCGTTCGACCAATCATTTGATTAAAATCTAAGAGTGAGTTGAAAAACACCTGTTAACAAATCTCTCTAACATGGTGCAACTGTAATCATAATAATAATAATAATAATAATGCTTTATTTACCCAAGGTAGCCACTTCAGTTATGAAACTGCTCTTCCAGCAGGCCCTGCATAACATAATATGTTCTTACTACCCTCCTCCAATCTAGTATGCTAAGCGCCTAGCTAGAAGGCAGAAGGTCCCATTGTTATAAGTCTTTGGTATGACTCGGCCGGGGTTCGAACACATGACCTCTCGTTCATGAGGCGGGCGCTCTAACCACTGAGCCTACTGTAAATCTAAAGTAGATGTGAATATATCAAGGGAATACAAAAATGTCATATCCCTTGATATACTTTAAATTAAATATTACTAGTTCATGGGAAAATTAAGGGTACCTCTTTCTCTCATGTTCTTGTGTCTCTCCCTCCATCCTCTGTGCATGGTTGTCATAAACTGATAAGACTTCTAAAGGGGGGGACATGCGTAAGGTTTCTGTGAGCTCAGCAAACTTTCCAGGAATGTTGTTGGATATATGCTCCATTTCAAGGCTGTTTGCAATCTCCTCGACCAGAGCGGCAACCTAAATCAAAGTGAAATGCTTCAATGTCAGCACAGTTTTTGTTTTGAAATTCACTGAAAACAGCCTGTAATTGACCCTACCGCAACTACTAGCGCGGATACCCTAGCGCGGATACCATACAGTGCTTTTGGTCTGCGATTCCCAAATGATTATAACATTCAGTCATCTTCCCAGCGAAGATTTTCTGTGATGTTTTAACTATCTTTACTCAAGAAAAGGACAAGCCTCGGTGCGCAATTGAAGTACTTAAAATCATGATCACTTAATTTTCAAGTTTAAGTTCGCAAGTGGTGCAGATTTTTGAAAGCTTCATGTTACAAAGTCATTGTATTGCAATTGAGACTACACTTTATTACACAACAGTTTTTTTAATTTGCAAACAAAATTTCCTTCCGTGAAAATAGCTCTATATCACAAATCATGAAAATTTCATGTCGCAAAAGTTTAGGTTTAAAAGTAGAATGAGCTTTTAGACTTTACCAAATTGGAGAGTATGCTGGACTCCTCCTCCGTGACCTCTGACCTTTCATTTAACGGAAACTCAAAGGACAGGTTAGTCCAGTACCGCTGTGAGGATCCCAAAGGTCGAGTCGTATCCACATTCATAACTATCCTGGATCGGGTGCGCATCAATTCTTGCCTAAAGAATAGAGTTAATATGGTCATAAAATAAGAATTAAAAAAATGATTGTATATAAAAGAATATATCTAGAGAGCGAAATTTTCTTATATTTTCTTATATTATGTACATGTATATATATATTTATGTTTTTCACTTCTTGAAATAATTATACACATTTTCTCATGAAAAAATATCTCCATCAAATTTTGTTTTTTAAAGTACATTTACGTTGACCAGATATGAAAACATGATTGTTCATTTTTTTTAGAGTAATACAAGTATTTACCATGGAGTAGATATATGAAAGGCTTAAAGATAATTTATCTGTTTCCCATGCAAGATTTAATGATCTAAACCGGTGCTAAAAGGGTTATCATTGAGCTCATAAAGACCAGAAATGGGTAATTTTTACAAAGCCATTGTGTTGCACAAAGCAATATCCCTCCATCAGTTGGTGCCTTTTGTTTTGTGCAAATTAAATGTGGGGCAAACAAGCAACTGTGCAGAAAGGTGAAGTAAGCAATGGAAGTGTTAACAGAACTGCCTCTTCCTAACAATATCTAAGGGCCTATCAAAGATACGTAGCTCAGTGAAATGAAGTGGTACAAATAGAAGAGGCTGTTAAAGTAAAATGCTTAATTTTTGAAAATCATTATTCTACCACTCAGTTTAAAGGCATCGTCTAACAATGTTAAATCTGAGATGCATGGCCCTACGTGTTATCAATGTTTGTGATATGGTGTAATAATGAAGCCCTAAAAAAATCGCGCTTCAAAATGATCATGACGTCCCTCAAAAAAGTAAAAATCTTTGAGTGACCGGTTTTACCATACTCATTTTCCCCAATAGACTGTAGTGGTATGAAAACCGTTAGGAAAACGCAAAATTTACATACATAAATGTACATAAATACATACATGTATACTACCTTGATTAGGCTAAAATATTACCTAAACTGTCATTCAGATATAAATATTACCTAAACTGTCATTCAGATATAAATATTACCTAAACTCTCATTCAGATATAAATATTACCTAAACTGTCATTCAGATATAAATATTACCTAAACTTCCATTCAGATATAAATATTACCTAAACTGTCATTCAGATATAAATATTACCTAAACTGTCATTCAGATATAAATATTACCTAAACTGTCATTCAGATATAAATATTACCTAAACTCTCATTCAGATATAAATATTACCTAAACTCTCATTCAGATATAAATATTACCTAAACTCTCATTCAGATATAAATATTACCTAAACTCTCATTCAGATATAAATATTACCTAAACTCTCATTCAGATATAAATATTACCTAAACTCTCATTCAGATATAAATATTACCTAAACTGTCATTCAGATATAAATATTACCTAAACTCTCATTCAGATATAAATATTACCTAAACTCTCATTCAGATATGTCAAATAGGAACTTTCAATTCATCAATATCACCATCCACTACGTCTTTTACGTTCAGGACGCGTATGTTTCTGCCACAACTTTTTACTATTAAAGCTTCCTTGGTTTAATGAAAGCCACACAACTCTGCCAAGTCTTCTAGACACTCTATAACAACAAACGAACAAACAAACAAACAAATACAATGACGGAATATTGCCTGACCTCACGAAGGTGGTGAAGCTTGGTCCATCCATATTGAGAGGATTAAAAGCATGAATCTCTTCGCCTGTGACAGAGTCTATCAAGAAACTCTTCTGGTCACCTCTAATGGAGTAGGATACCTCTCTGGTAGAGTGCACTAGGTTCTGTGACACATCCAGGCTTGGATCTGACGGAAAACCGCTCAGCAGGAATGCATTCTGCTGTCTTGGTGGATTACTGCACTTGTTGAAGTTGAAAGTCTTGGTAACATTGAGTCTGAATTGAGGACCTGCATAGAAATCCAGGAAATTATACACCACAAGGTAAGAAAATCATGTTTATTTAAGATACATACAAATTATAAACTTTGTGCTTTTTCTTCCATGTTAATTGTCAAGTTAGGGAGTTTCAAGAATTATACTGGATCATTCGCACCTCTATCTAACAAATTAAATCATGATAATATGTCATCTAGTGGTCCAGTAGATAAGTCACCAGACAGTAGATCACAAGGTACGGGGTTCTGATTTTTTGCTATCGCCACTATGGTATTTAGCCATAGAGGGCTGCACTGCATGGCCGTAGGTATATGTGTCCCATATAAATACAATGGGCCAAGAACTAGAAATCATAGTTTTGGAGCCAGTATAATATTAGGCATTGGATCAAGATGGTGCCTAGATGAAACGTGAACAATTTTTTGGTAAAATCAGGAATTTGAAGACACTGCCGGACATCCTCTATGTCATGGAAGCTGGAAGGATCTCATCGTCTTCCCCTGTATCATATCTCTGCATGTGCTGACCTGTGTAGTGTGGGAGGTATATAGTCACCCTCTACTGTCTAATGGTGGTATAGGGACAATTGAAAAGGACAATACATGAAATGAGTTACATGTTTGTATCACTTTCGATCTATTGTCCGTTCTTAATCCAAAAACGCTAAAAATCTCTTGCTATGACCATTGACTTATATGCTTCAGTTATGGCAAAACTAGAAACTCTTGCGGGCAAGGAAATGTTTAAAATCTTGGCAAGTGGTCCAAATAAGTTATTTTTGATATGCATGAATTGATACATATCCTTCCCCTGTCTCTCTCATTTCCTCTACATCTCCTTCTATCTCTCTTCTCTCTCTCTCTCTCTCTTTCCTTCTTTCTTTCCCTCCCTCCCTCCCTCCCTCCCTCCCTCCCTCCCTTCTCCCTCCTTCCTTCCTTCCTTCCTTCCTTCCTTCCTTCCTTCCTTCCTCCCCTCCCTCCCTCCCTCCTCCCTCCCTCCTCCCTCCCTCCCTCCCTCCCTCCCTCCCTCCCTCCCTCCCTCCTCCCTCCCTCCCTCCCTCCCTCCCTCCCTCCCTCCTTCCTTCCTTCCTTCCTTCATTTCTTCCTTCCTTCCTCCCTCCCTCCCTCCCTCCCTCCCCCTCCCTCCTTCCCTCCCTCCCTCCCTCCTTCCCTCCCTCCCTCCCTCCCTCCCCCTCTGTCACTGATAATGAGTTTAGTAGTGTCACTTACTCTGAAAAACATCATTGGTCAACAGCCTGCCCTCTAAGTTAAAAGGCTTCACATTGTACACTGTCTCACATTCACCAGCTACTCCAGCCTTGAAAGAAAAGAAATAAATGAAAAAATGCCAAATACCATCAAATAACTCCAAAGGAAAGCCCAATGATATAGAAATAGAAAAGAAATAGAGGCACATACCAGGAGAAACCAACTGCACATATCAGTCATTGCAAACAGCATTTAAAAAGCATGAGACAGTTAAAAAATTATGAACTTAACTCAAAAGAGGAAAAACAATTTTATTCATTAAAAAAAAAATTCCTACATAGCTTTTTAAAATATCGTTTACATATCATGTTGCATTCTTAACATGCACTTTCAAATCCTTTGGGAGAAATATCATTTATCACTCCCGTGCATTTAATCTCTGGTAGAGAAATTAAAGCGATACTAAAATGAAGAACTTTCTGCACTAGGCTACTGTTTATTGCAAAGCCCCATCTCATGGTTAACTTGCCGACAGTGAAATAAATAAAAAAGAATAATGATGCTTCATATATAAACCCCCATATGATATTTTTCATAACAAACAACACAAAATGATTTGAAACCTCCATCACAGTGTAGAGTGTCTTCTGTCCTTGTTCCTGCAAGGTAGCGTCTGGATCAGACTCGCCTTTTAGATCCAGAATGAAGAGGGATATGATGGATCGTTTGATGTTCACCGAAGTCAGGGACTCACCACTTTGAGGGAACATCATTTCAATCTAAACCATGAAATAAAATTGATAGGTTTAAAACACTCATGCTTTATGTTCACTGAGGTCTAGAATCTTGCTGAGGGAACATGGTTTTGATCTAAATCATGAAATAAAAATGGATACATTAAAAAAATCATGCATATGATCACTGAGATCACGGACTCGTCCCGTCAAGGAAAATGGTTTCGATCTAAACCATGAAATAAACTTGATACGTTTAAAAAAATCATGCTTATATGTTTTACGAAGGTCAGGGACTTCTGTAGTTGAGGGAATATGGTTTCGATCTAAACCATGAAATAAAAAAATAATATGTCAAAAACTTGTGCAAGATGAAGGTTTATTCGATGTTGAGGGTGCCAATGCCCAATGCATAAGCTACAAAGCACATGATACTGAGTTACAATCACTGCCACAGTGCTTATCTCCTTTGGCAAGTCATTAATCTACATTTGCTACTCTCCATCCAAGAAAAGTAAATGGGTACTGGGTTGAAAGAAAGTTATCAAATGCGTAAGTTCAAAATACACCAGTCAGTTCTGGGCATTCATTATCATCTCTTTCAAACTATACATGTACATAAAATTTTATGAAATAAAACCTAGAAATAAACTGCATACAGTACCAGGCCCGAGTCGTAGGAGAAGTCAGTTTGCTCGCGTAGCTCTTCTACGAGGCGTCGTGCCTCGGCACCCTCTACAGGTATAAAAAGAGCAGGTTTCTGAATCCGAAGAGGATCATCGACTTCATCCTGGAATCTCTCTAGGGATATGCTGTTCATCTACGTCCATAGCAGATCAATGGATAATAGTAAAGCAATTAATTATAGGATACAATTAGTTATTTATTTCATTTTTGTTATCTGGTACATGTATGTTTATGTTATCCATATCAGGTGAATTTTACTGTTGTTCAGTCACAGGGCTCTGAATATCATTAATGTAATGAATACCGCTTAAAAAACAAAATAGAAAAACTGTCTGACATGCAAAAACTTAAAAAAGATCCCCACTATAATCTAGTTGAAAATTGGCCCGAAGGAAGGATTGAGACACGTATGTAGATGTACAGTGTAAGTTACTTTTTCGGCAGTTATCAATCCCAAACATGAACACAAAGTTTTCTCATTTTTCAAAAGCATAATCTTTTCATAAGTTGGCCAAAAGAGGTGTGGGGGGGGGGGGGGGTAAAATGTGTCAAAACTCTAGCAGTCTGTTGCCTCCCCCCCCCCCCCCCACCCCCTACCCGACCCAGAACTCTCCTTACCAGCATAACAAAGTGGTTGCCAGGATGCATCATGAGCTTGATATCAGCAGAGATTTTAAGACCGGAGTAATCGTTTGACTCCCCTCCATCTATTCCTGTTAGAACCTGCCCCTCGTAGTGGTACGTGTATTCACATCTCAACGTGTAAGATTCATCTGGATAATGCATGGTGACAGAAAATGGGTTAATCAACTGCATAGTAATTTAATTACAAACTGTTGGATGGACAATAGTGGTGAAAATTTAATCGGATAGGAAGATTTTTGTTAGGGACAGGGAACAGAGAGGGTAGGAGAGGAGGAATCCCACAGACATTTAGTTTAATACAGAAAAGTTAAGTGCTATCAAATTTCTTCCACAGGAAAGTTATTTTAATATCTGACTTGTACATATTATGATATATTCTGTAGTAAATTTCATCTCAATCCAAAAGGATAGATATAACTCGTCTGTCATTTGGAGATAAGTAATTTTACTCTTGCCCCCTAAAATAAAAGGACCATCATACAACATTTCGCACGTTGCATTTACGTACTTGTTCATATGCCAGGGATACATAACTCTTTTAAGGAACAATTAATACCCACTGCCATAGCACCAGTAGAGCTCTTCTAATGAAGAAAGAAGAGATGAGAGAAAATTGAGGAAGATAAAGAGAGAAAGAGAGCAAAAACAAAAAGGAAACAGGAACGAAAACTAGAGAGGAAACAGGGAAGGAGAGAGAAGTTGGAAGGTCCTCCTTCATAGTTAAAGGTAAAGACCAGTATTGGAAACGCCCCAATTTCAAAAAATGAAATGGAAGCTCTCATTACCAATCATGTGAAAGAATATGTTTTGACTAATACATGATGATAACAAACTTGCCGGGAAACTGCCTACTAATTCATATATTTGGTAAATTTGTTTCTCTCATGGTCTGTGAGAGATATAGGGTAGTCCCATATACATCTTTCTGTGTATAGTGCTTGTAACTTTACGAAGAATGGGCCAAATTTCTTATCATTTTGATGATTCCAGAACCTTGCAGATGCTAGATGCTAGATGATCAACCTTTTCTGATCGATTCCACAACGTTTCTTTCACAATACAATCGCATGACCATAACTGGTCTTTACCTTTAACTTTCAAACTTACTTCTAAAAAAAGTCTTTAATGTAATAAAAAGGAGAATGTGGATGGTAAAAATGGTTACAGAGTAGGGAAAATCACAGACATTTCTACTACAGTAGTGATGTATGTAAGTTATCTGTTGGATTTGCACGGTATGAAAATATTCTTGCTATTTTTAATTACTATTGAATTCTCTAAATACGGTAATTATTTTTGAAAAAATTAACATTAATCTTTCTCATACAACATCAAGCTTCTTTTTCTTCTTATCGCTTAATAGGGATGCTTTTCCATATATACCAGGATATCTAACAAAATGATTCAAATACTTTGATGACCATTTAAAAGAGTTGTACTTTAAAAGAAACACAAGAAAGTGTGTCAACTTACCACATGTGTGATTTGATTGTCCAAATCCTGGGGCCACAAAGGCCACAACAGCGAACAAAAACAGGATTATATTCCTCATATTTCTTGGGTGGATAAACATTGTTATCACATCACAAGCAAAGTAAGAAAATAAGTCTCAATCCAGCAAGAAAATAAGTCTCAATCCAGCAAAGAAAAAAGTCTCAATCCAGCAAAAAAAAAAGTTGCCTAATGTATACCAATTACAAGTAGGACTAAATGAATCACATCTGCGAAGCTTGTTTTGCAATCACATCATCTGACAATTATCAGAAAACTTGCGGTCACAGACTACCTGATAGCGAGGAAAATGATAGGGCGATGCTATTAATATGTTTGTATTGGATTTGCAAGGTGCGCAGTTCACTTACTGTTCAGGAATTCTGCCTCCTGTAGAGAACGTGACTTTGATTCTCCTTGTGATGTTCTTCTGCATCAAGTTATTTGTTTATTCAACTTTATTTAAGTTTTGCAAGCTTTTTTATTTTAATGGGTGACATTTCAAGATCTCAACAATAATAGTGGACATGAAGATGTGGTAACACCCCCATGCAAATAAAATAGAGGAAGATGTATATGGAAAAAAAAATTAAAAATACAATATGCAAGATGCACACTATGAGTGTTGAATTACAAGAACATATATTACAAGCCATGCAATGATTGATTAATATATATATATCCGCTTTTTAGGGATGATTTTCCATATAGTCCACGATATCTGACTACATGATTAAAATACTTTATATATATATATATATATATATATATATTATTGGAAAACGAATGGAACTAGAGTACTAATTAACAACATGGTGAAAATAGTAAAGAGTTTATTGAAATATGTGGAATATTTGGGGAGAATCAACAAGGGTTTATGAAAACATATACCTAATTACCAGCAGATTAAAATATTTTCTCTAATGCAATCTACATGAATCTAATGTCTGAAACCTATTTTGAAGCAAAAAACAAAAGAAAATTTAACAGTGGCCTCTCCGAAGTGGATTGGATGACTTCTGATTGATTATCATCATCCCAAGATCTTCAGGCAGACTTTGATCTGCCCTTCTATCATTGTTAAAACAAGGTCTCTGGCCCAGAGAAGATAACAGCTCATGTGAACAATGGTAGTAGGTAAACATGGAAACAGTATCCAATTGATACTGCATTTTTAGTTCAGAAGACAAAGAGCTAGGGGGGGGGGGGGGGGTTATGTCATGTGTCATGTCACGGAACTGTTTCTTAAGGAAGTTTTTCGGCTCTGCTATTGAAGAAAATTTTCTATTCATAGTTCTCCATTTTTCTCCTTTTTCTTATATATCTTTCTTCGCAAGCTTCCAAGAAAACCCAAAAGAAAACCATCTATTATGCCACTAATTGGAATGACCTATATGGTAAACTTAGTGCTAATCAAGCTGTAAAGGTTAGCTCTCTGGTCAGCTTTGGAGAGTATCAAGCGTAATCTTGCACACATTAGAGAAAACAAATTGCAAGAGCTTAACTTGAAATTACTGTATAATATATTGCCAGTAAAAAGTGATCTTTTCAAATGGGCAATATCTAATGACAAGAAAAAAAAAAAAAAGGGGGGAAACAAAATTATCAGTATAATCTTTATGTTAATGATGACTCAAATGTTTCGTAAAAACTTAATTTCAATTCTTTGTTATGCCAATAATGATGCTTTTGTGATTATGTAAGTTTGATTTGTATCCTTGTATCTTTGAATGTAAACCATGTATATCTAATAAATCCTCTGATGAGGCAAAGTAAATATATATATATATATATATATGTATATGTTTGTATATATTGTTTTCTCACTGCGCACTGTTCAGTCCATAAACCGATACAAACTATTTTAAATGACCATCAAATAAACATGTACACTGTAGATACATGTAGAAGCACTTCTTGACCGTAATTCAATATTAAATTCATTATATCCTGTGCAATGACGCTATTTTGTATAAACCGCATTACAAAATGTATTAACCACCAGATTTAGAAATCGATTTACCCATTTGGTTTTTTACTTTTTTAATTATTATATTGGATTGCCGTTTCTACAATGTCTTCTTTTTCAAACTTTCAAACCAATCAGATATATGGGAGGTGGAATATATCTCGCTTAGCAATAAAACTACCCATCTCAAGTTTTATACATGCAAGACAGTAAGATATTACTAATACTTTAAAACAAATTATAGTTTTTAACATGCATGAACATACAGTACCATGTATTATAGAAAATGCCATATTTTTGAGAAAATAGCTTTATAAAAAAGTGGCTAACAGTATAATGACTGAATGAAATATTTCATTTAATTATTAGCAACAAAATTCAACAAGTTGATTCATTTGGGGGGGGGGGTGCAAAAGGAATTAATAAAAATATCACACTTCATAACATGCTTGAAGCTTGTGCAATTTAATCTTGTAAATATTGCGCAAGTTTATTCATCTCCCATGCAAATGTATACTGTTGACTTTTGGTAGGAAATTCAACATTGAAACATTACGACTCAATGTCACTCATTCAAAGTTTCATGACCTTTCCGCCATTGTATTAAAAGTTATCACCAAGGCACAAGTATTATTGTGAACTTAACACACAGCTCAAATCTGAATCATCAACTATTGATTAAAAGTCCTTGAAAGTAACACACAGAGGCCGGTACTTGGATAATGTAATTTTATTTTTTTTTTTAATTTTGAAATAAACAGGTGTATTCTACTATACATTCCTGCTCATAAAATGTATAAATTATGACTTTTTCACATCCTATACTTCTTAAAAGTATTTGAATTTGGAATCTTGTGCAAAAAAACTTTCTGTTGTATTCAATTATTCAACTGTTTTAGGTTCAAATATTCCTTGTCAGATATTTTTTCAAAAATGTGAGGAACAAAAAATCTGTAACGAGCTTGTGTTTTAAAATATATTTCTTCATGAAAAACATCGGTTACCAGGTATTCAAATCATAAAAGCAATTGTTTTCTTCTAACAATACAAAGATTGAGAATGACAAGATGTATTAGCATTTGTTTTGATTTTCTTATTTTCTTAAAATTGTAATGTACTTGGGCGATTGCGCAACTTCTTTCAAATATATCATCTTTTGCGAAAAAGTTCCTGGATGACCGTGCAGTAATTTTTTTACGATATTTCGTGGATCGGGGTACACAAACACTTAAAATGGTAAATATGGATTTAAATACCCACAAGGTAAAGACAATGGATGTCTGCACACAGACCTTGCATCCCACTCAATGCCATTCCCTAATTAAACATCACACTTTTACAAAACAAAACAATTAAAGTTAGTTCATGCTTTCTCTTTAAATATTTAATACAGAAATATTAACATTCTTTTAATATACAATATGAACATAATACAAATATACAATATACTTATTCACAAACCTTTATCTATATATACCTATTTACATAATCATAGAGAATAATTTCGGATTTATAATACAAAAATCAAATGCTACTCCGGGTAGATAACATTCAGTTGAATGTTTTATTGAAAAAATACAAAATATAACTCCTTCGCTTATGAAAGAATTATCTTAAACCATAATGAAGCTGGGGGGGGGCATTATCTCCCTCCAGAATTTTTTGAGCTGCGTCTTAACCGCTTGAATTTCTGGATTCATGTTTCATGACTTTTTTCTTTCAAGTCTCCCGCACATTTTGATACCAAATTTGTGCCATTGGGACTTACGGTAGGGGTGTCAAATCACAATTATTGATCACACGTGACACGTCAATCAAAATGTGAATTTTCTGTATTTGCTAGTGTTGAAGAATCAGTTGATCTTTCAAAATCAGTTGATCTTTGTCATTATTAAGAAGGTTTACACTTCTACTAAATGAGACCTATCTTGGGTTCATCCAACAAAAGAAAACTTAAATTATAAAAAACAATAGAAAACGTAAGAAAAAAAACAATGAAATACAAAGAAAATTGAAAACGATGTATGTTATTTGACAATTAATGTATTTTACATAACTTTAATTTTAAATAAACCATATAGTTCATCTGTTGGAGTGTTGAAATATTATCAAACAACAAATTTTCCCACCATTTTACACTGTAAAACTGCCAAAAATATGTCAGACAACTATATTATACATTTTGTATTCATACAATTATTTTAAAATCTTTTACATAGATATCTTTGGCTTTGTACTCATAAACTGAAGTAAAATTGAAGTTCAAATTCATGATGAATACCAAAAGCTTTGGAAATGATCCAGTCAAACTGTTAAAATATTTAAAGCCCATATTTATAACTGAAAAATAAATCAAGCTGTATGCAACTGTTTTTATCAATGACTAGATACAGCCTCATTAATGCATTGAACATTGCTTTCGGTTTCATAACACTCATGCAATTAGAATGTTTAGTCAATGTGTAAAAACAAGAAACAACAAATCAACTAAAAAAGTCACAGAAAATTCAGATTGTATTATATTTCAAATGTGTTAGAGTATATCAATGATAAATGGGTAACAATTTTATATGAATTTATTAATGAAGTTAAAATTCTGGTAAATGGTGACTGAAATATAGTAAAATATACTCAAATATATTACTATTTTTTTAGGGGTGAATTAAAAGACAATAGGTATTGCAGTGCATTAGTCTTCTTCACCAAAGCTAATAATATATAATCATACAGCACTTCAATATTGAAAATTAATCAGCATACACAAATATTGTAATAATTAACACAATTTTTATTTAAATTCATTCAAATTCCTTCCTCACAAATATTGTAATTCTTTGTGAAAACACACAATTTACATTAAGAGTTAAGTGCTCAAACTTGATATTACATTTAAGTTTAATTCTAAATTGATCTGTAAAAAGAAAATTACAGTGTTTATAGAGGAGGGGGGTGGGGCAAAACTCCAAAAATAGAATCCATCATGCAATGTGATGTCTGATCCAAACATATGGTGAAGATGATAAAACATGCAAGATGAAGGTGGGTTTACTTTCCTGGCTTTTAACCTCGGTTTGGTTTGGCTTGGTCTTCCATTGCGAGGCACTTGTTGGTCTACTCTTAATCCATGCCATCCACAACTGATGAAAAGAAAGTAGATTGGAATTAATGTTACATTCATTAACCTGGTCATTTTTCATATACAAATTTTTTTATTCTTTTTTTATATACAAAAAATACAATTTTGTGACAGTATTTGCTCCATATTTTTGTGGTTTTTCCTAGAAAAATAGATTATTTCTTTTATTTTCTTATGGAAAAAATGTAAAATAGACAAAAAACATATTTTTAAGCTTAGGATTTGGAGCAAAAGATAAATGAAAATATATATTAAAAGTTGAAAATAGTATTTATTTGTATTTGTATTTGTGCTGTGGTTTCACTGTTTTTCAACATGTTTTCAACTTTTTTTTTTTGTGACAAGGACATTAACACTTTCCATGCCAACAAGTTCATTTGTTGTAAGTGAACTTTCATGATTCTAATTTTGAACTTCTTATGCTTTGATTTAGTATTGAATTAGGAAATAAACTCCAACTGAAGACCATGTTTTTGTTTCAGACATAATTAAGGTGGCAAAATCACTGCATTGTTTTTATGATGACATACCTATTACATTTCTATATGTAATAATACAGAGCTCAGTGACTATGTCCTTTGTGCATGCAGCTGTCAACCATTAACACGTTAAAAACTGAGGCATAATTTTTGGGGTAGTTTACTGTGCAAAATCTGAACAAGCCTTCATGATTTTCTTCAACGTTAGATTGGATATAAGATATCTTTTATAGGAATGTCTCCACTACAACGATCTATGTTTTTGTTTCAGGAAGAACAATTAACATAGCCAATCTCAAGGCTTGTTCAGATATGAATGGCGCGTAAACCGCTGCATAATAGCCGTTATCTCATATCTGAACAAGCCTTTAGTCCAAATGCATTGTTAAACACTAACATTCTGGAGTAGATTTTGCTGCCCCAGGTACAAAAGGAGTTAAGTACATGAACAAAAAAAAAGTATTGGCAACGAATAATTGACTACAGGTCAGTTAAAAATACTTCTTGCAATGAAAAAAAAAACAGGGATCTGTTCATTCACATAGGATAAAGAAAATGATTCATATTACAATTAGCAGACATGAGCAAAGGTGATTTTAAAATAGCTTTTTTGGCATAATGCAGGTAAAAGACCTGATACAAAATCAGTACAACTTTTATCCCATTTAACTTAATATTTGTGTATTCTTTTGTTCTGGAAAAAAAATATTCAGTCATTGTAAGAAAGGTAGGTTCATATGACTTGAAGCAGCATTTTAAATTCCTGAGATATGCAGAAATTATATATTCCCTTTTGTTTCAAGAGCATTGTTCTTCCCAAAAAATCAAGATCAATTTGGTCCTTATCTATTTAAGTAAAGGTGAAGAAACAAACAAGGCATGACCTACTTCCTGGTATGTTGACCTTGTTTGAGCGAAGTACATCAGCTTGGACTGGGCTCATTACCATGTATAGACTCTCTGGGTTGGACTAGAAGGAAACACAATATAATTACATGTATACATGATTAAAGTATGAAATCAACACTACACTGTATATCATTGAAACGCACAAAATCTTTCTTTAAAAATACTTACAGAAATTTGAATGAAGAAGGATTAAAGTATGAAAGTATGAAATCAACACTATCATTCAGGGGTGATTTTTTTTTTCCCTCAACCACGCACCCTTGAGTGAAAAAAGAAAGAAAGAAGTTCCCCCTTTTGAGTACCGGTAACAACAATTGGAAAATAATAGGGAAGGAAAAAAAATGGGGTAAAAGAAAAATAATAATCAGGAAACCGATTTAAATCTGGTTTTTATCAGGCCTGATCATTACAACACACAAAATCACCCTTAAAAATCCTCCCAGAAATTCGAAAGAAGAAGGATTAAATTGTTCCAATCCCTTTAAAATATCATTTGTGTTCAGCAAGGATGTATGAAATTGATCAACACTGAAAAAAATTGACCTGGCACTCTATGGGTTAATGGTTAAGAAGTATGAAGAAAATAAAGGATACCATGAAACTTGATGTATGGAACCAAAGTCGGACAAGGTTTCATGCGTCAACTTGTCTTTTCACTAGTCACTGTTTTTTTTTGAGAGAGGTGCATTTGAACTTGTAATCTCTCTCATGTGTTTATGAATTATAACATACAGAGTAAGATGGTTTATGGAGATTGGTAAACTAAAAAATCTGAGGGGGAAATAGTTACATTTTATGATCTGGATGGAAGTTACACTCGCTTTACATGTGAAATACAGGCAAGCCTGCATGCCAACAAGCCTAGTCACAAGTCAATAGTTTACACTTTCCACCTACAATATTTCTTTGAGAAAGTAAAATTTGAAGCCCATATTTTCAATATAAACTGTTGCTGGAACAATTTTGTTGTTACCTTTGTTGATAAAATGATAATTGTGACATTATGGTTTATTTTTGATAGATTAAATTGATATATTCTAAGAAGTTTATTGGTCACTCTAAAGATTCACAGAGATTGATCAATAAAATTCTGAGAAAATTATAAACAATCACTTCACAAAAAGAGATCAGAAAAAATTATTCCAATTCAATGGGAAACAGAGTACATGGACTATTTTTGACATGAACTCCAAATGTACAGATCAAAATATTTTATATTTCATGGTGATTAAGGCCCTTAAACATTGAGGACAACACTGACAAAGTATAAGCAAAAATTCTTATTCCATCTTCCTCCTTATCTCTCCAAACCTCTCATTCTTCTCATAATATTTACTCAAAATTGTGCAGAGTAATCTTTGGAACTAAGATGATTCAATGTTATCATTGCTATCATGATATGCATGCATTACATGCAACGTGAGCAAAGACTTGCAGTATGTTTCATAGCATATTACAATTATAAGTTCTTTGCATACGAAACAAATTAGTCAATGCATTGTTCAAATGACTTATGACAAATATGACAATGCAAACACTGTTATCAAAGTTGAATGGTCTGAAATTATAATCATGATTATTATTATTATCATAAGAATAGTTTGATGATGCACACTTTAAACAGATAACAGCCAAAGAGGTAGATATGACACATCAATCACTGTCAAACTAGCTAATTACATGGATGCCCTCCCGAACCATGATGACCTTGAAATACACTTTGTAACTCAAAGTGTATTGTCTTTCATAACTGCTACGACCCCTCAATAACCCATGTCCAAATTCCACAAAGACTCTGAACAAGTTTCTCCCCATCGATCCATTTCAACATTTCAATATGTGATTTAATACTTAGTCTACAGAGTTTGTCTTGTCTCCATTTTCAATTATTCACCACGAACTGATAACAAGATGAGCTAAGGTCTAGACCTCTATTGTTCTGGAAATTTACATGTGTTTACCAATTTCTCTGGCAACATTGCACCATTCTGTTTTGGAAAGCATAATACCATGAACTTTATAGATATTGTTAACTGTTATCATTATTTTGATAAGATCATTGTGGTGACATTGTGGTGACAATGAAGAAACACAATGTAGAAAACATTAACCACCTTTGGGGAAATTTTGTAGTCATTCAAATTGCCAAGTTTTGTGCATGCTACTGCTCATAATAACAAAGTAAACAACAAGAATAACAAAGTAAACAACAAGAAAAGAAAATGACAACTTTCATGGACTCAATCCCCCTCCCCCTCCCCCTCCCCCTCCCCCTCCCCCTCCCCTCCCCTCCCCTCCCCCTCCCCCCTCTTCTTCCCCCCTTCTCAAACCACATTGTATGCCATGTTGGCATTTGGCATTTTAAAAACTTATCCCTTTCTTCCATGAAATGTTTTTTACCTTTTCCTTCGGACAACTTTCCACCTTCCAAAATTTCAAACAGGTCCGCAGATTTAACCACAAAAAGAACAAAAAGATAGTAATAATAATAAATCACTGAGGAAAGGATTGTCAAAGCTTACCATGAACATCTGATATAAGGTGTCTCCCATTGCTTCTCTACAGTTCTCATCCACAATAGGAAATGTGCTAACCAGGTACTGAAAATATTTTAAAAATTAGATTGATAATAAAATGTCAATTAACATCAGCTGCGCAATCTGTAATCTGCATAAATCAAAGGGATGTTTTAGGACATTCGGTATGTTTATGTCCCAGAATCAACATGGATGTACTTTCACCACAAAAATGGAAGAATAACCCCCTAAACAACTTTGATAGAATTTCAGAAATTCACAAGGCCATATCATTCTGAAAACTATGCTATTGTTTTTAATGTAAAGAAATTGTTTACCGTCTTTACAAATTAAAATTGCACAGATTTATCACTTATCATTGGTGCTACCACAGATGTCTATTTCTTTAATTAATCTATGTGGGTGGCCAGCTTTGCACAAATATTATTCAACGCCTGGTCCAACTTTTGATTTGTTATGACAATATCAAAATTGTTACACTAAGAATAATAAATGCATTATGAATACCATCCCATGTTAATGGATCAAATTTAATAATATGTTATTTATTAAACAAGTGAACTTCTGTTTGATAACATGATTAACTTTTCATGATCATGATCACCATTTTATTAGAGTCAGCATTTTCATTCTCATGGGGGTTTACTGCTCTTTTTCTTCACCATATCTTTCAACAAAATCTTTGATCTTCCTTCCCTTCTTGCGCTATCCACTTCCAGAGGACCACACTCTTTTCACAGGTTCATCATCTCCCTTCTCAACACATGACCCATCTATCTCAATCCACTTCTCTTTTCAACGTCCACTGCAGTTTCTTTCCAGACCCAACCTTTCCTTGAGCTTACTTGTGTGCTTTCTATTGGACAGTTTCACACCACAAAGTTTTGAAATCAGTGTGAGTATACGGTAGCTACCTCTAATGTGATGCTAGCCTGTCTCTGGCTGTCTGCATGGTCTTCATTGCCCATGGCTATGAGAAGGTTGTGCACCACTCGGAGTTGGATTAGTTTCTCACAGTTCTGATGCGACTCCCTGGAAAGGATGCTACAAGGTAAAGGAAAACAGATTTACAATCTTTTGGGTCGATCTGCAGGTGGGGTCTTGCGAAATTTGTATATGTTTGCAATTGGCCGTCGCTGCCTTTTTACCTTTTTTTTCTTAAGTTCAAGTTCAAGTTCAAGTTCAAGTTCAAGTTCAAGTTTATTTTCCACATGTTCATAAAAAAACAACAAGTATACATACATGTTCAGACATATAAAAAAATACAGTATTAACAAACAATAATATTAAGAGAAACAAATAGCGAACAAAATCTAAGAACAACTAAATACATGTATATAAAAAACATGTGGGGGGACCAACAAAGGCCAGGGGCCTGTCGAGGCTAATCCCCAGTACAATATTAGATATTTTATATATAAAAACAAACCAAAAACAAAAACAAACCAAAAGCCCACAAACAAAAGCGACGTACAGTACATAATAAAACAAAATTAAGTTGGTAAATTAGACAGGCAAACAAAAAATTATATCGTACCACTATAAGTTTGTGAATTGTTTTTATGTAAAATATACAGTTTAAATTTACGTTTAAAATTAGAAAGTGTCGGACTGTTCTTAATCTCTACTGGTATTGAATTCCAGGATTTTACACCAGTGTAAGAAATTGTTGTTTGAGAGAAACTATATTTATATAACGGTAATCTTAAGTGATTTGAATTTCTGGTACTATGGCTATGAATTGTACAATTTGAAGTGAAATAATTATTAAAACTATCTGGTAAAATGTTCTTAAAAAAGGAGTACATAAAAATTGCAATTTGCAAACTACACATTTGATCCACTTTTAAAATACTCAGCTGCTGAAATAAAGGGGTTGTGTGGGCAAGAGGTTGTGAATTGCAAATAACACGTATTGCACGTTTCTGGAGTACTCCAATTCTATTTCTCAGATACAGTGCACTGTTACCCCATACAATATTGCAATATGATAAATAAGGTAAAATCATTGTGTAATACAGAGTTAAAAGAATCCTCATTGGAACAACACTTCTTAATCTATTCATTACCCCTACGGCTTGAGAAATTTTTGCACAAATGTCATCGATATGTAATTTCCATGTTATTTTATCATCAATTGTAACTCCTAAAAATTTTGTTTGTTTAACTTGTTGTATTAAGCAATCTCCAATAAATATTTGTATTAAGTCTTCATTAATGAACTTATTCTTAGGTTTGAATATCATGTAACAAGTTTTATCAGTATTTACAGCCAATCGATTAGCAGAGAACCACTTAGTAACATTTTTCATTTCTACGTTCAATACATTATTAACTTCTGCTACATCATTACCTGAAATAAAGAGACTTGTGTCATCGGCAAAGATAATTGAGTATAATACATCACTAATAAATTGAAGATCATTTATAAACAATAGAAATAATAGGGGCCCCAAAACGGATCCCTGGGGCACACCAACAGATATATTACATAAATCAGATTTGTGGTTGTCTATAAATGTATATTGTTTACGATCACTGACATAACTCCGAAACCATTTTAAGGGTGTACCTCTTATACCATAGCGTTCCATTTTGTTTAAAAGTATTTCGTGATTAATGCTGTCGAATGCTTTCGATAAATCTAAAAATATACCAATTAGTAAAGCAAATTAATTTAATCTGTCACTAAATTAAAATAGAATGTAATAACATAATTAATAAACAATAATATAACTATGATATAATTATGTTATTATGGTAATTTAAGGACATAACAAATTATTCAAAAAATATATTCATATGGACACTTGGCATTCCATACTTGGATTAAACCATGGACTAAAGTTAGTCTGCTTTTGAGAATACCACCCTATACAACTAAGCCACTCACCCTATTACTTTAGCTGCTGATGCCTGCTGTACAAACACTGCCAGAGGGCGCTTTAGGTCTGGAGCACTTGGGTCTAGTTAAGAAAAGATTGAAAAGGTGAGTCAAGTATAATTCATATAACTATATTTAACATAAGACAATTTATTATGACAATCGTTTTGCGTGTACTTGAGCCCTAGGATCAGTAATGCTGTATATATACAATACAAGCTGACTATTATTTACTTAGAAAATGAATTCATTTGCTTCACTATGGAACTTCTCACCAACAAACAACATCATTATTCCAGGATATATTCAATGAGCTGCTGAAAACTGGGAATTTTCACTTCAATTCTCAAGATTTGCATGAAGAATTTTTTGTTGGGGGGGGGGGGGTAGGGGCGGGAGGGGGGTCTTTATATTGTCTAATCTCTTGGAAAGCCCTCCTTGCTTTATGCATGTTGAAAGTGCAAGGCATGGCAATATATAAAGCATGGATAGCATTCTGAGAGCAGTGCAGATTATAAATCGCACTGTTTATGAATATTTGAATATCATGCGCATTTTTCCACACTCTGTCTTTTACTATGTTATCTTTCCAAAATGTACATGCTGTGTTTGCTGTAACAGCGCTTTGATCAATCTTTTGTAAAAGTGCTCAATAAGAAACAATATCATTACTATTTATCTAAAAATGAGAAGATAAAAAAAGGCTCTTACCATCAAGGATTTCTGGTCTTCTGAGAATCTCTTCCCTGGATGGAACCAATGCTGCTACCAGGTTAGTTAGTAACTGGTCCTGGATCTCATAGTTCATCAAGTCTTTGATCAACTCAGTACCTGACAGAGAAAGAGAGAGAGAGAGAGGTTAAAGGTTGTCATAGTCGACAGGGTTCTTGTTAATTTTTCTGATAGCAGGCTATTTATGATTTACAGGAGGCTACTAAAATTGCAAAAGAAAAATTTCTGTGCGCGTAGCGCACATCACGAGCGCGAAGTCCCTTGCGGCCGGGGTCCAGGGCCCGCCCAAGGGCCCTGGAAGCTTTAGGGTTTTAGATGCTCTCTGGTGCTATCTTAGCCTTATTTTTGAAGATATGACCACACTGTATGAGCCATAGTTTAATGATAAAGATCATGAATATTTTGGCTGAATAACTTACTTTTCATATGATATACAATATGAAATGAAAATGCTCCATTATTGTTTCTGATAAATCAATCATATTTGTGATGAATCTACAATTTTGAATTACATGATAATGATACAAGGTAGTCCTGGGCAAAAACGGTTAACTGACGTGTACAGGACCTTGTCAGTGAAGAAAATCGTTTGCGATAAAAAATTTAAAAAATTGGAACACACATAAAAAAAATATGACAAAATTGGATTGGTAAATGGTTTGCAGTTATGTGACAGCTGTCACAGGGGTCTGGGGGTGTTACGAATACGTTATCGAATCGTGCATCGCCAAATCAATCACAGTTTCACACTCATTATTACTACCGGTATTATTTATAATTTAGCCTACATTATTATTTACATTTCAAATAAAAAACTTACCTGTACGTTGCTTCTTACTCTTAATAGTAACAGGGTTCGTACGGTCAGGGAATTTCTGGAAAGTCAGGGAATTTAAAAATGTTTTTTCCAGAAGTAAAAAGTCAGGGAAAGTCAGGGAATTCATCCATTTCTTCTGGAAAGTCAGGGAAAATCTTTTTTTTTCAAGATGTTTGTTAAAATGGCATTTAATTTGTCTTGTGAACAAAGGAAAAAACATTTGGTAAAATCTGTGGTTCACAGGACCTTTTTCGTAACACGCAATATCTTTAGGACCTACTGGTACCGTGTCTATTGTGTCTTTCATACTGTATGCAAGATGTTTGTGCGCGTGAATGACTTGCAGTGACAGGTGCGGTGCGTGGTGCCGGTGTGTGTACATACAAGAATGCTGCATGCACGCTGTACGATTACTTTTTGATCGAGCTTGTGCTTTGATTTTGATTAAAAGTTTGAATGAAGGTGTTTTACCCTGGGGTTTTACCACAGAATATTCATGAAACAATAATTTAAATGTAAATAACTATGTATCATGAGCCACTCGTGTTTTCTTAAGAACCCCTTTAAAAATTGTGTTGCTCTTTACTCGAATATCGCAACCCTGAATCGCATTTGATATACATTTGGCGTCCATTGTGCGAGCGCGAGCATACAGCCAGTAGTTAGCCTAGCCTCGTGGTTGCTGCTTTCCCCAACGTCCGCAATGAAGGCACACTTTTTTTCCCTCAGCAAAATATCCAAAGTCGGGGATGGGCCTTATATAGTCAGGTACAGGATATTTGAGTCCTCAAATGCTACTTTTTAGTGGTTTCAAAAAATCTCTGTGTCTCAACATGAATTACATAATGCAAATAAAGAATAGGATCTACTATTTGAAGTTAAACTACGTTCCAAATTTGAAAGGAAGAGAGTTTTTTTTCCAGTTTTTTTTCTTCAGTCTCGATAAATTATGCCCTGTCACAAGGACTTTGCCGGCCGAAGCTCTCCCGTGTCTCCAGCTCACTCACCTGTATGATGCAAGCTCACTTACACAGGGGATAACGAATCACCACGTGAAAACTAGCCTGTCCACATTTCTGTTTGGACTCGGAGGAAAATTCTGTCATCTTTAGTTTTAAAAACAACATTGTTAAATGGGTCTAACTTAGTTCACAAGCACTTCAACTGTGCCTCGTAATAAAATGAAAGTATTTTCGAACGCTGTCACTAAAATAAGAGCCGATCTGATGTTAACAAAATGACCAATGTTGGCTTTTTTTTGGTGGCTTTTTGTTAACCAGATCAGATCACGTCTTATTTCAGTGTTCGAAAAATACTTTTACTTTTCATTATACAAGGCACAGTTGAAGTGCTTGTGAACTAAGTTAGACCTAGGTCTAGTAACAATGTTGTTGTTTTTTTCCAGATTTTTTTTCAGATTTTTTTTTAGATTTTTTTTTTTTATCTTCGAAATAGGGGTGCGCCTTACAGTTTTGTAATTTGCTTCCTAGTATTGCGATGATGTATAGTTGTACGCTTTAGATTAAGACATGTTCATCATTGAAAATGGTCATGGAAATTTACATTATCCTGCTCTGGAAAGTCATGGAGAGTCATGGAATTTTTAAAATGTGTAAGTGTACGAACCCTGTAGTAAGGAAGGAAGACATCGATGTCTGCCGTTTCAATTTCATTTTAATTCGACTGGCGTGCGATCTCGGAGATAAATTCACTCAGCTAGCTCAGCTCGGCTCACAACGCGCGCTTTTCTTGCGTAAGCTAGCTTGCCGGCCTGCGCTTGGCTCTGGCATATACTAGATAGCTCTGCCCCCGCGTGCGCCACGCCGCAAGTCCATATTTTAATAGGGTTTTATTTTACGATCGTTTCGGAGACGTTTCATCTCATTTCTTTACGACCGTTTTCACAACCCCGCGCTATGAAAGCGTGTCTTCGTGAAGCTTGTGATAACAGAAATTTGAGATAGCGACTTGACCGAATATGATGTGATTTTTGTATTATTATTATTTTTTTTTGGAGAGGCTTACAGCCGGCTACGATTGCCGTTACAGCCGGAAAAAATAGCCGGTTGCCGGCTATTAACAAGAACCCTGAGTCGAGTGGTTTAAATACTAGACTGGAAATGCAAAGAGGTTGTGGGTTTGAGCACCGTCAAATAGCAGTTGAGTCGTTTAGATGAAGGACATTTTGATTAATTTTTCTCATTAATTTTTTTTTTTAAATTTTAAATGCTGGAAATAACATTCCTAGAAAATCACAGGAGACCTTTGCATAATATGAGACCACGTGTTGGAATTGCCAGCTCAATAAACTTGGATATTCCATTAAAGATGCACCTTCATGTAATAACAACTTTCCATAATCTCATGTATCTCAGGTTATGAGGGTCTAAATACCCTTTATATCTACACATATAGACTATAAGTCATTATAAGAAGATGATGACGTGGATCCTATATGATTGGTTGAACACGTACATGTGACTACGCATTTATTTTGCATAATGAGTAATTTGGATAATGACTGGTCATTATCCAATGGTAATGACCAGTCATTATCAAAATCATGTAATAAAAACATCATTTTATAAAATACATAAAACATAATCTTATAAAACAAATAATACACATCATTTTGTTCGGGCATTAGTAAAATTACCCACACTCGGTACCTTCAAAACAGCCCTCGGCTATCTCCTCAGGCGTGTTAGACTAATCCAAAGGTACCTAGTGTGGGTAATTCTTACTAGTGCCTTCACTACTGTGTATCATTTGTAAAATAACCTACCTTCAAACTGTACTTCTAGATGATAGGATCTCAGGAGTGCTACTGCAGGTTCCACTATATTGGGATTGGCATGCCCAACTATTTTCTGTAAAGTGAAATCAATTTCATTTTAATCCATTAAATGAAAATATTTTCACCTACAACTAGGATGAAATTTGTATGAAGTTACTGATGGGAACCTGGTTTTTTAAACTAATAAACATATCATTTTAACTTGAGATGTCTAAGTGAAAATATAAGCATCACAAAAAAGAGATTCCTAATATTAAGCCTACATGTATGTGTTATTTCATAAGGGATTGAAAAATACAGTATTAGACTTTCCATCAGTAGATTTACATAATGGGATTGCAGGGCACTCACTGAAAACAATTATATATTAATACTGAAGAAGCTATGCTAGGTAAACCAGACACAATCAATACTATCATATTTATTATCATTACTTGGGAATAATACAAAGTTGACCCCAGTAACATTTGCTTCAAGCTATATTTTGTACAAGGTATAGCGTAAGGATTTGGGTTGCAATAAATCTTTTGCTCAGATTGAAGTTAGCAATTGTCCACAAAACAATTGTCCTTGCATCTCAGTTAGAATCCATACAAAATATGAGAACTTTAGAAAGAGAAATATGAAGAGTTATTTCAAGAGTTATTACACCTTAACAAGGGTAAATCAACATATTGTCAGTCAATTGTTAAATTCGACCCCCTAAAGTGCCTTGATCCTGGAGGCTACAATGCCTGGGCCCAGTAACACAAAGCTTTATTAGCAATCGATTGCACTATTAGTTTTTGTAATTGATTGCACATAATGGTGCAATATAAATATAAATTCTGTAGATTTGTGACCATGATTTTGTATGTCCCATGAGAGACTAATGCTAGTAAATGGTGAGAGCAAACAGTGGCTTTAAGTCGATCTTAGTCTTTGTGAAACACCCCACAGGTCACTTGAATAATTTGAATAATCATAAAGAGAATGCTGTGTACCTGTACTATCCTGAGAGTCTGCGCAGCCATCTGCTGTGCCTTGGGTGAGCTGCATGGCAAGAGAGCGATCAGACCCTTGTAGACCTGGGACTGGAACTTGGGGTTTCCTTGGGCAAGGTTCTGAAGCAGACTCCTGGCACATTCTTGGGTCTCTTCTGACTTGGACCTAGCCAGGCATTCAGCCACAGCTCTGATGCCTAGAAAAAGGACGGTGATGGAGGGAGGGAGGGAGGTGGTAGTTGGAGGTGGAAGGAGGTTGGAAGGAGAGAGCAAGGAATATTATTATTATCTTCACAAAGAAACCACAGATTAAGAATATGATATTGCTTGGTTAATCAAACACAGAATTGGGCCCTGAGTTAAGCCTATATGAGAAAGAAATTTAGCAGTCTCAAAAGGGTATACTTCAAATACTTGAAGATTATCCACATTCTAGGCATAACTTTTGAAAAGTCTGTCTCCTCTATTAAAAATGTAATGATCGTAATGATAAATGTCATAAACTCAAATCTAAAATACAGGGATGCCTGTAAGAATTGATCAGAGAGCCTGAAAACCACCTAAAATGAGGTATTTTGTACACAAAAAAAGCCTAAACTATGGCCTAAAAATCACAAGGGCCTGAATTCAGGATTGCCTGAAAACTGGCATCCCTGAAAATAGATGCATTCCTTACCATAGCTCTCACAAATGAGTTCCTTGTACTTCCTGCCTGAGTTGGCAACACACTGGAGGAGGAGAAGTGCTTGTGTCTTGTCCTCTTCCTTAGCTTGCTTGAGACCAAGTATCTCAAGGATTGTCATCACTCCACCTACCTCTAAGAATTCAGCCAGGAACTTGTGCCTAGAGATTGGAAAGATGGGCATAGATTGAACGCTTCTAAAAAACCAACTATGGTACATGATACACACTGAACCAGTGTAATAGGTAGCTTAAAGGTATAGACCGGTAGTGGTAAAATTGCGGTTGAAGGGTTTTGAATGCAAAATATCCATTCAATATTGTTTAAATATTGCGTTCAGATGTTTAAATGGCAATACTTCAATTCTCCAAAAAGCAGAAATATATGCCCAAATGTTCAATGTCGAAGTGCATTTGAGATATCTATCCAGGCCGGATCGACATGATAATTTACCAAATATATCAATTAGTAGGCGGTTTCCCGGCAAAGATTGTAAACCGAATCATTATTTAAGCAATTAGTATTGCAATTAATTATCAATATGGGAATATTTATTGGAATATATGGAGTAATAATTCAGGCAAAATCAAATGGATTTCATATATTTTCTAACTGTAAGGATAATGTATTAGACATGAATTTTCAATATCGCTTCAGATCCAATTTCCTACATAGTGACACAAATTTAAATTAATGATCTGATTCATTTACAATTGAAATAACTCATGAGAAATACTTACCCACTAGAGGCTGACAGGAAGATGGTCATAGCCTGAAGCTGTAGATTTAAACATGTGCCCACCATGTATCTGTTTGGCATTCATGTTAAGGAATATTAACATTCACATATTTACCTGAAAGTAATCAATTACAAATTGGCCTCAGATTAATTTGTTGGTAGTCTTTACATGTAAATAGTGTCACAACCAAAAGTGTAATTAATAGCAAGATGAAACAAAAATGATTAAATCTACGGGAAGTATTTATCTAATAAAAGGCGCTTTAAAAAAATATATATCAAATAAAAACCGTTCTTGTCAATCCACTTTTCAAAATAGGTAATAAAAGCACAATGAATGAGCCACAATAATCTTTTGATATTGAAGTATACGCTCCATACGCTCATTTCAATCACACTAAGATTAATTGAGACGAGTAAACTACTCATGAATTATACATTATAAATGGAGAAAAGTAATTTTTTATTTAATGATTTTTTGATTTTTGTTTTAATGAATATTTCTTCTTGACACAGATCTGATAATAACTTTCCACTCCTAGTTTTAAGTGAGAGAATGAAGACTGTTAGTGTTATGTTTAAAAAAAGGCGCTATCAAATTACACTTGACAGACTAGATTGAGTAGGAATTCGGATTTAGGTGGATTAAATTTTTGAAAGGATACGTGAGACGGAGCCAGGCTGTCAGCCTTGCCAAGAAAAGACTAGCACCTTGAGCAAAGCGGGCTTCAATCTCTGGCCCGGTCTTGTTCTGGTTGTTGAGTACAAACTCCAGGAGAATTTGGGCTCGGACTGACTTGGACCCTTTATCCCACTCTCTAAGCAATGAAAGCATGTTGCTAGTTGCGGTAGAAGCCGACGCCATTTTGAGCTCAACGTGTAGTAGGTGCTGATGTAGGGCATGCACTCACAATGGGTTGAATTCTTCAGGAGCTACATGTAAATCAACAAACAAAAGTTATTCATTAATTTGAAGCATAAATGGGCCCTTTGATTTGAAAAAAATATTCATGCCAAAAACCTAGAGAAAAAACTAGGAGCCAAATACATACAAAAAGTATACAATTTTAGCAGCAAGCATACACATGTAAGCCATATTTGTAATCATTTATCTGATGTCTCATCTTGAGTGATAAATAATGTGGAATTCAAGTGTGAGAATAATTAGATGATGGTGGACTCCTTACCTTTACCAATTTTCTTGAGGAATGATAATTAAGATTCAAGAAAAAAAATTGAAGTGCATATTGACAGTGTATATTGATAATATCTAGATTTTCAAAGATATTTCATTGAATTGTCAGATGGCTCAAAGCTAATTACTGTAAGTAGATTAAGTTTTTAATTCAATCTGTTTGGTTCCTTAAAACTGAGCAGCCATGTTTTTACTTGTACCTTTCACTTTTTACTGTCTATACTCTAATTCCACTGTCAGCCATTCACTGCACGTGCCCCATTCCAGGTATACGGATTAACACTTAATTAACGCTTAATCTTAATTAAACTAAAGTGTCCAAGCCCAAGATCATATGATTTTCTGATTTTTTTTTTTTTTTTTTTTTTGGGGGGGGGGGGGGTGGAAACTGCTTTAATCTGTTCAGACTAGGCTCTGAATAATTCTACTCTTTCAACTTAAGATAAACAGCTCAGTCCGCCCACAGATAGGGGTTGAGTGTCTGCACACTTAACAAACATAAAGCCTTCTTTTTTGCCTTCAGATTTAAACGAAATATTCATCAAATCGTACGTATGCACTAACCATCTTACAATCATGAATATTTGTCCTTTTCATATTTTCCAACACAAGTCTAAGAACATTTCTGAAATAGAGCTAAAAAAATTCTTAAAATTGCTCATTTAAATCAACTGTCCGAAAAAAACTCCAGCTACAAAACGACACATCTGTTTATTACACTGTAATAAACAAAATTAAGACACCCTCTAAACTCTAATGATTCTCAAAACTTCTCACACACCACATACAAAACTCATCAGTATTCATTAGAAATCAGCACTTGTCTTTAAGAGTTTAGTGAAAATTATTGAACCTAAATACAAATTATAATAAATTCAACTCATTGATGCTGGAAAAAATACTTGTTGAAAATTCAAATTAGAAATTCAAATTGGAAATCTATCAATATTAATATCAGCAGTAGGGGCGCTGGTCCAAGAATGAGGATCGTCCTCATAAACGCAGACAAAAATAAGGATCGTCTGCATTTTCGCGGACGTTTTTTTTCATTGGCCCTCTGCTGGTTTTGGGTTACCGAACCGCCTGCTGGCGATGCCAAAAATGGATCCCCCTGGGGAAAATAACCCTAGTTCACCGTCTACTTTCATGGGTTGTCCGTCTTCCCAAGGATTTGTTGCTCATGATGTGAAGGTCTCTGTACAAAGTCAATGTAAAATGCATCAAGAAAATCATCACAGAATCCGTTTTTTGCATCGCCAATGCGCCAATCTAAAATAGCAGGCCTTAAATTAATCGACGGCCATCGACGGCCAGGCCGTCGATGCCCCTATGACTGGCCGCGGTGCCCTCCCAAAAAAAGATAAATTCACGGCCAAAAAGGCCGTGCCCTTTTTTTCAAACTGGCCGACGTGCCTTTTTTTCCAACTGGACGTGCCCTTTTTTTTAAATTTGCGCACATAAAACCACCAATTGCGCCCATAATCATCTAAAACTAGACGGCAAGGCGCAAGTGTTTTCCGTGAAAATGCGCCCATAAATTATTAGAACAGTAAAAATACACGAATCACGAACAGTCTGCCGCCCACGAGCTCTCTTCTAGCTTCGTATTTAGTGCTTTAATAAGGCGCAAGTGCCGTGAAAATGCGCCCTTTGTTATTATATAGGCAATGCGCTAGCGCACGTACAATCACGCGATCGCATGATATGCATATGGTGCATGCTGTTGACGCACGCACGTACGTACGTACGTACAAATCGAAGGCCAGGATCAAGAAAACAAATCGTCAAATGGAGAAATAAACAAGCATTCAAATAGTCATTAGAGATCTGTCGAGGTTTGTTTGTAGGTCTAGTTTATTATTTTATCTCAAATAGAATTTAGAATTATCTTATTAATAAGTTAAGAACACCTACGATGTTCTCGATCGTAGTTACTCTCATTTTGCCACCAGCCGACCTCGCTTCAAAAAGCTACCCCGCCAGCTTCCCAAGACGAACGTTTCGAGTCCCGGTAAAATTACGCGCTGCGAATCTCCGAGGGTGCATCGGTTTCGCTGGCAAACTTCCAGCCCGACAGCTTCCCACCAAAAGTGGCGAGAGTGTGTGTGCGAGGAACGATTTTGGTTTCGTGAATGCACGTTACGCAACTGAGCTGAGCGTGTCACTTTCAGCTGTCGAATGTCTATAAGGACATTTTTACATCTTATTTCATTAGTTAGGCCTATCTAGACCTTTCTATACAACAGTTAAAAAGATAATTTCTTCAAATTTGCTCCTACTACCGAGAGAGTGGCGGAAGGTTTGTGTGTGAGGTGCGATTTTGATTTGGGATACCCGGCCCGGTAAACTTGCCAAGTCCTTCTGACTTTCGTGTTTGTGAAATTGACAATTTATTTATTCATTTGCTCATCAATATTTTTAGTTACTTTAAAATACTGTTTAATGTGCAAGTTTGATGTTCTTAATCAATCTTTCCTGTTCATATTGTTAAGATTAAAAAGTTATTAAATTGATCGTTCGATCTATTCACATTATGAAATTAACATTTGTAGACTCTCTTTGAACTTATGATTAGATAAGGGGGCCTATCTCTTTTTGGAAAATTGCCCCTTGCTCTGGTAAATTCCCGTGGCAAAGGGCAACTTAAAAAAAAAATTGCCCCTTGCTCCTGGCTGCTAAATCTAAGGCTTGCGGGCCGCCGCCTTGTTTGTATGTACCGTAGACCTCTATACATTCTGTGAAGAAGCTGGTGCTAAAAGTCATGGGAAATTGATCCCGCACAAGTTTCATAAAATACACATGACATCTAACAAAAATAGAATCAATTTTTTTGGCCTCATACTCGATGCCCTTTTTGTAAAATATTTTGGCCTCGATGCCCTTTTTGTAAAAATATTTTGGCCTTGGTGCCCTTAAAAATATGAGGTACTCAAGGCCAAACTGGCCTTGCCCTAAAAATGACGAAATTTAAGGCCTGAAATAGAGTCTATAAAACGTCTGTGAAAATGCAGACAATCCTCATTTATGAAGACGATCCTTATTCTCGGACCAGTGCCTTACTGATCAGCATCATCATCATGATCATCACTTGCACAATTTAATTAATTATAGACCTAATGCAGTTATTTTTCTATTTTCTAGCTGGCTGGTGTGACAGTTATTGTCATGGATGGAGCATCCATACCTCCCTCCCCAAGCTCATAATTATCATTCCCTTGTCCTCAAGTTCATAAGAATCTTGCAGGATGTCGAGTGCTCTACCTCTGCCGTCTATATAGCGTCTTTCACCTCGTGGGATGAACGGCTCGGAGATGCAGCCCGCAACCGGGGCGGGCGCGTCCGTTAAGCTCACTCGTGCTCGCTCAATCTCAATCACTTAATCTCTTCATCACGATTCACACACATCGAATTAAACATGTGGGGACAGGCTTGATCAAATTCGGCGGAGGTGGACAATAAATTAAACAAATCGTATTCACAGTCGTTTCAACATGACTATCCTCTTTCTTTCTCACTGAGATGTGTACCCATAACTAAATGTCACCAATATATGTCTAAACTCACCCAAACTGTAGAATTGTGTGTATTTTCTAGTAGTAAACACAAGATTTTCGTTTCCAAAGAAACCTCAAACTTTGTTTTCTTCGGGTATGCGCATGCGCAAGCACATGTACCGGTATTTTTGTAGTGGAGTCGAGTGTTTCGTCTCTCTTGCAATACAGTACGTGCGTGAGCGAGTGCAGTACTTTACTTCCAATTCCACACAGCTCAGGAGCACAGTGACACTGCCTCTGTACTCACTACTGCTGACATCCCAGTTAATTCCCACAGACTCATACTATAAAGTAATAGTCATGGAGGAATTAGATTATCATGTGACTTTCCCAACCAACTTTTCAAAAAGCAGGGAAGTTTCAGATGTCTCTGAATCTGATGTTAGAAGTAGATCCATCACTGGTGATATGAGGACAGTTCCTGTCATTGTTCTGCTTGGATGGTATGGTTGCCAGGACAAGCACCTTGCAAAATACAGTTCAATTTACCAGTCGAAAGGCTTCATCACTATGCGCTACACTCTGCCACACGACTACCTTTTCTCAATTAAAAAGAGCTCCACCAGGGATGTGGCTCTCAAGCTCTTGGAAGCTTTCTTTGACCTAGGCCTCCAAGAAAATCCCATCTTCTTCCACGTTTTCAGTAATGGCGGCGGATATGTGTACAGGCACATAACAGAGACAGTGAATGGACCAAATCCTGGTCAGTGTGCTGCACTTAAGATCACAGGAGTCCTATGTGACAGCATGCCATCGTATCCAACGGCAACCTCGGCTTTCCGTGCGATTGTTACAGCGATGCCTCAGTCACAACACTGGTTCATCTTGTACGTCAAGTCTCTTGGGGTTTGGATTTTCTTCATGGTGCTCACGCTCATTTCTTATATACGGAAGGGAGGAACGTCCGACCAAGGAACCTACTACAGAGCAATGCTTGCTGACAAAATGCAGTGTCCACAGCTGTTTTTGTATTCAAAGAAAGATGCGATTGTCCCTTACAAGGATATCCAGGGAATAATTAAAGAAAGACGTCATAGAGGGTTTGATGTGCAGGAGGTAGTATGGGAGGACTCGGATCACGTTGCTCATCTTCGAAAACATCCTGAGGAGTATGTTGCTGCTTGCCTGAAGTTTGTGAAAGACTGCTTGGAGAGGGTTGATTGAGAGATGTAGGAGCACTTTGGGAGAGGGGGTGGGGGAGTGACACCCCATTTAAAACTTTAAAGTTTGGCATGTAAATAAAAAAACACTTATGAATCTTTTGTCTGAAAAAAAGAACATCTGTTAGCAAATTTGGAAATGGAACAATAAGATGACAAGGGCCCAGGCTCTAAATATCTCTGTTGATGGATTGGAATGCTTAAAACAAGGTTGAACAGTAATAATAGGCACATGGGTGCCCAAAATCTATATCTAGCTAGGCCCTTCCCCCTCCCCCTCCTTACTGCTAATGTTGACAATTTTAGCATGGGGAATTGGGGATCATACATACAGACTTGAAAAGCTGTAATCCTTGCCTCTATCTTAATGTGAGTGTGGAGCACTTTAAAATAACCTAAATGTATGCAATGTAGATCAGCTTTTATTTTAACTATAGACTTTGATGAGGAATAATATTTTAGAGTAGGATATTACTCGCATAATAAAGTCTGTATAAAGGTTTCAAACCAATATTTGCTCTGTGTTTGGTTGATATGAACAACAGTCGGTAGATGAGATCATATTTGCAGAGCATATAAGTGTGGGTATCTTCAGAGGCCAAATTAGCCAGGCCAAAGTTGACTTGATTCAGCTCTGATAAAATAACACAAATGCACATATAATGTACATGTATGTAAAGTGTTTACACAAAGAAATTACTTGCAATATCTTACAATGTACGTCTCTAAGTCTCATATATTTTGCAATATTTAGTCAATAGTAATGTGTATTGAGATGTATGTACATTGTAAAGGGCATTTACTTTACCCAAATGGTCAGTTTGGTTTTAGCTCAGTGAATATTTCAACTGAAGCCTGTGTAATTGTAGGCCCAGTTTAGAAACATTTGTGACATAAATATCCTTATACAAGTAATACAGTAATAAATTATCTGTGTACTATATTGAAGTCAAATCCTACTGCAGTCCATGCATCCTGAGCAATAAAACAAATTATAGATGCACAAACTTTTGAAATATTTATAGAGCAAAAAGATTAATCCTTTGATGAACACTTTCTAAGAGAAGAAAATTAGAATACACTTGTCAGAGAAATTGAATGGTGAAAAATTGAAAGGTAAACAAAATACAATGAAATGCATTATGCATGTTGTTGTTTAGTGTTATGGCAATTAGTCAATTTTGACGATTATCACCAACAAATTTATCACCAACGAATAAATACAATATAGAGATCTTAATCTAGAAAGTCACTTTGATGTATACATGTAAGGATGATATTGTCAGTTGTTTCTGCACACAGAAATATGTGTATTAAGTTAACCAGTGTTGGTGTCAAGACCAGAGATTCTGAGACCAAGATCAGGGGCGGTATTCCTATGACTCACTTGGCGGTCAATTAATTTTAAGCCTATTTTCACATCAAGACCAAGAGTCCAAGACACCAAAATTTAGAGACTGAGATTGGTCTGGACTCCATCACTGTTTCACCTTTCACCTTTCTCAGTGTTATGTTCATTAGTGTTCATTAGTTCATTAAACTTCATTCCTTACTTTAGAGACAACTGGATAAGTTTAATGATGTTAATAATTTTAATGATATTGGATTGTTCATTTTCCCAACATAACATCACTGTCATATTTTTACCTGTTTTAGATTTCTGTAGATTCTTTAAAAATTGTTTTTAAACATTATTAAACAATTGTATGTTTATTTATCTTCAATTTTTTTTTAACCTAAAGGGTGATCATCTTTATTGTTATTACTTTAATATTTGATTCATGTTTGTAAGATACTGATTATTTAAGATCACAGTGAGATTTTAGAAATCTACCTCGGAATCAATTGTAATTGAAACAGAAAAAAAGTCTATCTTGTACAATTTTATTGCATTGATCTTGTATTGCAACAATGCAAGGTGTTTTTTATGCACGGTATAGTAGTATATATTAAACTTATCAGATACCAGTACATATATACTCATTCTTTCAAAATCTGTATGGATCATGTGGTTGATCACATTTTGGGGTGCCTTAAAGGATCTCAATTATTCACAAGGGGATCAAAGGGTGGGGGGGGGGGGGGCTCTTATTTGATCTTTCGATATTCCAAAAATGGATTGAGGGAGGGGGAGGGGTGGGCGGCAAAGGCAAATGTCACATACTAATCAACAAGCCAGAAGCAATAATATTGTAGAAGCACCCGATCGAACAATTAAGATTATTATTTTAATAGAAGGCCATCAAGATCGACTGTGGCAAATGATGAGAGAACGAAATGATAAACATGGATAAAGAAGGTGGAAGCAAGGGGGAGAGGTGGGGTGAGAGTTGGAGGGGGAGTGAAAGAGAGAGGAGAGGAAGAGAAAGAGGTAAAAGAGAAAAGAGAGGAAGAGAAGAGAAAAGTATGTATGTGAGAGAGAGAGAAGAGGAAGAAAAAAAGGGGAAGGGTAATCTAAATTGTAAGAGAGAGAGAACAAGACTAAGGAGAGGAGAAAGACGAGAATGAGAGAGAGAGAAATGGGAGGGGGACAGGTAGAAAGAAATGCCTCTGTCATATGAATTTCTTGCCTATTTCTGACATTGAGCGATAGAAACACACTCTCTCAACTTACACAACAAAGTTTGTCTTTGGAACTACTTCTATCGTTACGGATGGGGGTCCGGGGCCCACCTTAATAATAACAGGGCCTCTGGTGGGCTGCAGGGATAGTGCCCCTGCCAGGGATCCATGAGTCGGAACCCCCGGAAGCTCTTGAGTTTTAGCAATTCAGAACCTTCAACTTCAAACTAGCCGTTGTGAGCGATGAAAACTCTAATCCATCCCTTGAAATTTGAATTTGCCCCTTATTGTGGCTCTTTTTTTTTAAACAGCAAGTGCTCCCAGAATGAGCATTCTATCTCATTCAGCTGTAGCAGAACAACTTAAGATTCCCACATTTAACATTTAGTTTGAAACGCGAAGAAAGGTGAAAAAAATCCATGCATAATGAATGAAAAGAATTAATCCCCCACTGAATAGGGAGTCTGTCTATTCATTAATATATCTTTGCTCCAGTTATCTCGAGGCATCAGTCAGCAAGAAATTCTGTGGATAATAAAAAAAATCCACAGGATTGAACTCCTTGAACTAAAGCTCGCCTACTAAATGTTAGAACTTGGTAGAAGCTTAAACTACATGAAACACACACCCTTTCCTAAACCTATACAAAAACCAAAAAAATAACGGTGAAACAAAAGAAAGAAAAATGTAGGAGGCGGTGTATTTTGATGCCCCGCGCTCTCACAGCTGATCGTGCTCACGCTAATTAATCGGGGATTTCCCTCCTCTAAGCTATCACACGTGATCTCGAGCTCTCTTGCGCACTCAAGTTGGAGAGACTCCTAAAAAATTGCGTTACTTTTTAATTATATCATTACAAATCTTTATCCTCAGTTTTCTTATTTATAACTGATTTTCCTTATAAAATTAAAAATAATTATGGCGTATATATTCAACATTGAATGAACGCCAATAAACAATTACCCAACAACAACAACAACTCAAGTTGGGCGCCAGCTTTGACCGGTTTCGGCTTCAATTCTCTCATTGCTGTGTTTTCTGTGAAAACCTTATGATGGAAGTTCAGTCAACGTATCCAATTACTAAAAAGGTTGGTGATTATTTGTGCTATATTGTGAACACAAAATATTAATAATTGGAACGAAAATTGAAGCACCAAACCAAGGCTTCATTCAAATATGACTCATCATGCTCGTAGTCCCTTGCATTCAAAATTGTGTGAGTTTGTTTTTAAAAAATGAATGAATTAAACCTACCGGTGGCGGAAGGCGTACTGTCTTGAAAAGTAACATGCATGACTGAGCTATATAGTTCAGGCCTGATAAAAACCCAATTTACGATTTTTTTTTTTTTTTTAATTTCCCCGATTTTTTCCCGATTTTTTTTCTTCTTCCTGATTTCAAAAAAAAAATAAAAAAATTCTTCTTTCCTCTTTTAGATCTAGACCTATCCTGATTTTACTGATTTCCCCATTATTTTCTCTAATCTTCCCTATTTTGCCCTATGTTTTCCCCAATTTTCTCCCCAATTTTCTTACTTGAAAGGAGGGAATGTTGTTAGATGCCATGTTTTACCCGCGAATCCTCTTCTCTCTTTTTTACTCAAGGGGGGCATGGTTGAGGGGAAAACAAAAAAACTTTTTTTTTTAGTGCTCACTATCACCCCTGATAGTTTACGAGTGCTGAAAAACCCCAAAATTCATTTAAATGTCGCTACCCTGATGATCGTTTATGTCTCATCATACTCCAACCATCTCACTTTCTGTAGTCCTAATCTGTGAGCGATCCAGACCATTCAATATTCATGTTAAACATGTTAAAACACAATTATTAATCATTATAGTTTCAGGTTCATGGTGTGAATTTTATTTCATTTATATGTGCATTATTATACATTGAAAAGAGCCCTTTTGTATGTAACTGTTCTAAACTATTGTTTGGTTTTATTTTGTCTGTGATTTCTACATTTAACTTGCATATAGTTCTTACAATTGAGTTGACTGTCTATCAATTTCTAAAGCTTGCTTTTCACTTGAACATTTTCTTTGCAGTTTTTAATGAAATTTTCTATCATTTTAAATACACACGTAATATTATGTATGTTTTGAATTACTACAGGGGGCTGTTCTTCTTGATGGAAAACATGTTGATGTCGCCTTGACAACGTTTGAAGATAGATTTTTACTTGTTATTACCCAGTATCAAAAGTTTGGTACACTGGTAAGTAATTTGTAAAGAAAAGTATATTTGAATATTTAGATAATCCTATTGAGACTACACATTTACAGTAAAGTTGATGATGATGGTAAATATGGTTTGAAAAAATAAGTAACAGGCCAAGTTTCATACTACACAAAGATAGCAAGGTCATCAACACTTTTTGAAATGTTGAGGTTTTATTCTCTGGTTTGTTAGGATATATCAGATCTGCACAATATGTGTGAGTGCATGCACTTACCATATGCAGTTTCCTTCTTTTTTTTAATTTCTAAAAGTCCAGATAGTATTAGATTGAATATTTTGGCCTTGTGAGAACTAATTACATTTAATACATTTCCAATATTTTTGCACTTATGCTTTTTGCATGATTTTGTAAATTCCTTCTGAATATATACATTAAAAGATTAAACATTTTTCACACTTTGCACTCTGATAGATGTATCAACTTACTATCATGATAAATGCTTACATTTCTATTTTGTTCTTTGCAGGTTCATGTCACACGAGACAATCTACCATTAGATAAGAGAGAAGAGATATACTCCACCCGGGTATTACTTGGAAATGATGAGGTAAACATTTCCTCTTCCAATCTTTGACTTAGGCCCAATTCTATCTGCCTCCCCAGTTAATCTCTAAAAATGTATCACATTTGCAGTTGAAGTATTCAAAAAATACCCCCCCCCCCCCCCATACATTTTGTTTCTGATTTTGTTGTTGTTGAAACACCTGTATAACATTTTTACTTTGCAATTCCATTTACAATATACATGTACATTACTACATGTACATGTAAATGTACACCTATTAGAATAAGTTAAGGTGATATTGATTTTTCACATCTTCCCAGAGGATTCAAGCCTTGTTTTAGCATTCCCAGATCAGCATTTTTGTTAAATTTGTGTGTACAAAACTTATAGAAAAAAATTAGGGGATGTCATCATGTCTCTAATTTGCATCCTATGTTATGCAAAACTTTGAAATTCCATAACTTTCCTATTTTTCATCTGATATTGATGAAACTTTCACTGTAATGTTTGTTTATTTATTTTTTCTATTCAATTCAAATTGCCCTTTCATGAAGAGCAGAAAAATACATGTGTCAATCGTTGTGATGTAAAATGACTTTAAAAACATTTTTATTTCAACAGCCTGTGACACATGTATTTGCAAGGAACATTGCCAAACATGTTCTGAAGACCCATTCTAAGCCTCTTCTTCTGAGTATAGCATTGGAGGATTACACACCACAAGTAATGAAGGGCATTGAGAAAGTCATACAGGACTATTTGATATGAACTGAGAACTGTCAGACATGAGAAGGTCATGAACATGACAAGGTCGTTTTAACCGATACTTTCAGCTCCGTATTGGTGTACATATGTGGGGGAAAAGACTGTTTAGGAATTTTGCACCAGACATTTGGAAGGTCATTGAGAAAACTATACAGGAATTAGGAATATGTTATATGAAGCCAGAACTGTCGGACATGACAATGTCATCTTAACTGATGGTTTCAGCTCCGTATTGGTGTTCATATATGTGGGGGAAAATAATGTTTAGGAAATTCACACCAGAAGTATTGAAGGGCATTGGGAAAACCATACAGGAATTATGAATAATTATGTGATATGAACTCTAGAAGGACGTGATAACATCATGGAGACACTTATCCCGGCTTTTGTGTACATATGCGGAGGAACAGGCGGAAGATGAAGGACAGTGAAGGACCGTTACAGTTACAAAAGAATATTTGCCATTCTCCATTTACATCATACCTTTAAAGCCCATCTGTACTAGTTTGGCCAGGGGGAATTAGACCTCCCTGCAAGGTCACTGACAGGTGGTTATCTCATGAAGTCAGCTCTCAATTAACATAAGAAAAGGAGGATCATGGGGGATCAACAGGCACTGATAAGGCATTTTTTGCTAGGGCGCAAGTAGCTACAAGTAGTGCAGAGGGGCTTCAAGACCTGTAACTTTAAAGGCACCTTATGCTCTCCAAATCATTCAGTAAGATACAGTATACATGTGAATGACCCACCTTCATATCTATACCAATAAAGAAGGAAACAACTGCAGGAATATATCACCTGTTTAGAGCCAGAAGAGCGTTAAATTTGTGGAAAAATATATGAGTTGATACGCTTTAGGCTCTAAACAGACGATATATTACATCAGGGCTTTGTTCCAGTCAAGACATTTTGTTCAGCCGGGGCAACTAAATTGTGCATTTTTTGGTTGTTCGTGATTAAACATATTGTTTGTTTGTTTGTTTGGGAAAGTCTCCATCCAATATCATTCCCTCTCTCTCAGGCATCTCGTAACTCAGAAGAAAATAAACGTATATTTCATTGCGTATCATTATAGAGTCCATACACTTGTCTCATCCATTTTGGTCACTTCTCAAACAAGATAGTAACACTTTAGGCCTTCTTGTTACCCAGAGTCCAGCATTTGCATATACATGTGCGTGTAGTTCTTCTACTTTGGCTCATTTTAATAAGCCCTCTGTATGACTGTGATCACATTTGGGAAAGTGATTGCAGCAAATTAAATTAAATTGTTTTTATTTACATTTAAGTTTGTTATATTCCTATGAATATTGTCGTTGGAGTAGAGCCAGTTTGGTCTTTCCTCCAAAAAGCCTACACCATTCAGTTGCACTATTCATTTGACTGTAAGAAACATTCCCCAGGTTTTAACATTTCAATTTTATGCACAGAATACATCTACAAACTGGCTTTATATTGTCAAGTCCAGTTTTTATGTTCAAAATTCTTTCAGAATGTTAACATCTAAAAGTTTTTGTCTACTGTGCTGAAAGCCTTTAAAGGTAAAGACCAGTATTGGAAACGCCCCAATTTCAAAAAATGAAATGGAAGCTCTTTATTACCAATTATGTGAAAGAATATGTTTTGACTAATACATGATAAAAATTTTGCCAGGAAACCGCCTACTAATTGATTTATTTGGTAAATTAGTTTTATCTATTGGACTGTGAGAGATAAACGCATGTGTTGCGCACGTGTGCGTAGTCCCATATACATCTTTTTGTGTACAGTGCTTGTAACTTTACGAGGACTGGGCCAAATTTCTTACCATTTTGATGATTCCAGAACCTTGCAGTACACACCAATACTTATATGCTAGATGATCAACCTTTTCTGATCGATTCCACAACGTTTCTTTCACAATGCAAACGCATGACCATAACTGGCCTTTATCTTTAATATTTTCTATTGATATCCCTCGGCTGGATAGTAACAACATTCAAGTTTTGCATAAATTACTCAGTAATAAGGTAATTTTGCCAATGAAAATTAAAATGATACTAGTGTTAAAATGTTAATGTAATGGCTATATGTTTGTCTATTTCATTGTAGAAGCTCAAAATAAACACAATGTCGGTAATGATGAGAGAGAAGCGAACTGGATTCAGTGAAAAAAATTATCATAATTTATTGCTTGTAAGTACAAAAATTTAAAAAAATGAATGGTGATACACATAAATTGACTATTAAATAAAGTGTAGGTGACCATGCAACCCTGTAGAAGCCGGATAGATAGACTACATTTAACATTTTGTGGATGTTTACATGTCTGAAAAAAAATCACCAACCAAATGTAGTCAATTAGACGTACTGTAACTCATATTGTCGGACTTTCGATATATATACTATGCAAGATACAGTATACCCTGTAGGCCTACAATTCTCGCTATCGCCAATACTCCCAATTGCCCCGATGTAGTCTATTGGATGTAAATTTGATCCACTTCAGGTACTTACATACATCCAGTGTACGGTGGCTCGTTTCATGCATGCGCATTGTACGTAAGAACCTGTCTGAAAGCTTTTTCTGGTTCATCATTTTTTGTGTCAGCTGCAACGAAAAACAAGAGAAAATACTCCAAATCATGTCAACGACTAGATTGAATTAAGCGGTGGAAGGCCATGCATAGTAACTTTGAGAAAATGACGGGCATAAGTAACTTTAGAATACCCTACCAAAATGTATAGTAAAATGTCTGTTGGTCATCCAACATGCCTAGGAAACCTATATTGTTATATACGTTATTTCTATGCCTCTACTTGCTCTTGCCCATCACACATCCAAATATCTTATTTTAGTATGTTTAACAATGTTTTTGTACATTTTCATAATGATCCACTCTTGAAATCGTGTGAAAATTGTAAAAAATAACTGTGATTACTGTCGAAAAACAAAGTTTACACACACAATCAATGCACAGTACAGATCCATGAAATAGACCGGAAGTGACTAAGTCACCAAGCTATCCCAGAGTGCATTTAAAGTGAAGACATGAAAGAAACATCCAGGCATTTGGGGGTATTGGGGATAGCGAGAATGGTAAGCAGCTACATTCACTTTCCAAATGAGTCATATTTTGCCATTTTATGTAATCTCTTAATACTAAAATAATCCAAATTTGTTACTAATAGACCCTGACATCCACAATCAGCACCATGTGTGATATGTCTTAGTTTAACACTGTTGACCAAATAATACAAATACACATTACAAACATGACTTTAAAGAATGAAAAGGATATTGCAGGGTAGAATATCTTGAATGTTGATGAAATGCGATTACATGAACATTTATAATCCACTAGTGTGAATGAGTACTTGCTTAGCCCAAGAATAATACTCTCTCTCTCTATCTAAGTAAAGTGCCCTATCGATTGACTTTGGCGATCATGCTGTTCCACAACCCTCGGATCCTAGCCTTCTCTATTAGCACCACTCCCAGTTCTTTCACTCCTCTCTCTTCCAACAATTTCTGCAGACTGTCCATCCACAGTATCATTATCATTTGGAATTCTTTAGAATTAGAGGTTATACAATACATAACTGCAAACAACAATGCCCCTTACATGTGAATTTGGTGTTATAAGTTTAAGATAAAGAATGTAATATACAATCCAACCTGTGTGAGTGGCCACCTCTATATAAAGGCCACCTGTCTACAGTGGTCACTTTCTCTGTTTCCATTGGGTGGCCTTAGTAGACAGGTTTGACTGTGTACATGTACTCGGGGGGGGGGGGGGGGCACACTGCACTTCTCTCATTTATTTTTTCCTTCTTTTTCTTTTTATTTTTAGAGCAGTTACATGTAACCCTCCGCTCTTTGGACAAGGCTTTTGACATCCTTTATTTCTTTTAAATATTCTTCCTGTCAACATTTGTATTTTAGGAAATACATAAACATGAACTAAATTAACTAAAACTCCCTGCTTGAGCAGTATGTGAACCTTCCTGATGAGAATGTATTACCGGTACTAGGAATGTCAATTAGTACAATGATGGCTATATATGGAACATGCATTTATATATCATCATGCTGAAAGCATCTGAGTATACATTAACAAGCAGTTTGGTTATATGAGGTACAAGTACAGTAGTACATGTCGGGTATATACATCTGCGGTGACAAACAGGGAGTTCATAATTTCAACCGGAGCCTCTCAGTGCATGTTTGATTAATATTTACGCTTGATACAAAAAGGTTCTTGTTATCTATGAATCTGAGGAATACTGAGGAATAAGGATCACCCAACTACCTATGCATATTTGATCACATAATAAAACCACTATTAGACCTTGTGTTACAGACTGCAGTAGAGAAGTTGTGTATTGACTACCGAGGGCGGGTTCAGTGACACAAAGACATAACTCCATATTTTACCAAAATGAGTATTTAATAACAAAATGTTCAGAAAAATGTGGGCTTTCCAGGAAATACAAAGACCCAACTCCACCCGACACCCCATTACAGTCAATGGCTAATGAAACATAGACTCAACTCTTTAAGGCCCAAGTGGACCTCTATCTTTAAACCACTTTTTCTCAAAATGGAGTTACGTCTTTGTGTCACTGACCCCTCGATATGTAAGGCTGTTTGCATAACATGCCTAAAATGATATAAGCAAGATCATGGTTCACCATCAATCCTATCCCCATTTCAAATTAAAAATTGTCTCAAATTTGTAACAATATCACGAAACATGAATATAAAGTGAATACAGTCTACATAAATATAAAGCAATGGTGATGAATAACAGTGCATTAATTTGTTCAAAATATACAGAAATAGCACTTTTCTGGAATGATCGTTATACAATAATTCACAATAACTTCAACATCCCAACATTTGAGTTCATTTTGAAGTTATATTTCATTGCACAAAAATATAATTTAATTTATGTACAGAATTGATATGTAAATCTTGGTATCTGTCTAAGCCAGGCCTTCTCAACTGGCGGCGCTTGCGGTTAGTCGGAGTGGCACGCGACTGTTGCAACAACAAAACAAAAAACAGAAAAAAAGAGAATGCCTGTTTTATTAACAAACAGGAAGAAAGGGGGAATTTATCGTTTTTTACCATTTTATACGAATCTAAAAGGTCTGAACAACAATTAGCTTACGATGAGATATTTCAACATTGCCAATATCTGGAAACCTCTCGTTTTTGTTTGTTTAATTTCACTTTATTTTGACATTTCCCGTGTTTATTGCACACAAAAAAACTACATATAAATATACCTCCAGTGTAATTGTACTATTTTTTCACATCAATATGAAATTATGAGTGATTATATTGTGGAATGAAATGGTGCTAAAAATGCCCCATTTGGGCCTTTAGAAAGCCCTAAATCTACAAGCTTCAGGGGGCTCAGCCCCCTGCTACCCCTGTTAGGGCTTCGCCCCTGGACCCCACCCATTTTCGGCTCGGTCACTACACTCCCTCGCAGCACAGTCGACCTTACAGGGTGGCACTTCAGCTACAAATTCTTTTCGTTTTGGCACTTCTAATAAACTAGTTGAGAAGGCCTGGTCTAAGCTATCTAATATACTAAATTGAAAGATACAAAAAAGTATTAAAGAAGATAATAGAAGTGTAATAAAACTGATTTTCTTTTAAAAGTGCACAATGGTAAAGTTTTCATTAATAAGGGTTTCATCAGCCCATGTACATGTATATCATAATCTGTTAGTACTCCTCTTTGTGAATTCATAATATATTTATATAAAAAATGTGGATATATATATGCTTTTGTTTCATACATGGAGTATCATAATAGTATATTTGTAAAGCGCTTAGAGACATTTGTATTAAGCGCTATATAAAAATTAAATATTATTATTATCATCTGTTAATGGCCATATTATTGTCTATCATTTTACCAATCACCTACAAATATTATTTGTCTACAGCTAGACTGTTTAAAATACTCCCCCCAAAAAAATTATCTGCCATTATATAGGTAAACGATGGAGGAGTAATAGAAGGAAATAGAGGATAACATCAAACCCTGCTCGCAGCAGAATAATATTATAATATTCCGCCTTTATAAAGCGCTTAATACATCTATGATGTCTCTATTAAAACGCGTTACAGATTATACAGAGCCCAAGTCTACTTGTTCACTCAGAATGTATTTAAATTACAACATCTCTTTGCACAGAACCTATGCAACTGCATATGCACGAATTAATTAGTCTACTCGACAAGACTTTTTACTGATCACTTAAAAGTATTTAAATTGCAATATCTCTTTGAAGTAGTAATATGCGTGCACCAAACCCATGTTGGTGTCAAACCCAGGCTTATCAGCGTTCATGGTCAAAAGACATGTGCAGAGACGTGTCAGGTGATGCTGGATCGACAAGAAGAACTAAGTGTTAGTTTTGAACCAAAGCAAAATACATTGGTGCTGCATATTACAGTAAAGGCTTGTTATATGACGCAACCGCAAACAGCCGCCACAGATTATTTAACATGTAAATGAAAGGAAAGAAAAGCCCTGCGCATATTAATTGGGCTCTGTGTTATAAGATACAAAAATGTGAAGCATATTACATTGTCATCCTACATTAAAAAAATGCTGTGGTTTTGGTGTGTCATGTCTAAACAACACTTTTTAAGTGCTACCAAGTCTTTCTATTCCCTGCTAGTCAATACTGAATGTACAATATACCTATGGCGACTGCCATAAAAGGCAAGTGGCACAATCAATTTGTCCAAATCTACTTTCAAACAGAAATTAAATTACAATGTACCTCCTAGAAAATGAGTAAATAACGTTAACTTGCACCATTCAAAGTCGAAAGCCTACTATAAATACTGTCACTTTTTCAAAAGGCACATAAAATACCCAAAACATCAAAACTATTCAACAAATTACTGTTACTGCAAAGTTTGTTAAAGCTTATACTGAATAGTCACTAGAAAATTAAACAATTAGTATATAACAATGTGGTATTTTTTTTTACCCAGGGCAGCCACATTTACAGTGTGAGTCAAAAAACTAGGTACCTATTTAATTGACCTTTGTCGAGAGGGACAAACTTAGGTAAAGCACCTTGGCCAAGGATGTATAGCACCAAGCAGGGATTGAACCTGAGACCTCTCAGATGAGAATCTACAGCCTTCACCACTTTCATTATACCTTGTCACATAGGCCGTTTCAGTAATGTAACCAAATTGAATGCATGTGTAAGGTGCCTTGATACCTTGATACAAATTATGTCATTTACCCATTACAAATTAATTGGATTTCAATATTCAGAATGCAAAAAGCATATATTAACTGATGTTAGGTAGGACAGGCCATAATGTCTGTCCTACCTAACAACAAGTAATGAGAGAATTCAGTAGTTAGAGGGTTCGACACTGGTAACTTACTTAATCAATGATCTAAAAAGTGCTCTTTCTAAACGAATCAAGACGTTATGATAAAAGTATCATGACTTTCCAGACTTTCCTCATCTTGTGCTTCTAAGACTAAGATCGACTTTAAGTTGGACCTAACTATGGCAGGCCGTTCTGGTTCATGCCACTAGTTGTTCTCACCAATGGTCTCTCAATTATGATCTTTAAATAATATTTTTTTTACTTCAATAATGAACTATCAAAAAATGTAAATTCTGTAGATTTGAGACCACGATTGATACGTCCCAAGATAAACCAATGCCAGTGAATGATGAGAGAAAATAGTGGCATGAGCAGCCTGCCATAGTTAAGTCCAACTTAATTTGATCTTAGTCTTTGTGACACACTGCCCTGAAATAATTTTGATTACCCTACTTGTCCTGATACTTGATGCATCAAGTTCAGAGAAGACATGGATCTTTGTACTGTGAAATACTGCTTCTTTCCTCCACTGCTTTTAAATACTTCACCAAAAATGTATAATATATACAATATTACAGGCAAACCGTTTTTGTCTTACTTTAAGTTTAAGTACACTTTGATGCTGGGAATACATGTATATTCATAATAAATAATGGTGGCTTCTAGTAAAGTGCTTAGGTCTGTCAAGCACGACCCTGATGGTGCTATACTGTACCTATATATACATATATAGAAGAAATACATCATAAGAAGAAGCGTTAATAAATAAGGATATAACAAGCGAGATGTTTTTAAATTGTATATGATAAATAAGTGTAAATCATTTTTCATCCTTCCATTTTCTTCCTTTTCCATTATGTATAAATATAGATGTGACGCATACACATACAATACCTGAGGATGTGAAAGAAATATCATGTGAAATATATTATTGCATGTTTCAGAATAAACAACAAACATTTTTTAACCAACAAGATTTAAGCAACATCAGAGAGGTCGGGATGCTGGGCATGATCGTTAAGTCGATGCAGGAGAAACTGGATGGAATTGAAATCTTTCTCTGAATCCCAACCTGCTTGCCGTTCCTCCCCAGGCAATGCGTTGCTCCTTGGCGATAGGGGAGTGTTGGGATGCGACAGCTTGGTGTACGACCCCACCCCATCACCTATCTCTGAATCCGATGGGGACAGGCTACCGGAGGTCGCTGTGTCTTCAGAGTCAATGGATGCCTGCTTCCTGGTTGCTTTCAACATGGAGTACTTGTCAGGGAAGGGCGCGGTCTCTGGATACATCGAAGCAGAACTCATTGGAGTTCCTGCTACATAACCACTGTCTGTATACTGTGGAATGGATGACATCACCGCATCATCATGACTTCTATTGTTTGCATCACCTCCCGGGTGAAGCTTGCCGTTATCTATCAAGACCTTGCAAAGATGGTTTGTGAAGGCATCGAACCTAAAGTACCCATTGTCTTCTGCAGGTTTAGCTTGGTAAGAGGCTGGCTGCATCTGGGGAGGAGGAGACTGTACATAGCCCGAGTCAGTGGGAGATGGGTACCTTGGTGGAGGACATAAGCTGTCCTCACTGCAGCTGGTGTCCATACTGCTACCACTGCACTGCAAGGATTCTTTAAAGACCATCTCCCTAGAGCCATCATCAATTCCGCATGAAGAAGATGAGGGTGCTAGAGATTGTGCATTTCCTCCATCTGTTTCCATGGCAACGATGGGATCGCATTCCTCTGAAAGAGAGCCCTCTGTTGAATGAGGCGGAGACCGATCAGGAATGGGAGCGTGTGGCGATGCATCTCCGCCAACTCTTCCTGCAGGGGGCGTCTCGATCAGAGCAATTGTCTCCGTCTCATCTTCACCATCATCACCATGTGGAGGAGGAGGAGGGGGATGAGGGGGGATACCTACCAGGGTATCAAATTCTTCTCTCTCTGGTATCTTGGGTCTAATATCTCCCATGGCAAGAGCTGCTTTCTGCAATGTAGGAAAATGGAAGGACAACTGTGATTAAATCATAACCTCTTTAAAAGTATTCATTTGGTGTGGCTCAGCAGTAACAGAATAGAAAATCACTATAATAGTATAAATTGAATACACAGTAAAGCTTTACAGGAGTAACATCCTCCACTGTCACTGGGAGAAAACTTGGATATCTATCAACAACTTTCTTTAAATATTTGAATACTTGCAATACTTCAGGGTTTATTCTCAATTAGGCTTTAAAGGGATCCGGTAACTTTGTCTAAGATCCTTAAAAAAAAATCCTTGATTTAGCTCATGCTGCAATGGTAATTATACACCTTTAGGTCAGTCAGGAACCCCATGACTTTTACAAGCCGATCGCCTGTCTGATTATCAAGCTATTTATGATTGAAAATCAAAATCAAATTTTGCGTTTGCCAAACAGTTTTTTATAACACTATAGTCTATTGGGGAAACTAGTATGGTAAAACCGGTCACTCAAGGTTTTTTTTACTTTTTTGAGGCACTTCTTGATCATTTTGAAGCGCGCATTTTTTTTTAGGGTTTCAATATATAACACCATATCACAGACACTAATAACACGTAGGGCCGTGCATCTTAAATTTAACATTGTTAAACGATCCCTTTAAGTACAAAAGGTTTCAAAAGAGGGTTCAAATGAGCCATGTCACAATATTTTTATAAGGGCCTGTTCAGATATGGCAAGAAAAGAAAAAGGAAATCTTACAAGAACCACATTATTGCTGATGTCAAATGGCTGTGTTGAGCGAGGCCCGTGCTTTACACACAGGTAGGCACATACAATCAACAAGAAAATGAAGACGGCTAGCAGTATGGATAGGATGAGTATAAATTTGTTACTAATTGGACTACTCCTGGGCATCGCTTCTGGGGGTAGAGAAGAAAAAAACATAGATACAAAACTGTATTAAAACCAAAAAAAGAGACAACTTGAAGTCTCTTTTATGTTCACACACAGTATATTCTACCCTACAGTATAGCATATAGCATTATATTCCACATACTTAAAGAATCTTGCTTTACGATTGGTCAAAAGTAAATCACTTGATGAAAGATAGTTTGCCCATCATTGATGGGAGAAGAAAAGTTTGTTACACTGTGTAGATAGTGCTTGTATCTTCAGTGAAAGTGTGTTGCACTGTGTAAATAGTAGTACTATCTACATAGTGCAACGCACTTTAATTGTATACATTGCGTATACGTACGTAAGTACTGCATGCACTGTACGTATCGTACACCATTTGCTAGCTGTTACTTGATGACTTGTTGCTCTAAAATGACGGAAGAAGTGAAATGTTTCTGATGTGGAATATAAAGCAAATAATCACCTTTAGGTTTCAGGCGATGGCAAACTATCACTTCCTCGGCGATCTATTATGTGTACGCTATCTGTCCTCAGCTTCGCTTCAGAAAGATAGCTACATCAAACAGCCTTTTCACACACAAGTAAAATTCTTTAAAGCACTTTAAACTAATCAGCTTTACATATGACATTATTCACACACAGAAATTTCGGTGCAACCGTTAATCGTTTTGTGATTAACTACTGCTCTTAAAATGCGCAGTAGTGCCATTGCGCATTGAAGGTCATGTCATATCAAACAAAGTGCACGCTCCATCCAGTTTACACACGTATAACAACCGTTCACACACAAAATGTCAAGCTCTTTAGATACAAACTTCGTATCTGCAGCCTGCTTTGAGGGGCGTATGAATCGCGACTTTGTATCTATCCGAACATCGTATAAACGATGTTCACACAGGGAAAATTTTCTTTAAAGCTGTTTAAAACTGTTGAGTTAAACAGCTTTAAACTAATCAGCTCTAGATACTATGAATTTTAGCTGTGTGTAAAAAGGCTGCAGATTGCCTCGGAAGTGATAGTTTGTCCCATCACCTTCACCAACGGTAATTATTTGCTTACTATACAACTCCTCACATGCAGAGCAACACACATTTAGGTGATTGGTACACTTTAAACTAAACATCAATACTGACAGATACCAATTAGTCTTACTTAACAAGCCTTAAAAGGGACCTCTGCCCCATAAATTCTGTAAACTACGAAGCTTGAAAGAGCCTGAAATCACACCAAAGCGTAAAAACTGGCATCCCTGAATACTCAGTACAAACAGATTGTAGGAGCTACACAAAACATTTTTTTAGGGGTTTTATTCCTACCTGTTGAAATTTCTGAGCCTTTGATTGCTGGTCCAGTCCCGTTGTAAACCATCGGCGTAATCTTCACTGTATACACAGGGCCAATCAAATGAGTGTCCAGTATGTAGGATGTAGTGTTTGTGAATCCTAAGTGCTTTTCCTCAGTCGATACAGCATAGTTCTTGATGCAGTCTCCACTGTGAAGAGACCATGGGTTTTCCCATTTCAACAGCCAGACACCCTGCTTGATTTCTTTGGTTGTCACGTTCTGAGGCTGGGACTGTGCTTGTTCTGCAAGTAAATCAAGAAAGAGACAGAAAAATAAGGAAAATAGTTCTAGACAAGTATTTCTATGTGACAAAAATTTAACTTCACGATAAACTAGCTGCCTCCTGTAGATTTATTTTCTCTTTTCAGTTCTTCATCAAGTCCCACAAACTGAAAGACATCAAAGAATCCCCCTTTTCTATTACTCTCTGAACCTTCCAAAACCAGATCTCCAGGTCTCCTGGATAAGACACGCAGAAGGAATATCACTTACTTGACTTCAAGACCTCAAACTGATACACCGAGCTTGACATCCCACCGACGGAGTTATTGGCGAAGACCTTGACCTCGTACGCATCCCATCGGGAAGTATCCTTTAGGGTCACTATGTTGGAGTCTGGAGGAGGGGATGGCAGGTTCAGGATCTCAGAATGCCATTCTTCATCTGGATTGCTGGAGACAACTCGGTAACAGATCTCATAGAATAGGAGTATGCCATGGCGTTGGTCCTCTGCAGGAGGCTAGGAGCAAAGAAATAAAGGAAATGTCAGAGAAAACAGAAGAATTATTCGTAAGTGGTGACCAGGAGGGTGTTTCACAAAGATCCTAAGTCGACCTTAACTCTAAGTTGGACTTAAACATAATAAGGGCCACTTGTAGCCTTAAACTTAAATATTTCCAAACCTTTCATAAATTCCACATGAAATCTCTTTAATAATAGAAAATATGAATGATTTGAAACAACATTTATGCCTATTAAACTATCTTTTACAAGATACTTTCAAAGATGGTAGCAGCTTTCCATAATAAGTCCAATTTTGAGATAAGTTCAACTTAGGATCTTTTTTATATATGATATTTTATAGAATTAAAGAATGTAGCATACTTTGTCAGTGGAGGGGGCTACACTTGGGGAACAACATAAGAAAGGAACTGAATTTTCAATATAAAATACCGGTAGTAAATATCATACAAACGTAATGCCATATCATTGGCATATTGGAAAGGGCTAGTAGCAAGGAATCACGGAAATGTAATATAAAGACACCTGAAGTTTCAGCCTTTTCTCCATCTCTCTCTTTCTCTTTCTCTCTCTCTCTTTCTCTCTCTCTCTCTCTCTGCCTTTGTCTCTCTAGATGTCTCTTTCTCTCTCTTTCTCTTTCACTATCTCTTCCCTTGGTTCAGTGGCACAATATTTTTCAATGACTTTTCATGACCACTGGCCAAAGTTCTGCACATGTTCATTTGATGACCGACTATTTCTGTTGCGACAATTGCTCCAGGCTTTTTTTCATCACAGGTATAGGGTTGGGGTTCGGATTGCAATTGGATTTCAAGTTAGGTTTATGGTTAGGTTTATTTTAGGATTAGATAAAGCAGAGCTGCCAACCCCAACTAAACAAAAATCATATTGTTCCCCCCCCCAAAAAAAAAAAAAAAAAAAAAAAAATATATAAATAAATAAAAATAGAAAATCCTATTTTTGAATGTTTTTTTGTTTTGTTTTGTTGGGAGTTGGGGGGGGGGTGCCAATTATGGACCAATGTTTGAATAACATGCATGATTTTGTCATGACTGGTGGGTTCGATGAACCAATGAACATCCCCAAATTGCTGATGTAAGATGCTTGTAGGATACTTTACAGGAAAGATTGGGCTATTCGCCATTAAAAATGGCACACACACACACAAAATAAAATATTCAAAAAATAAATAAATGAAAAAAAATGGAAAATCATACTGTCGTATTTACTTCTAAAAATCGTAGGAAATACAATAAAATCGCACTGATTGGCAGCTCTGATAAAGTGATTGTTCCAGGATTGAAGTTAAGAATTTTGTTAGTCTATTGTCGCAGGAACGTAGCATTGTACAACCAATTAATTACATAGATACTTACCTGGATCGTGAAGGTGATATTTCTCAAGTCCGGCTTATCACATCCTAGTCCTTCAGAACTTGTTTTCACAATAGTCGGACCACTTGAAGGGACTATGTTGAAGAAAACAAAAGGAGTTAGTTAAAGGGCATGTTTACCGAAGAAAAATAAAAACAAAACAAAATATTACTAACATAAACAAAAAATCTTGATGAAATGGAGGAGAATGATCACCAAAGAAAATGGATATTTCAATTCGATTAAAAGACATATCAACATAAATTGGTACATTACAACACAAAGCTGAGGAGCCTAGCACATCTTCAGATCACCTTGGGGTAATGGATTTAATCATGGCCCTCAAAGTAGTCGAAAATTGTAAACAATTGAGGAGGATGGGGAGGATTACAATAATACTATTGAAATTCTCTTACCATCTTCCTTTGTGGTGAAATTGTAAACTGTGCTTTTCCCGTCCACATTATTTAGCTTGCACCATATCACTATGCTGTAGTTTGAGAAGGGCGTCAGCTTGTGTAGGAAGATGTGCAGTTTTCCATTATTTTCATTCAGCTCACCAAAGTAATTCTTCAAACAAACAGAAAGGAATAACATCAAAAATCAATTTTTGTGGTATGCCAGTTATATGCTTATGCAGCAATTGCTTCATAGATGGTCCATTTCCCAAACTAACAACATTTCTAACTTTGACTCTAGACCAAACACTTGACGTAACCCTAACCCCTAAAAGCAAGCTAAAAAGATACCAGAACAACACAGAAAGAAAGAACTTTGAGGATCATTCAGGTGCCACGCCAGCTGTATGTCACACGGTAGCTCCCATAACTTTTGAATAAGAGTCCTAACAAATATGCCAGATGCACCAGCAGAGAGGGCAATTTTTGTTACACAGGCTGCATCCATTTTTCTTGCATGATCTTATTGCAGCTATCTCATTTAAAGTGCCAAAATAAAGGAAATATCACCACTGGCAGTAAATATAATAACAAAGTTTTAAAACCCCTAAAATTGCAATGGGCATCCAAAATTGTCCCGAGTGTGTGATGTAGGATAGTTCATTTGATGACGTCACACTATCGCATATGTTTTGTCGCCGTCATTTCAATTTGTAGGTGTGGATCTGGAAAGGGTATCAAAATTGCATTTAAATTATTCCTCACACTAGTGAGGGCTTAAAAAGTACTCATAGTTATTTTCTTAAGGTCCTCACCAATTTGTAGATGTATAATTTACCTATTTTTCAAAATTGCATTGAACCTTCTCTTTAACAGTCAGTTAACAAACAAATCAATAATAATAATAATAATAATAATAATAATAATAATAATAATAATAATAATAATAAATTACATTTATATAGCGCTTAATACAAAGTTTCTAAGCGCTTAACAAAAAATAAAATTAAAGTAATGTTAACTTACAAATTACAAGAATATAATACATGATACATAATTATAATAACAAATTCTTAATAACAATAATACAATAATAATAGTTAATATTTACATAAAGCTTTATAGTTAAACAAACAAAATATGATTACATTACATTACATATTAAACAGATAAGTCTTAAGTTTACTTTTGAATGTCTCTAAGGTTGGGGACTCGCGTATTTCATGGGGAAGATTGTTCCAAAGTTGGGGGGCACAGACAGAAAAGGCACGATTTCCATAGCGGGTGTGGGTGCGAGGGCCTGGGGCAAGATGAAGATGTGCTGTGGATGACGATCTGAGACGCATAGATGAAGTACGAGTTTTAGGAGTGATGAGTGCCGAGAGATATGAGGGAGCAAGTTTGTGAAAGGCCTTGTATGTCAGCATGAGAATCTTGAATTTGATACGTTGTTGGAGGGGGAGCCAGTGTAGTGAACGAATGATCGGTGTGATGTGTTCATGTTTTCTTGTACATGTGATGAGGCGTGCTGCTGTGTTCTGAATATGTTGAAGAGGGGCTAAATGAGAGCTAGGGAGATCAAGCCACCAAAGGGAGCTGCATTTAATAGGTATTACACAAATAAACCAAGCAACCAAAGGAAACTGGTCAGAACTCATGTTTCTCATTATGCCTATATGTACATGTTCAAGTAATTCATACTTTTGATTTGCATACAAGTACAAGTACATCCTTTGACATACCGTACATGTACTGTTGGGCTCGAAAGTTGACAAACACATGATATAATTATAGAAAGCAATATATGTTTTCACACCTTCGCTCGTTCATGTCAACTTTTCACCTCAGGAGAAGACAGACAGATTAGGTCTCTGTTTTATATATACTGCACAGTATATCAGCTATAATCACTCTGAGACACTTACAGTATGTAATTTGAGAAGTTGACAAAAATGTGAGTAAAATGTTTTTCTTCCAGGTGTATGTAAACTTGTTGGCCAAACTGTATATATATGCGTATAGTTTACACAGACCCAACACCTTGCCTTTATTCAGCAATGTGAAACTCTGCAAGCACACATAAAGTTGACACAAACTGGTCCAATGTTATTGAAATTATCTATTCCATTGACTTGTTATTTAAAATCTGCATATCTTACACCCATACCAACGCAACACATGGTTTACACGGCAAGTTCTTTCACATGGAACCAAAAACCACCATTTTTCCCCCATTACCAAAGCTTAACTTTCACACATATAAATGCGCCTGCTACATCATTAGACTCGTCTAGAGTGAATGTTTGGATGAATCTTAATCGCTTTCTTATGTTCATGTGGAACAAATAAACTTCAAACTTTAAACTTCATAATTCCCACTTCAATATCAAAATCGGGAAAACAAAGTTTGGGTACATGGCAATGTTTTCGCACAACATTATGAAAGGTCTGTACTTAGCTTTGCAATAAAACCTGCACATAAATAAGCCGCATGTTTTTACAAGGCACTGACAGCATCATAACCAATATACACGTATGAACTTCCAAACAACACAGAGCAACACTGAATGCCAGGCAGCAGCTTGTTTGCATGCACAAACCTTTTTAAGTCAAGGGCATAATCCTTCACAAAGTGTCTGAAATACAAGACTATGCTGACTCACTGCATGGTCTAGTGCCCCCTATAATAGTATAGAGCAGTATACCGGTAGTACATTATAAAGCAGCTCTAAAGAAAGGCTCGTTCATACATGACACAATGTTTACATGTAGCTTGTAAATAGACTGCATTATACTTATCCTTTTATTATTGTCAGTTTGTCACTATCTACATATTCATTGTACATGTACATGTACATGTATTTGTGTTTACTAGTTGGTTCATTGTTCATGTTTGTACTTTCATACACTATATACCTATTATCCTTTTTATCTTTGTGTCATTATCTATGTATAATGTATGTGAATTGTATTCATAAGTCATGCATTGTTATTTATACTTTTATGTTTGTTTGTACTCTCATACCCCGAGAGGGGGTCAAAGAGTCAATAAAATTCTACAAAAATTCTACAATAAATTCTACAAAAAGGTCCTTTAGTAAACCACAGCAAAATAAGTCAACAGTTATATTACACTATGCATAATCCTTTTGTTTTCGTTTCCGAACTAGGCAAACACTTCTTATTTATACTTACATGCATTTACAAGAGCAATTCTGCGTATTAAAGTCAAACAACAAGAGATTCGTCTGTATTTCTATGGGTTAATAAAGCGAAAGTAGGGGCGCAGAAAAGGTATCTGCATTTGACTGCATACTCCCTTTATCTGTTTGTATTAAGATACAGAAGTGTGAGGCTCAAAACATATGTAATGTTGTTTTGTTGTGGGGCAATTTTTTTTTTTCTTTTCTTTTTGAGAGGTGGTTTACTGTACCATATGTCAACAAGGTATAAAAAAAAAAGCCCATTCCATAGCTACTTCATAGACATAGTTACGTCACAGGAAGTTGCTTGTGATTGGTCAGACATTTCATGAAGCTCCAAAATAGTTCCCTCTCATAGAGAATGCTCATGGGAGGGATATATTTGACTTAGCAACATGACTTAACCTCTGACCCATCTCGTGTATGCATACATTCATGCGTCACAACTGTCTCTCTCAATAGGCTATGGCCCATTCCAAGAATAAATATGTTTGAAAATCAACTTGCTGCATCTTTTTAAATATTTCTGCAGTTCACACATGTAGCCAGGGTTTTTGCATGTACGCCTGTAACAAATAATTGATGTGATACTCACTCTGTTCAATGGCTGTGAATTTTTTTCAATCTAAAGTAAAGTAATTAGCAGAGATTTTGTGAAATACATATTCATCACAAATGGCAGCAAATTGAGCTTGTTTTTTGGTGAACATTGGTCACACAAAATAGGAAAATATATGTTGTTTAGAAGATGTCTACTTTGAATAATAATAATAGTAGTATGATAATAACAACGCAAAATGAGCTTCCCCTTGCTGAGAACAAATGGCCTATATTTTGCAATTTTTGTATATTTAATGAGCTGTGACCTTTGACCTTTGACGCACATACTCAACAACATTACTACGTTGCATATTTAATGAGCTATGACCTTTGAGGTACATACTCTGAAATCGAACTTAGGCTGTGTTTTGATACCATGTACCTTCATATCAAATTTCATTAAAATCTGTCAAACATTACTAAAGTTATTGAACGATAACCAGATTTGTTACAGAAGTACGGACGGACGGAAGGAAGGATGGCACAGTTACTATATATCCCCTCCAACTTCGTCAGCGAAAGAATAATAATAAAAGCATACAAAATTGGAAGGTTAGTTCATTATAATTCAACCAACAAAAAAATGAATTAGTAATAGCACAATACAAATTAATTTTCCAGATGGAATGCTTTACAAATGACTTCTACATGCAGTTATTCCCAAATTTCTAGTTTGAAACTGTTGACAAAGGGTTATCAGGCAGCCAATTAACTGAATTAAGACTAGAATTGGTTCATCGTGACAACGTTTTGCACAAAACAATCTTTCTACTAATTGGTGCCTAATGTTACGCATGCTAGTATTACAGAAGGAACTCACATAAACTCGAGACCAAGTTACCATTTTCTGTAAAGCAACAAGGAATTTTCATAATTTTAAAATTTTAAAATTTTAAAATCCACACTTCCTTATCAGTGTCTTTACTTTCCTTAACACTTTCTTTTATCAATCTGCTTCTCTGATTCTAATGAAAGCAAGTTATTCTGGGATTAAGCGGCCTTTAATATACAACAATGCAGTGTGTGAAGCTGTTTGGGCTACTCATGGCAATCATGAGGTTAATAGAAATTAATGCCTTAGTACTGATCATTCATCAAGAGCTGTCTCTCAAACTAAGTTTCACTTCCAATTGAAAAGGAGATAAATTGATATCATGTGGGAAGCCTTAAGAGTCTCCATACAAATGCATTCAATATTGAAAGTCCACCTGAACAAGGGAAATGCCCCTTTGCTTCCCCGCTAGAAATGAGAGACAATAGCATCTACTATTTAACAAAAAAGTAGCAAGACCCTTGAGGGATATTAAATTTTATGTGCGATACAATTAATACAAGAACCAGGGAGATGCTAAGTCACATTTCTCAACTATGAGCTACATGTTAAAATGCTCTCCTGGCTCTCAACAGACTTAAAAATGCATTCAAAAATACAAATTTTAAATGCAGAGGCTTTACTTGAAAAAAGAAAGAAAAGAAAATACCTTGAGATCATGATTGGCTCTTGATCCATAAGCATCGGTCAGATTATACTCGCACTTAACCCCATCTTTTGATACTCTCTGGCCCATATAGATCGGGGATTTCTCCCCCTCCCATGATTCCCCTCGACATCTCCGGTCCCGATGATCATAATACAGCGGAGTTTGAGCCCCTTGGATGACGATGGTGATGTTCGTGGAGTCGATGAGAATGTCTGGAGAGAGGATGTTTGGTGCCCCCACTGTGTCACCAAAGGATCACAAAGTGTTAATTGTCACTGAAACAAATTGCGTGCTTTGGCAGTGCTTTGGCATTTCATTCTTACAGATTACATTACAATGAACATAAAAACTTGAACTTAAACTTGAACATTTGTATAAAAGAAGATAATGATAACATTAAAAATAATAATAAAGCTAAAAATGCTAATAATAATAACAGCACTTTTTCAGGAACACATAACATTACATGGTACCATGAAAGTTATAACAGAAAACAAGAATCTCATATTAACATGTATTACTGCTCTCACACAAGGCAAAGATTGTTACGTTTCAAACTCCCTAAATTTTCTTTTCATTAGGAGTCTCTTACCTCTGAAATGGCTATTCAAGATCCATTTACTACTTGGCGCTCTCCCATCTACTTCAAGTGTTACAGCTAAGACAGAGATCAATGGACATGGTTTGTCTTCCAGCAGTTTTCCTCCCAGGAAACAACTTGTAGCACTGGTGTAACAAAGGTTTCTACATAAAGAGACACAATACCAGAGAAAATACATGTAGCAGAATGGTCCACAAACAAAAATGCAAACCTTTCAAATGACCATTTGGAGTATGAAATCTGAGCCTTATTTTGAAGCATTGTCAAACAAATTATATGACTAATATTTTAAAAATAATCATAATGTCACTTTTTTGTATATTTTCTTTCTTAAATTATCATGGTGATTTTTTTTTAACCTGTCACTTTTTCACTTAACCTGTTGATGTTACATATTAAATACCCATCATGGACTACCTGGCATTTACAACATGTAAGCATTGATAATAATTTTAAAGATAACAAACATCTATCTTAGCATGCAAAAATAGGAAAAAGTGTGTTTACTCTTCTGTAAGCTTACAAGTAGCATGGGAATCACTACATTGCATTCCATTTGTTTAAAGCCTCATAGAGGTAGGCTCACACTGGTGTCCATTTAAATACAAGGGCAAATAATGAAGAGTGATATTACCATGGTCAAACCCAAGGTTTTCATCCAAATAAAATGTCACAATTTTCAACAACACAACTCAATCATCAATTAAACATAATTTGTTAACTTAATAATAATATTTAGCTTTATAAAGCGCTTTATGTCTCTAAGCGCTTTACAAATACACTAAAGGGATTGGATATCTTTGTCTCAGATTCTAAACAAAATCCTGGATTTAGTTCATGCTGCAATCATAATTATCAACCAATAATTATAATACCATTACGCTTACAAGCAGATCGCCTGTCTGATTATCAAGATATTTATGATTGGAAATCGAAATTTCAAAAACTGTTTTCTCAACAGTTTTTATAACACTACATTCTATTGAGGAAAATGTGTGGTAAAACCGGTCACTCAAAGATTTCTACTCTTTTGAGGCACTTCATGATCATTTTGAAGCGCAATTTTTTAAGGGCTTCGGAAAAGTTCAATATTACACCATATCACAGATGCTGATAACACGTAGGGCCATCCATCTCAGATTTGGCATTGTTAAACAATGCCTTTAACATGATTGGAAAAAAAATAATCATCAATCTGTGAATAGATTATATTATAGATCATTTACATGTACCGGTACTCACTTTTTACCAGGATCCGATGTAAGGTGGTACATGCCAGTATAGTTTTCTATAGGGTTCCATGATGCCTCAAAGTTGAGATTCCCAAGATCAATTACTCTTAGCGGTGGTGCATAGAGTGAATACACATACTCTGCAGGGGTGATCATGAGAAAGGGAAAGAAAGAGAGAGATAGATAGAGAGAGAGAGAGCAAGCAAAGAGAGAGAGAGAGAGAGAGAGAGCAAGCAAAAGAGAGAGAAAGAGAAGGAAGAGAAACAAGAGAAAGAGAAAAGAGAAAGAAAAAGAAAAAGAAAAAGAAAAAGAAAAGAAAAAGAAAAAGAAAAAGAAAAAGAAAAAGAAAAAAGAAAGAGAAAGAGAAAAAGAGAAAGAGAAAGAGAAAGAAAGAAAGGGAGAGAGAAAGAAAGCAAGAGAGAGAGAAAGCAAGAGAGAGAGAGAAAGCAAGAGAGGGAGGGACGGAGGGAGGGATGGAGAGAGAGAGAGAGATAAAGAGAAAGAGAGACAAGGGGGAAACCAAATTTAGAGCAAAGCTGATTCAATTTTAAAAGAAATTGAAAATACATTCCAATATTTTGATCAAAAGATACATGCAGTACATTAGTGCAAGAAGGCACATGCAGAGATGGATGTGCTAAATTGAGCAAACCCTGTGCGTGCATCTTATGGAGCTCTCACACTCTGCCGTGTAGGCCTACCGTCCAACTGCCGGGCTATTAAAAAAAAAACAGAGTCCAGAACGTTGGGTTTTAAGCGAACTTGTCCCCGGCCGCAAAAAAAAATTCATAAAATTAATCTTTTCACCGTTTCGTTGCCATCTTCTGACCGTTCTCACCGGGTGCATACCGGGTGTTGAACGTGCTTCTACCGTCTTCACCGCCCAGATTGACTTTTGTTGAAAATTTTGGCCGTTTCAATACCGGGCCCATACCGGGTCTCGAACGTGTGCACCGGGTTTGTAGCAGCCACCTACCAGTCACTTAGCGTCCCCTCACCACTCGGAGCGTCCTGTGAGCGTGTCCCCGGACTGCTGACGTCGTGACACGACTGCCATAAATACTCCGATTTGAACGGCAACGGTCAGTCCGCTCTCCATTTTTCATTACCGTTCTGTAACGGGTTATGAGCGTGTTGTGAACGTGTTCATACAGTGTGACCGTTTTCATAACGTATTCATACCGTCCTCATACCGTTCAACACCGTCCTCTTGCCGCTAATTACTTGCGGCCGGTGCCAGCCGGCCAAAGTTTTGAACATGCCCAAAACTTTCGCCGGGTCCCACCGGGTGTAAATAAGCGCCAACGCCCTATTAACGTGTTGCCCGCTTTGATAACGAACCACCGTGTGCCCTCGCCATTCTCCACCGTCCGCAGACATTTTCGCGCACGGTGGCACACGGTAGGCCTACACAGCAGAGTGTGAGAGTCACTTAAGGACACTATACTAATCGCTATTATCATAAAGTAAGTATTGCCAATGTGAAACAGCAGATTTGTGTACTTGCTTTTTCCGGCAGAACCAACATTGCAAACTCTTATGAGAAGTCAGTGTTTTTGTAGTGTAAATTTGCCTGTTAGCTTCTTAATATCAGGAACATGTGCATTGTGCAGGGTAAGCAAATCGCTATCAAATTTCACATTTTTTGTTAAAGTTCTTGACCGATTTCAATATGCTTCATCTTTCATCTCCGCACCATCACTCAATTCTTTAAAAAATAGTTCGGACAAACACTGGTCATCCCTACACACCAAATTATTCCATAAAATATGTGCTTCCACCCACCATGCATGTACATGTAGGTTTTAACCACTCCAGCAAAGCCTAGAGAGTCGATGCTAAGGCCATGTAAAATTGATTTCATGTTGATCGTCCCCGCCCGCTTCCTTTTTGGGGCCGCCTCCTATTTTTTGTTATTTGTTATTTTTTTTTTTATTTTTTTTTTTTTTTTTTGAATTTTTTTTTGATTTTTTTTTTTTTTTGAAAGAAAAAAACATGAAAAACACTGCTAAAATGGCTCTATTTCTGATTTAAAAAAAAAAAAATTGTCGGCGGCCATCTTGAAAAAAATAGCCTCAACTGTCAGGGAAAATGTACCGAGCAGCCATTTTGAGCGGCCATTTTGAAATATCAAATATCAAATAACATGGTACACCCCTCCTCTTTTTCAAAAAATCCGGACGATCAACATGTAATCAATTTTACATGGCCTAATGCGTATTGGGTTTTAACAGGATCACCTCTCACTTCTGTACACTAATGCTGAGGCTGATGCTGTTTTGTAATTGATAATAATCATTCCTTTGAATGTTTCCAAACATTGAATTTTGATAAAATTGTCAAATCAAAGTTTCATTTTTTGCAATAATGAAAATAAATTTAGTTTTTTTAAATGATCGCAAAGCTACATGTACTTTAAGGCTGGGTGATATAACTATCATATTTCATATTATCAGTATATCACCTACATGTAGATGATAGATCTAGCCCTTGGCTTAAGCAAGGCTACCTCTAGGCTCTATCCAAGAATCAGATTTAAAGTTCTTCTTTTTTTTAATCAAAATTTACACATTTAGTCTACAAAAAAACGATTACAAATAAATGTTGAACTTGAAAGATTTTTTTTTTTTGCAAAACAAAAAATTGAATTAAAAAAATATATATATTGCTTCAATCTGGCTGAAACTTAGCAAAAGTTAACACTTTGAATTTGGCTTTGCTTAGTTTTACTATACCGGTAGAAGAATAAGAAGAAGAAGGTGTAACTGTTGTTAGGGCCATAGGCCTAAATCATTTGTATGTGTTGACAAAAGATAACTTAGTTTGAGTTTGACAATCAAAAAAACAAAATATGAATGTGAAATTAAATTAAAGTTAAAAATAAAACACCAAAAACATTAAAGTAAAGACAAAGTAGGCTGTAGGCCTATGGTAAACTAAATCTTCTTCTTCTTCTTCTTCTTCTTCTTCTTCTTCCAGTTAAGTGCCACTTCATGGTGATGAAGATAATCGCACTGGTTTTGTATGTATATGTGGAGACTTTCACATGTCCTGTTATTCCACATTTTAACTTGTTGTTCTTGTTGTGCAGGTGCATAGATTCTATGAATCTATTTATTTAAATGGTCTAGATCTAGATTCTTTCTAGTCTAGATCTGAAGTCTACTTACCATTATATAAAATGACAATCAACACAATCAAAATACTTCCAAACGCCACCATCTTCGTTACAGAGAGATGAAACGTCAACGAAAACAAAATTCAAGTCTCCAAAGTCACCAACCACAAGTGCCAAATGCAAAGCCAGGCCAAGCCCAAGGCAAAGCCAAAGATGAGCACTTTAACTTACACTAAAGTTAGTATACGGGACTGAACTAGCTGAACAGTGAATTCTGCCATTATAGCAAGTAGCATATTTTGGCACGATTCCTGCTGAGAGAATGGAAGTAACATTGGTCGAATCAATTCAGTTGAAATATAAATCAGGTGACTCCATCAGGAAATTCAAGAAGCGAACATTTTCTCAGCATCTTGTAGACTGTCTAGTTGTGGTCAAGCGAAGGCAAAGGGGCGAAGGCATATTACAAGTAGATTACAAGTACCGTAGTAGTACGGAGTGTATACGGCGCGCGAGCGCGAGCTGTAAACATGATGTAGGCTAGGCCTACTGTAAATTGCGATAGACACCAGTGGCGGATCCAGGGGTGGGGGCAGGGGGCACGGGCTGGTCTAAAAAAAAGATAAAAACACCTTTTTTGGAGAGGAAAAAAAAAGGAGACGGGCCCCCACACCTGGCAAATAAATGCTCATTACTCCCCCCCCCCCCCCCCTTCCCCGCTTATTCGCCGGCTGATTTGCCGCAAAATTTCTCACGAGTTGGGGAGGGGGGAGAAAAAAATTAGTGCTCTTTACCCACTGAATAAGCGGGGGGGGGGGGGGGGGGGGGGGGGTAAGAAGATATTTTTTTTTTTTGGGGGGGGGGTATTGAAATTTGAAAATCTGACGTTTTGCACAGTAGGGGGGGGGTAAGGTCACCTTTTTTTTTTAGGTCGGCCATTGGCATAATCTTTTTTTTATTAACAAAAAAAAAATCCACAAAAGGGGGGGTTGCTCAAAAATACACACATAATACACCAAAAAACAAACTTAAGGGGGTTTAACCCCCCCCCCCCCCCCCCCCCCCCCCCCCCCCCACCCTGCGTACGCGCCTGCGTACTATACAAATATACCAAGCTGTGAAAAAGTATAACTTATTATTCAGGTCAAAACGTTCAAGCCGCCCTCTAAAGTAATTGGAGCCCCGAATTCACCAACAATTTTGATGGCAAAATTTCATTTCAATTGTATTATTATGTGAAAGAGGATGTCATTTAATTAACACACTATTCTGCAAAGATCTCCCTCCCTAAAAAGACAAATATTGATAAAACAATACATAATTTGGGTTTTCTGTTGTAGCTAGCCTACGCAGAAAACCTAAATTTGAAATATATCATCAATATTCGACTTCAAACACGTTTGTTTTGAAAATCCTTCCATATATATAAATGCGTTTAAAATGACATCCTCTTTCACATTATGATATAATTCAAGTGAAATTTTGCTATTTGGGGGCTCCTAGATTTAGAGGGGCTTAATTGTTTATCTTTCAGTGCTAGATGTGTATGTCGATCTCCAAGAATAAAACACACCAAGGAGCATTTTTTTATAAAATATCAAAACAAAAAAATAATTTATTATTGAAAATCACGAAAACAATTTTAATGCACCCTCATTAAACAAACTTGGTCGGTGTTTACTAGTCTATAGGGCGCATTTTCCTGAAGAAAAAAATGTGCCTATTTATTCATCTCTTTTGACCATCCGCGCTATTTATACATGTGCATATAGGCTTACATCGAAACTAAAACGGTTCGGGCTAGCGACAAGTGATCGCGGCATGCGCATCATCATGTAGCCATAATTACCCGTTCAAAGAAATATAGATTTCATGTCTTTAACTTATCAAACAGCTAATACCTTCAAACAGTTACAATTTACTGATTTTAGGGTTACATCATTTTTTTTATAATGACACAAAAATTGCGTTTGCGAACTAAATCTTTGTAACTAAAAACCTTTTTAGCTATAGCCATAGACTATTTGAATTTTCATTTGAACAATCTGTGGCTTATAAAATATCAAATATCAAACTTTACATGTATTATATGTCAAGACCCGCGATAACGACCCAACGCGATAAGATTTACGTATACTAGTTCGTGCTGAATGGGACATCGTATATAGTTAGCATAATTTATTATTGAATGATTGGATTGTTTATTGAACCGAGTTAATTCTTTCATGTCTGATGTTCGATGCCGCCAAAACAGACGAGAGGCAATGATTTATATTCAAGAATGAAAACGGTCGGCCTTCATAAACCTATTCGTTATATTTATGATCTACACTATAAAAATCAAAACATAATAGTTTTATATAATAAATGTATATGTACTAACAAAACAAAAAATCTTGATTTCACGAACCGGTGCACCGCGGTGATGCCTCGATCCGCCGTCTCTCTCTCTCTCTCTCTCTCTCTCTCTCTCTCTCTCTCTCTCTGTCTCTCTCTCTCTCTCTCGCTCCCCTCTCTCTCTCTCTCTCTCTCTCTCTCTCTCTCTCTCTCTCTCTCTCTCAAATAAAAGCTGTCTAGACGAAACTTTTCACCTCCCCTTCCGTGTTATTTTAAGCAGCAGGATGTTTGTTTGCTCTGTTTGAAGTCACTTGCTTGTACAAAATTATGTTCATATATTCTATTAAAAGGTGTCCCAAATATATCACGTCCCGGTAACAATTTCATAACTCAATAGGCCGTTTTAGTAATAATGTAGAACCAAATTGTGAAGTGCCTCGATACAATTGATTTCATAACAGAATTCAAATTGCATATACATGTATTAGTTGTTGCTAGGTAGGACAAACATTATGGCTTGCTTTACCTAATAAACGTAATATATATGGAATTCGCATTTTCACTCTTGAAATAATACTTTTTTTGTAACAGGTAAATGAAATCATTCGTATCGATAAACATAATTTGGTTACATTACGAAAATGACCTATTAAAGAAAAAGAAAAAGAAGAAGAAAAAGAAGAAGAAAAAGAAGAAGAAAAAGAAGAAGAAGAAAAAGAAGAAGAAGAAGAAGAAAAAGAAGAAGAAGAAGAAGAAGAAGAAGAAGAAGAAGAAGAAGAAGAAGAAGAAGAAGAAGAAGAAAAAGAAAAAGAAGAAAAAAAAAGAAAAAGAAAAAGAAGCAGAAAAAAAGAAGAAAAACAAGAAGAAAAAGAAAAAGAAGATGATTAAACGAAGAAAAAGAAATACAAGAAGAAAAAGAGGCAGAAAAAGTAGCAGAAAAAGAAGCAGAATAAGATGAAGAAAAAGAATGATGAATCTGACTAAGAGGCAGAGGATCGAAGAAGAACAAGAAAGCAAAAGCATCGAAGCAGAAGTAGAAGGGGAAAATAGAAAAGGGAGAAGAAGAAAAAGAAGTCAAAGATGAATCAGAGGAAAGAGAAAAAGAAGAACTTGGAGAAGAAGTAGTAGAAGAAGAATGAAGAAGTAGTAGAAGAAGAATGAAGAAGTAGTAGAAGAAGAAAAAGAATTTAAGAAGGAGAAGGAGGAGGAAAAAAGAAAAAAAGGAAGATGAGGATGAAAGGAATAAGAAGAAGAAAAAGAAGAACACGGAAAAGAAAATGAATAAGACTAAGAGGAAGAGGATCGAAGAACAACAAAAAAGCAAAAGCATCGACGCAGAAGTAGAAGGGGAAAAGAGAAAAAGAAGTCAAAGATGAATCAGAGTAAGGAGAAGAAGAAGGAAGAGATGAAAATTAAACCCCATTATGATTGTTTACTAATGTTCTGCATATTCATACATCACAAAATCCCAATTATATTGCCAGCAAGATCATTGATCATAAAAAAAAAAAAGATTATTAAAAAAAAAGTTTTTTGATTTGCTTTCCTGGCAATGAAAGATTTTATTTACGTCAAGAAAAGTGAAATTAGAGCTTAGAATGAGACTGATAAATTGCTATGTCTGTCTGTTGTATGGAGCAGAGACAATGAAATATTGCACGTGGCATAGCTTATACAAAATATCGCTATAGGAATAGTTCAAGAAAAAAGAAAGGCGAAATAGTTTGTTCATATTAAAAGACAACAGAGTCTCTCGAAATATTTATTAGAAAGAAAATTGGAAGGTGCGAGAGGGAAGCTGAGAAGTTGAGAACCAACTGGGAGGCATTTGCATATCATGTTGGTGGTACTGTAAATGCAGACCTGCCAACCTCTGGAGTTCAAAAACTGTATTCTTTCATCCCAAAAGTTGTGTTTTACTGACAAAAGTTGTATTCTTAAAAATAAACACGGACTGTACGCGGATCAATGCCTCTTGCAGTTCCTACATATAGGAATAATTTTTTTATGGATAATTGGTTGAATATGCATGATTTCGCCACGACTGGTGTGTTCGATGAACCATTAAAAATCCCCAAATTGCCAATGTGAAATGCTTCAAGGATACTTTACAGGACAGAATGGGCATTTTGCCATTGAAAATGAATTAATTAATGAATAAATTTAAATTAAAAAAATTAATATAATATTTTTTTTTATCGTATTTTATTGAGGAAAATCGTACTGTCGTATTTGCTTCTAAAAATTGTACGAAATAAATGTGCCTGCAAGAAGAAGTTGTTCAGGCACATTTACAGTACCAGCAACATGATATGCCAAGCATACCTTACCCCATACCTTGTGAGTACAGTGACTTATCCACTAGACCACAACAAAAGACAACACAAATCTCTGAATCTTCAAGAAATACATGAAACAAAATTATCTAAGCATTCAGTGACAGACACAATATAAATGTCCTTTGAATGTGATCCCATTCCCACTCAGTTCATTCACATCTTTCGTTTACGGATGATTGTCAACGAAATGGTGTCAAGTCTTTTGTCAACTCTCGTTTGTTGCTACGGCAGGCACCCAGTGAAAAAAAATTCGTTTGATAAAATTATGGAAATGCAAGCACGGCTTTAAACAAACAGAACTTTGTCATTCCTAGTCATTTTTCCTGATCGAGGTGTCATATGAAAGGGCAGAACCTCAACTTTCTAGAAATGTAATTTTCTTTTGAAATTCAGATACCGTCTGCCAAATGACTTTTTGGTTTCCTCTCTTCAAATTCATTTTAATCACTCATGCGTGAAATATGCATCATATGAGTTTCATCAAAGAAAGAGGAGGATCTAAGCTTTCCAAATATGTGTCTTTTAGTAATTACAAATGTGACTAAGTTATGATAAAACATTGATAATTCTCGGTTTCGTTTTTTCTGGGACGCACTGTATAATCACAGGGATTCTCAATAAGGCCAAGGGTCTGTCACATCATCTGTTCTGAGCCAGAAGGGCATTAATTTGGTGTTAAAGAATATGAGTTACTGCCCTTCTGGCTCCCACCACATTTTAAGAAAACTAACATATTTCCTTAAGAACAACACTTTGAATGCAGTATTTCAAGTAGTGAATACCATTTAATATCTCCATTTACATTATATATTACAATATACAAACATTATAATGTGCACATACATGCATTTATATATCATCAACTGACTTACACACATCTAAGGCAGGAATATCATTTTAAAGCTTTTCTTTAACTATCAAAAAGAACACAAATGATTGAGGCATGAAATATCATGTTTTAAAATGAATAAAATCAAATGCATGACTGGACACATTTAAACTAAAATGGTGATAACGCATGTACAGTAGATACCTGTTTATGAATATAACACTTCACAAAACATCTCCTATGAAAAATCTGAATTAAAGATGAAATTTATATTATATAAATATCAGCACTATAATCAAACTTCAAGGCAAATTTCATTAAAAGTATAACTTACCATGCAACCTCTTTTACAATGAAACGAAAAGATAACAGAATCTACTTCTTCGTTAACAGCTTTTATCGGATTGAAAGGAATGTAAGACATTGGAATATCAAGACAGGAGAGAATAAAATCTTATTAGCTATTAATTTGCTATGAGCAAATTCATTTCATCACATTTTTCTCTGTGTGTTTGATGATCAAAGATACTCGCCTAAAAAATACTCCACCACAAACAGCATTTTATAATGAGATCATCATAACTAATTATCAACCTTCATTTGTTATACTTAAATTCTAAGTACAAGTATCAATAATGACAACTAAGAAACATTTATAAATAATTAACCGTTTTACTCAAGAAAATTACAGTAATTGAGAATGGGGTGAGCTTGCAGATACAGTGAAACCTGTTTATAAAGACCACTCAAGGTAGACAAGAAAGGTGGTCTTTATAGGCAGGTGGCATTCATGAACAGGTTCTTGTAGTACATATTTCAATGAGAAACCATCTTAGATAGAAACCAAAAGGTGGTTTTTATAGAGAGGTGGTTTTTCTATACAGGTGATCACTAAAGCAGGTTTGCCTCTATAAGTTCTAGCCCTTTATATAAAATCCCTGTATTCATCCTCTTCTATTAAAATAGTTGAAAATCTGCTTATTCTTAAAATGTTTAGCAATGTTTTGCCACTCATTTTAGAACACACCTTCACTATATCACCCATGCGATACTATCAAATGTATTCAACTTGCTGATCTCTATCAAAAGTGTGCCACTCATTTGTTTGTTTTTTATTGTTTCACAGAAAGGTTCTAAGGGAAACAAAGATGGTGATGAATGAATGCTCAGATCAGGACTGAAACAGAATAAATGACCCTCATTACCAAATGGATTTAACATGCTAATCTCTATCAAAAGTGTGCCACCCTTTGGAAAATTGTTTCTCATTGTTTCATAGAATAACTCTGACGGGAACAAAAATGGAGATAAATGAATGCTCATATCTTGACTGAAACAGGATAAATGAGCCTCGTTACCGTAACAAAACCAGATCAGTCAATATCTGAGAGCAATTTCCTCTCCAGCTTTCTGTCAATTCTGTCAAGAGATCCAAAGGCTGAGCATGATTTATCAAAAATACATTTATTATCGGCCCTTTGTCTTGCATTTAAAAAGAAATATTAGAGCTACCTTTGGGAACCATTATCATAAACACGCATATGGATTACCTCAGATTTCTTGGATATTTGTTTTCATCCACATTTCCTTGTTTTTTTTCCCTCATTTTTTTTGATGAGAGATTCAAAGCATGACAGGTACCTAAAGTACCCCAAAGCATTTTTATTTTCTAGCTGATGAGACCAAAATCTTTCTTCACACCCTAAAAGCTTGTTCAAATGTGATGCAGCAAAACCACAGCGGTTTTTAATCTTTAAAAAAAATGATGCTGTAAAGTGTGATTTGCTTCACATTTCAATAAATACGCGCAAGTCCTTTGTGTGCTCAGATGCGGCATTCATTTACATCAACAACAAAAAAACTTAATTTAATAATTCTGACCTTTTTCCTGTACAATAGGACTGAGACCCTCAAAGAATTTATAGGGAGAAATTAAAGCCCCACTGCACTAGTTTGGCAAGGAGGGATTAGACCCCCCCCCCCCCCTCCCCTGCATGGTCAATGACAGGTGGTTATCTCATCAAATAAGCTTTTAATTAACATAAGAAAAGGGGGATCATGGGGGACCAATGGTCACCGATTAGGCATTGTTTGCTATATAGAGGGTGCAAGTAGCTATAAGTAGTGCAGTGGGGTTTTAAGGGAAGGAAACCTAAAATGCAGACTAAGTTAACAATTTAGACCTCTGGAAGTGGCTCTTCTTCCTCCACGATGAGACCGAGATCTTCAAGGAACTTCTTCTCATCATCCTTGAAGTCCAGGAATTCAATCCTCTGTTTGTTTTCTACCTCCTCGGTGCTAGGCTCTTGAGGCGGCGCCATCTGTTTATGTAAACATACAAACAAATAAACAATCAATCAATCGATCAAACAAATAAATCAATACTGCATGTGAGAGCAAAAATTGCTTGAAATTAATATAGGGACCACATCCATAAACTGTCTTATAACGAAATCTACCTGTGTAAGTACATTGCTTAAACCTATATTGCCTTGGATTGCTCAAGAAAGATAATGATACGTTTAATGTATTGTATTGTTTTTAATCAATTGTTATTATTACTATTGTGAATCTTAACATATTTTTAAAACGTAAATAATACATAGTGATTGATTTTAAATAGCTACACATGAGTAATGTTAAGTATTACCAATGCTGTTTGAACGATTGTAACAAATGAAATATGATTTTATGTAATGGAGCTCATGTATATGTAAACATGTACAATTCAGCATTTTGGCTACAAGGGTTTTTAATAAAAGCATTATTGAATTTTTATTGAATTGAATTTATATTGAATGGCACATACAAACAGGCCAAGTTGGGTCACACGACCGATGAAGGTTATACTTAACTGAATATTTTAGAGCTAAATACTATTGCATTGATATCAAAAGTTTAACTCTCAAACAAACATATATATATATATATATATAGATATATGCTTTAAAGCCCCACTTTACTACTTGTAGCTACTTGCTCCCTCTATATAGAAAACAATGCCTAATCGGTGACCATTAGTCCCCCAAGAGCTGAGTTGATGAGATAGCCACCTGTCAGTGACCATCCTGGGTGGTCTAATCTCTTCTAGCAAAACTAGTACAGATGGCCTTTAATAGTTGAAGGCAAATCTGGAACTTACCTTCTTCTGAGCTTCCTCCTGATCCAATTTCCTCTTGTTGTCCACATGGAAGTTCGTCCTGCTTTCCTGGAACTCCAATCTCTGAACCTCTCTGTCCAGGTAGTAGGTGAAGCTCGACAGCTGAAATGAAAATAAAAGAATGTACAGTGTGGGCAAATGAGGCCATGCAATCCAGCAACCCCAAGGTGTATAAACACACATTGGTGATTTAGCGAAAGTCTCCATCTCATGTTTAAGTAGTCCTGGGGGAGCGTTTCACAAAGACTAAGATCAACTTTAAGTAGGACTTAACTATGGCAGACCGTTTTGCCACTGTTTGCTCTATATCAATATAATATTTTTCCTTCAATAATGAATTATCAAAAAATGTATATTCTGTAGAAAGTGCACATGAGCATGTAGATCAGAACACCACTTAACAGACTGGAGCTCTATCTAGGGTAAATTGTCATCCCTTCAATGAGAATACACAATGTCAATCATATAAGTTTGTGCAATGATCAGGTGCCTCGATCACCAGGCAAATCAAATCCTGATGCAGCAATGAAGTATTTACCTCATTAGGAGTTGGGTTTCTGAGGGTCCAGGGAACCTCCAGGATGTGCAGTGTCCCAATCTTATCAGTCACTGCAAGAAGCTGTTGCTTGCCTGTAATCAAACAACAAGAAGCGTATACAGGTGACGTTACTCATGAATTTCCATACATATCTTAACTACATTGAAACATCTTTTGTTACAGGAATTGGCAGGTATTTAGCCAAGGATTAACATTCTTTATAAACTGCAAAACAAACTTAACAATTTTCATTTATCATTTTATAAAATTATAACTTGACCAGCATTCAACACACCTAATATTTTGGAATGGTAATACTTGTTACACACAACTCTAAACGGAAAACAACAAAACAGAAATCATATGTCAAAATGTTGAGGTTTGGGTTAAGATTAGGTAAAGTGTTGGGTCTTAATTTCAAACTGATTTTTTTTTTTAAATAGTGTATGAAATTAATCACACAGCAATTGTTGCTAGGGCAACTATTACTAAGCATCTTAGAACTGACAGGATATATCCTAATATTTGACCAATCTTACCTGACACCACCCACGGGTAGATGTTGGTGATCCCCGCGGCCGAGATGTTCTGAGAGAGGGACGGTTCATGAGTCTTGTCCAGGAGATCCCAGACGTCCACATTGCCTTCTGCCGTGCCGATGTAGAAAACAGCAGGTCTGGTGGGTGACCAGTAAGCAGCGGTCAGGGGCTTGGCCGCGGCGCTGGAGGTCAGCAGAGGACCAAACTAAAATGGAAAAATAAATTACTATATCTTAAAGCTTAATTCAAGGCCATGGTAATAAATTTCTTTAAACAATATTTAAAAACTTCTTCTGATATGAAGGGGTATAAATCCTTATGGTTTTTTTAAATAAAAAAAATGATGTGTAACATACTTTATAATATATCTTAATCTTGTAACACAGAGTTTAGTGAATACAAGTAGGACCTTCGTTGCGTGAAGCTGCCATTCATGTAAAAAAATAAAAATGAAAAATAAATCTTATCACTTCATATCAAACTTCAAAGAACATTACATACCTCTTTGCCTTCCTTCCATAGTGAGAATGTCCAGCCTCCGACCAGGAGTAAAACATCCTTGAAGAAGGGTGATCTCTGGAGGGCTTCAATGCCCTTGTCGTGGACCTGGGTGGCAAACAGGGGTTTGGGAGCTTGGAGTCGTCCAGAGTCGGTGTCCTTCTCTAGCTTCCAATCAGCATACACCAATTCTCCTTCCTACGATGGTAATTAAGATTCACAATAAGAGGGGGTAGTTTTATAGATGGATACCTAGTTACAGGTACAGATAATTTTATTTGCCATCTTCCTCCCAGGGCCATCGTCATCACTGTCATTACTACTACCATCATCATCACTATCATTACCACTACCATCATCATTATAATGATTGTCTCCCACACCAACATAATCCTCATCATCATTATTATCCCTCCCACCACCTTAAAATACCTATTGAGATAACAATCAAAATGACAATCATCATCACAAAACCACAATCATGAATTCCCATCATTGCTATTACCAAAAACACCACTTTTTCACCATCATTTCCGAGGGCAAAATGCAAATCTAACATCTCTCTCCCTCTCTCCTTCTCTATCTCTCTCTGTCTGTCTGTCTGTCTCTCTCTCTCTCCCTCCCTCCCTCCATCCCTCCCTCCCTCCCTCCCTCTCTCTCTCCCTCTCTGGATCTCTGAGTATGCCTGTTATTTTTACCTGTGTACCAACATAGAATTTAGTTGTAGCTCCTTCCAGGGGTCTCTTTTCCTTGGCTGAACCCCCTCTCAAAGATATCCCTAGGCCACCCATACTACTATCCTTCTTCTCTAATTCACTCTTAGGCTGCTTCTCCACTGCAATCAAAGAGAATGGGATAAGGGTTACTTATTTACCAGTGACTATATATTTACTCTGGTTACAATTGCCCTGGGCATTGTGTGTTAACGTGCCCCTCCCCTTGTTTCATAGAGGCAGGCTATGTTAAGTGGAAAACACTCCATCCCTTGGATAGGATGTAAAATGGAGGCCCCATGTAGAGGAGAGTCACCACCTTTGCATGTTAAGAACCCACTGCGCTCTTTGAATAAGAGTAGGGGGAAACCATGGTGTAGTGGTCCACCTGCATACCCTTAGTATACACAGATGGACCTTGTGGAAGATTAGCCCTGTGCTAAACATAAAGTCTACTACTATTTAGGCTTTATTTTGCCAAATATTGGGTAAGGATTATGGATGCAAATGGTTTTAAGGTTGGGTTTAATAAGGATTAATATTATGTATACTGTTTGTTCTAGGGTTTGAGTTTAGAATTTGGTTAATGAACAAAATTGTCAAAGGGGTAACTTCAACCTTAGCATATTGTGCCCTAGAGTATGATATTCAGTATGATGAGAATTGAACTTTAAATTGAATTTCAATGAATACATGTGATCTGTATGCTTTCTCACATTTTGAAATGGCTGTTTGATTATGAGTACATTGATAATATATTTGATATTTTGGCTCTAATACTGTTATAATGTGATCCGTGGCAGAAGTATCAGAAAAACATGCAGGTTCTTAGAAAAAGTTCCTTGCCATATTACTAGTATTGGAATTGTTTTGAAAATCTGACACTTCAGCATCAAACCACACCACATGCATTTATTTTCCTTCACTGGAAGAATACACTTCTCTAGAAATATACTCCCTATATGAAAATATACAATTATTTGTGATACTTCATTCTCTACAACCATGCTGTGCAGTGTTTTCCTATCAAAAAAAATGTTCATATATATTAAACCAAATGCAAATTATATCTGTTACTCCCCTCCCCACCTTTCCTGTTGTGTACTATATGTTCTTGCATTAATAAATGTACATATCTTTTTCATTTTTTTAGAATCAGAAAATATTTATCATTACAAAATTCTCTTATTGGAATGACACTCATAAACGTTTCACTGACAAATGAAGAAATGTAGGTTAGAGTTAAATCGATGATATGACATCAGCTAATAAATTATGTTAAGTTGAATACACGTGAACCCTTTTCTTAATAGCCTTGATGATGTACAGAGCCTATGTGCTGAACATCTATTCTAACAGGAACCCGCAAAATGAAAACCAATCGTGATAAGTTTTTAAATGCATGGCAAAAAAAAAAATGTGTTATGAAATTTATATACATACTTTGTGCATATTTGCAATCATGGCATTAAACATACAGGTTAAAGTACTATTCTATGATAATCCATATGTGGGTGGTTTAAACACTGCTCATGTTATATATCAATCATATTTTTAGAAAAAGAATTGAAACATGTAGCATTTCTTGTGGTTAAAGGAATAATGAGTACTCTTTGTACCATGATTGATTTGGTTATCATATTCAGATAAATTGGTTTTGTTTTTCACTTTCACTTCATGCAGAGCAAGCAAACATATTCAGATATCAGTTAGGGAAGCATTCATGTACGAACAAAATCTTTGACAGGAGAATATACATGCAATCATCTTCATTGAATAATTTTGTATAAAAAATAATAGGTTTAAAAAAGAAAGAGAAAATATTAATCTATTTTTTTCTTGTGCGTTTTTAAAATTGTATATAACTTAACATTGTCTGCTTATAATTTCATTTGATGATTTACTTCATAAGAGATTTTGAGATTCCTTAAAGAGAACTGACAGTGAAAGAATCACCCTCCCCAGAGTCGTATTGTACTGATAGTTGTAGTGAAAAGAGCTTTTGAACAATTATGATGTTGTTGTTGTTGTGTTTTAGCTTATTGGCGATTAGTCAGTAATTTGACTATTGTCGCCAAAATACTTTACGTCACGTGTTATATCTCTCATTTTTGTATTATTATTATTATTATTTTTTTTTAAATAAATAAATATTTTCAATAGTATCGAAAAATAAAATTGTAAGCAAAACATTCATGGGCTTTCTTCACAGTACGTGCAAACTAAGATGGTATCCTTCATAGCAAAATGAAAAAATAAAAAGGAGAAGGAAATTAAGACCTAGTCCTTTTCATCAAAACAATAGACTAGCTTTGTTTGCCTCTTCCAAGATGGGATCTCATGAATGTTTAAAAAGGATGTCTTATGTTTATGCTATATTCCATTATTATGATTTTAAAAAATACATTTGTTCAGGTTCTGGAGAAAAAAACAACACTATCTGCATTTGGGCTGCAAATTTTGTTTGTTCCAATAAACCGTAATGATGCAATTTCATTCAATTCAGTTGTAAAAAATATAAAAAATCATAACAATTGCATAGTACGGAAGCAGAAGAGAGTTGCAAGACCTTGTTTAAGCACAAAAAGACATGTAACCTTGCAAAAAAATTAAACGATCTTGAAATTTGACAAGAAGCAGTTTTGAGTGGATATTGTTCTTTGGAAAATACACGATAGCCCCAGTTATAGATTGAAGTGGATAGTTTTTGTATCAGTTTAGAGGTTTCACAGCACAATACTTTTTTTCTGGCAGCACGAAACTTAACCCACACATCACATGTCTTGTGTGACAGTGTCATTGTCATCGCATCAAAATATTTCTTTGTCCACAAATTACATGGCTTGTGTCATTGTTATTGCATCAAAGTATTTCTTGGACCGCAAATTACATGGCTTGTGTCATTATCATTGCATCAAAATAGTTCTTTATCCAAGTAAGAGCAGATATATAAGCTCAATTAAAAAAAGAAACATTGACAAGCTGTACAATCATATTGTACTGTTTCTTAATGCCCTAACTGTTTCATTGTGTGGCTCTATATATTAATGTATGGGGTTTTAGGAACAATTCATTAAAGAGGCTTTCAAAAGCTCTTTTGAAGGTGTATACACAATTGATCACTCATAAAGTTTGCGACACATGACAATTTCTTGGCATGGGTTCATTCATATTTTTTCTATCAAATGTTATCCATATTTTGAGACAAAGTTCATGAGATTGGGCATACCCTAGTATTAAATAATAACATATTAAAAAATCAGTTAAAGACTAGTGCATAAATCGTACAGAATATATGTTTTTGTCTTTTATTTTTTATTTTTTCTTCATTTTATTCCATAAAAAAATAGAAGAAAAATTGTATAGTTTTCTAGGAAATACCATAAAAATTTGGAGAATATACCAAAATTACCCATTTTTTACATGTACAAAATAAGGAGGGTAATCACATATCCTATCACAACATTACATGAACCCAAAAACTCATAAAACATTTTATTTTGATGAAAATGAAAGCAACAGTTTGTATGAGAGGTCTTAAGAGTTCTTAAGGTTTACTAAAAACATTTTGCACAAAAAGTAATCCCCTAAAATGTCTGAATTTGTGTGCAAACGTGTGCCAAAGTTAATTATGATTGGGACTGAGATCAAGGGTGGGGGTAGGAAGCCTACTAGGTGGTAGCAAAAGTTTCTAAAAATCATCTTACATTTCAATGGCCTTCTTTTTTTAAAGGAAATGAAAGCTTTGAGGTCTATATATATTGTAGATTCAATAACGGATCATTGTGTTTTCACTTTCATATATATTCAGTTCTATATACTCACACACGCTTCTATCCCCTTGCCTCTCCTGTAGGCTCACTCTGGTCGGACAGTAGTCTCCGCTGCCTTCCATGCGGTTTATGGGTATCTGTAGAGGCAGACAAACAAAGAACACACCCTTGAAACGGAAAGCTCATATTTCATCCAGATGGTTTAATTGTTACCATGCTGACAATAATCTCATAAATCATTATTGGCCATTTCTAAAAGTGTGAAACTCAATCCTTTTGAGCTGTTAATATTACAAGTGCTGGTATTTCCCATTTTCACTTCAGAGTTATTAATGATTCTCATTTCTTAAAGGAACCTATCACCAAAATATTGAAAGACATAAAATCATTCACTAAAACTTTACAATGAATATAAAAAAGGGAGAGACAGAGAGAGAGATATTGGAGGAGGGGGAGGGACTGAGAGAAAGAGAGAGGCAGAGAGAGAGAGAGAGGAGGGGGGAGGAGAGACGATCCTGCCTGCTGTGAACAGACTAGGTGAGTGAAATCCCATCAGGTTCAGCAATTATAGACATTAAATTTGAGTTCACTGCTGTGAGCACTTAATTCTTCAGAATACATTTACTAGTCTACTTGAAAGTCCTTTTTTTTCTTTACCCTTTTTAAAATTTGAAGTGTATTTATGGGATTCAAACTTGCAATATATCTTTTGAGATATAATATCAAAGCTGTTATTATGAGGCAAAAAGAATTTGGTGATCAGTCTCATTGAACGAAAATACTTATTGTCCAGTAAATAGGAGCAAAAGGCATGTCAGACTGAAAACAAATGATGAATCAATCAACAAATTAAAAAGAAAATTCTAGGAACCCAACTTTTTAAAAGTAAAATTAGTAAAAGGAGCACAAAATGAAAGCCCAATATGATAAAGTGAAGTTCAGTGAAAGTTCAATTCTTTTTTTTTTAATGGCCAATTTGTATATCTTTTTAAATCACTGATCACAAGCACAACTGTACATGATAGTATAAGAAGAGAATTTAAAACAATACAGCTCTCATAAAAACTACCTGGATAATAAAGTACCTACGTGTACATCACCTTTAATTTTCCTTAAAAGGTAACACTAAAAAGTGTTACCTTTTAAGGAAAATTACTGAAACACAATTCAAGTTGTGATTGATGGTATTCTTCAAGTTGAGACCTGAATAATTTCTTGGAATCCTTGACGGGTATATTCCATTAATTAGAATTGGCATGATTGGAATGTCAACATCTAACCTACTTTTTCACTTTCCAAGTCTTTAGCAACTAAACCAGGCCGCTATTAAAGCCCTCTACATTACAAACTTCATCATGATGGTTCCAGAAAGCTAACGCTATATTGGAATGAATGGGTGTATACATATTGCCTGTTGATTAATTTTATTCAAATTTAATTCATGTTCATTTATTTCTTCATGTTTGTACAGGGTCCCTTCAAAGCACCTTTGCTTTCTTAGGGATCCTCCCAATGTACTTTGTGTATGTATTCATTATGTAACTATTGTGTTTTTAATGAAATATAAGATTAAATTGAATTAAATTGAATTGAATAATTTATAGTCAAAGAGACTGACAAGAAAGCTTAAGGGCTGTCAATCCCATGGGTTGTTCAGAGTTATTGATTGGGAGAGTTTGGTCAACTCGGTTGGAGTTGGGCAGAATACTGCTCTGTTGGGGAAGCACAAACAAAAGAATATACAATAACTGAAACCGAATTGACCAAACTCTGTCGAAAGATGGCTCTGGGACAGCTAGCCTTGTGAGTTGTGTAGCCAAAGGAAAACCAGTGAACTGTAAAATGGAGGTGATTTGGTAAATGGCAAACCAAATTTATTTGTCTGTCCTATATTCACCCCATTTTATGCCAAATGCCACACAGTACAAGGAAATTGCATTAAAATACTTGCATATTATTGGATGCACTATAGGAAAAAAAAGTAAAATAATCATTAATATATCCTCCATCAAAAATGTATTGGTTTTTGATTAGTTGAGAGCTTGTAACATGGCCAAAAATATTTCAACTATTTTAAGGTTGCTCTGAAAAATTACTATATGAGAGTACCCGGTTCTATTTGGGAGTTATTTGGGAGTTGAAAAAAAAATTATTTAAAGAAGAAAAAAAAGAAAAAAAAAAAATAGACATTTCTTTAAATTCTAAATTTCCTTTTTGTTCCCCAAAAATGGTAATTTTTTAATCTTTTTTTTTTCTTTAAATTTATTTTTGATGCAACGTTTAAAACAAAAATACCATGCCTTCTTTTTGAGGTACTGGTTAAAACTATGGGCCTCGGTGACTCCAAAAGTACCATTTGCTTTGGGGCTGTGCCCCTCAGCAAATAGTACCATTGGAGTCTCCTCTTGCGCATAGTTTTAACCAGAATTAACCTCTCAAGACAGTGTATATTTGTATACTATTATCATTATGTAATGAAATACTATAAACTGACCTTGATGACAGGTTTCCATGTAAGATCCAGATGTTTGAATGTCGTTGCTACACCCAGTGGGTTATCATGCTTGGCGTTATCAATGGTTGGGGTTTGACCCTTGGGAGGCCGGGTATCCCAAATAGCAACGTACCTGAATTATCAACAGAGTAAAAGAACAATATTAGTACATAATCTGAGCCAATGGGAGTGTTTTACAAACACTAAGATCAACTTTAAGTTGGACTTGACTATGGCAGGCCGTTTGTGCAACTATTTCCTCTCACCATTAACTGGCGTTGGTCTATAAGGAACATACAAATCATGGTCTCAAATCTACAGAATTTTTGTTGTTGTTAATAATGCATTATTGAAGGAAAAAATATTATCTAAAGATCATAATGTTGAGAGCGACCAGTGGCATGAATGGCCTGCCATAGCTAAGTCCAACTTAAAGTCGATCTTAGTCTTTGTGAAACACCCCCCGGTGCATAAAATCTTCATCAACATTTTCTACCATTTTTTTTCTACACTGTCAGGCTGGACGGTTCATTTTCTCAAAGGTCCGGCCCTCTCCAAGTCTTCTGGCCTTCAGCATCCACCTGAATGAGGTCAGATGCTCTCATATCTTCTTCTTGTGTCTCTTTAGTTTTGTAAGGGAAATTCATTGCTTTCTGTATCCAAGGCTAAATTTCCTCTATTCTTTTAAAATCTCATATTATGTTTCTTCCATCTCAATCTACCCATCCTTATCTTGTGGGAGAGATATTAGTCTGGAGATCCCCATGACCCCAAACAGCATTGCGGATTTTGCGAGAATATAATGTATCAAATTCGGTACCTACCCATCGGAAGAACCAGTTAAAATCTGGTGACATTGTTGCTGCTTATTTTCACAAACGACACCCATCCGAGTAATCTGAAGGAAAAAATAGGAATTTAAAAAAGCGTTAGAACTGAAACAGAAATATATTTACATCATCCATCAATGTTTTTAGGTGTCAGTTTAATAATAGGGAATAATTCATTTTTGAACACCTGGTAGAATTTACAGTAGGTTGCATGCAATTACATAAAATATGAAAATATAATAATGCAATGCAAATGCAATAAAAAAAAATGTGTACCATTCATTCTTCTCTATCTTTCACAGCTTACTCTCACTGATCCTGAATAATGTTAGTATTCATCTATTAATGCTCCTATCTCCTTTTCTCTTGCTTGCCATTATTATCACATTCCCCACTTTTAACATGATGGTTTAGCTTTGCGCTATCTTCTTTATCTTTATCTTTGATTTTACTTCTTCTTAATCATTTATTTATCATACTTTTCATTTTATGAACTTAAAAATAATCCATCTCTTCCTTTGATTTATTTTATCAAATTGTTTACGGTGAACTGTAACCCCATTCACCTTCCTGTTCCCCTACTATTTCTCTTGCTACCGGATTCTCCGCCGCATTCTTCTTAATCCTCATTCCTTCATCTCCTATGCCATCGCTCCTTCTCTCTCTTATCTTCTGATGTGATCCCAATGGATGCTTACCTCTATATAGTCCAGATTCTGTCTGTATTTTATATATTCATTGTTCTTCAATCATCTATGTTCTCTTCTCTTACCCACAGCCCACATCGATACAGCAACATACCCCCACCCCACAAAAAAATACACCCGTTTGCAAGGATACATAGAATAAAAGGCAAGGACTGTCTTTGTTTTAGCGTTGAGGGTGTGTTATATTTTCTTAACCGATTGGGCGAGGGACACGGAAACAGTCCAGGCATTGGGCTTAATTACCTCCATATGGTCTGGTACCCACTGAACATCAGAGATAGCTGACTTGTGGCTGTGCTCTATGGCAGACACGGCGCAGTATCTCACCACAGGAGTCTTATCCGCATTCTCATCTTCAAATCCAGGCTAGTGAAAAGAGAATGAGAAGAAACTGGTGATGATTCGTAAATCAATTAAAACTTCATGCAAAACGGTAGAGCCCAAGGGGTAAGCTAACCTTGATTGCTGGGAGACATTGTACATACCGGATCTTCAAGCATATGAAATTACAACTCGCTTGTGTTATTCATACAAAATTTCCTTTAATCCATGTTACGTTATCCAAACAATGATTGGCATTCTATCACCAAAACACACATGGATCACCATGGCATAAGGTTGGTAACTGTATTCTATACAGTAATATATGCAAGCTAGTATATCATACAAAGAAAATAAATAAAAGCATGCATGGTTTACACACATGCAATATAACTTTAAAATATAATATAACTATAAAATATGATATTTGTTAGCCAGTATCGATCCTCTTGGCTAAAAAAGCATCACATGATACTCAACAATTTTCAATCAACTCAACAAATGTTCACGAGCGTGCAATATAACAACGTTTTTGGTCTAATTTTTAAAACAAATATTTCATAAATTTGTTGTTCAATATAACATATATTCATATCAAAATTGAGAATTTTTCATTGTACCATTTAACTGCAGCCAGCCAACATTCAATCTTAGCCTGCAGCCTCAGTGATATATAGCATCACTCAGGTATCATTAATTTGTTTTTGAATATATTTTGTTCTACTGAATGCCAGAGCATGCAATATTTCTATAATATAATGCCCAAAGTCTAGGATAACAATCTCTTGACTAGCATCCACACAACTACAATCCCTATGAAAGCTACACCCTCTACTGCACTACAATCCTGTCCTATGAAGGGGCTATTGAAGTATTCCCATCGGGACACTACTTTCAGATAATTCCCACACCCCCCCACACACAAAAACAACAACAACAACATCAAAAACAATAAACTATTACATTAAACAAAAATAATAATAATAATTTGCATCGATATGAGGATCAAAATGTTTATGGAGAGAATAAATCAAATAAATATGAAGTGTAGTGACATCATCATATTGGACACAATTTTCAATATCCAGCTGAAAAACGTGAACCATTTTCATTCTATAAAAAAAAAACATTGATCAGTATGTACATCATGCGTATATATTTTGGGAACATGGTTACAAAAAATAAACAAGGGAGACCATATAATAATTTCACATCCAACCGATGACAGACAAATGAAGTTAATATCAAAATGAAGTTAAAACACATTACACCATAATAACAAGTAAAATTCTTTGTTTTTCCTTCTTGTAGGTACTAATTTATTATCAATTTTTATTTATTTGAATATTGCTTTTCTATTAAATAGGTCATTAAAATATGTCTACTTTGCTATATTTTCACTTTCCAGTTCATCTATTTCATAGCCCTTATCAGGATTTAAATGGTTCAATTTCTAATGTAAAGCATGTTTTAAATTAATAACACTGTGAAAAATAAGTGTAAAATGAAAACCAGTCTGTGTGTATTTATAACTCATAACTCAATTAATGCCACTAATCAAAAGTAAAAATCAATCAGTTTTAGGTGGGGCTAGTTTAGTGAAGGAGAAAAGGCTCTCTTAAAATTATTGCACAAACTAACGATAGTCCACTCACAGGAAATACATATCCATAGAGATTTGTACTTGGTGTAAACAAAATTCCTTCCACAAACCATCATCGTGATCCCAATCATTGGCACAGTAAACACTAACAACCAAAACCAGAACCAAACAAGAAATTACATCAATCAGCCAAATTAGATGTGTACCTTTAATATCAATTCCTAAACATATTAGGAAACATGTGTTTCGTATTACTGAGATTACGTGTGCACCTAAATCCCAGTGATGAACTCCAATAGGAGCAAAAACATATAGAGACAAATACAAACAAATAAAAACAAAAATACTTTTTTTCAAACCAAAAATTAGATTTTAGTGTATACAGGTGTAGAAAGAAAACAAAAAACAACATTAATGTGATAAAAAGAAATGTGCAAAACACTGATATTGGATTATCAATTTCATGCAGTTCCAGAATATACTTGTATCATAGCTGTTTTAGTCGAGTATGCATACATGTACAATCAGGTGTAACTTTTGTGACTGACAAGATCAAAAGCAAGGACAAAGAATCTCATCCACCTCAAGAGTATCAGTAATAAAATTGTGGTCTGAGAAAGGTTTCTCAACAACAGAAACTGATAAAGGTGTTGGTTAATTTAGAAACAACCTTTTGCATCATTCACTTTCGTTGGTATTGTATCACAGTTTGCCTTCTGTAATTCAGAGTGGAGATCCTGTTTTTGAGTGTGCAATTACAAACATATTGTCTCCTGAAAGCAGGGAGGATGTTAATGTAAGTAGGACTTAACATATTAGCGCCCTTCTTCCTCTTAGCAAACAACTGAATGACCCTGTTTTTGTATGCTAAAAAATGTAAGATTCTCTTCTGGCATCCAGAAGGGTGTTTATTCATTTAACCCTTTCAGGTCCCTTTCAGAAATTGCTGCCCTTTGTAGTCATGCATCTGGTATATTTTGTTATTGCTCTGAATCAAAAGTTATTATCAAACCACATGTGGAGTGATTGTCGCGAAAGGGTTATTTAACACATAATACTAACGCCACTTAGAAGCTAACACAATGTGCACAGAGCTACGAGACATAAGAGAAACTGTGCTCTATATTACACACAAAAATCTAGTAATTACAAGTTGCTCATATATCAACAAAGGCAGAATAACTTATACCTGGTTTAATTTACTACACTGATTTATGGAGAGCCAAGTGATAAGCTTTTTATTCTGTACAAATTACTGCAACTCTGTAACAAAATATGATAATCAGATTTAATCTAGTCCTGAAAAGACAATGAGAAAATAATATCATAAAGAAATAATCTTCATTATCTCTCAGTTACAGAACCACGTTATGTTGACATTTGGCATTCCATAAATCAATTAGATCGGGGTTAAAACCTGGATTAAAGTTAATATGGCTTTCAAGAATATATGGGCTAATAAGTAGTATTAGTGGTGGGTTAGTGAACAAATTTGAACAATATATCAGATTTAGAATGATCGTATGGCATGCTGTTTGTTACCTTGTCTCTCCCTCTACCATACCGCTAAAGCATGCAATGAAGAGAAGTATATGGGTAAGAAGAAATAGAAGCATTTCACACAAAAACAAACACGCACTACTGAAGTTAACCTTGAGAAAGAATCTGACTGGATTATTCTCAGAAAAGAAAAACAAAAGATATGATTCATTTTAATGTCAATATGATACATGCATGTAAAAGAAAGAGAAGATCTAAATTAATTTTTATTGCATCAAAGGGGTTTTAAAACAGGCAACACCGCAAATCTTTTTAATATTAAATTATGAGGTACATGTCCATGAAGCTTCTTTGTTTCATGTCAAGACTAGTCACACACTGCTTGGAGATCAAATTTCTTGATCGATCATAATTTTTAGGCAGTGGGATGAAATTACTGGTTGTTTTAAACTCAACAAGTCATATGTATACCAGCTTTATATCTCAGGGTATAGTTATTTTGAGACATATTTCCACCAGTGCACTTTTGGGTAATGCAATCCAGTTCTATATTTTTAACTATTTTAACTATATTATTTCATAAAGATGGCTACTGTTTCAAGTTAAGCTCACACCACACATATGAAGAGATGTTAATTCATGACTAGACTTTGTCTTACCAGATTCATCATACTGTTCTTCTTGGACTGTTTGCCTCGTTGGTTACTACGGAGACGATCAACATGTTTGCTGATGTCCCACATGACCACCTGACCGTTGATGCAGCCAGCCGTGATGATGTTGGGATCAGAAGGGTTAAACTTGAAGCAGAATATGTCATCTGGAGCTTCTAGTAGCACCTGGTAAAACAAAAACAAAAAAGAGAAAAAGATGGATCCCAATAACATAATTCCCCAATCTGAATAAATGCAATTAATAAACTTGAAACATCGGAGGGTTTATCTGGGTAATTACATATTTCACACACTGCGGAATTTTGTCAACTGAGCATCTATTGTAATTATTGAAACTTCAACCTAATTTATGTAACTGAGCAAGCAGTTTTGGTTCTACAAACTAAAGATTTCTTGAGATTTACTTTGATGAGCATAAGTAAAAAAGTTTCATTACATATTTCTTATACATGTGTGTCCATCCTTTTTGTATGTGAAAGTAAAAAGTCATGAAAGGAAAATTTTATATCTGCTGCGGTTTCGGAGTAGTCGCGAAATTTCTACAGGGGGGGGGGGTCAAATTGACCCCCCCCCCCCAGTTAACATAGGGATAAGACGCGCCTTAAAGTTGTCAACAGTATCACAGATGAGTAATTGGGTGGGGTGGGGGGGGGGGTATGGCTCCCTATGGCGATGCAAATACCTGTGGATGGATGGGGTCGGTGAAACTCCAGAGGAGTATGAGGGAGGGGTTCATGATGATCTTGGAGGAGTGTTCTACCCGGTCATCAAAGGTCATCCTCTCGGCACAGGACACAGCGATGACCCCTTTGATGGTCGGATGCCACTCCACGGCGGTCAGCACCTTGTCCTTGCTAAATTGAAGGTCGGTGAAAGACTGGTACTCCTGTGATTGACAAATGAAGATGTGAAGAGAGGTGATGGTAATTACACTGAGAGAGAATCATCTCACATTAACACAGGGCTACTGGATCTTTTATTGTCCTCCTGTTAACTCTAACCAGGGCCCGTTGCATAAAACTTACCATTGATGGTAACTTTGCGATCAATGGCAACTACCATGGTAACAGGGCTCGACAGCCAATCAAAATCAAGGTTTCCATGGTAGTTACCATTGATGGCAAAGTTACCATCAATGGTAAGTTTTGAGCAATGGGCCCTGGTAAACTGTACAATTTTACAAGCCACAGGTTGCAAAAACGTTTTTTCTTCAACAAAAAAATCTGCAATGTATACAATTTGATGAAGTATACATGGAGAGTCAGTGAGAACTTCGCAGAGAGAGAAATCTATGCTACAACCACCAGCAGAGCAAGCTACGGGACCATACTGCTACAGCTGACCTGTGCATCATGATGATACCAGGAGGGAGTTTGCGGTAGTGCTTCTAGTACAGTATGGCTTTAAGAAGCAGTTTAAACACTAAAATGCTCTCTTGAATTAGAGGAGCACTAACCTTGAGGTAATTGTCTGACTTGCTTCCAAATGTACTGTCCTCACTGGCTAATTCCTGCCAATCATCCAAGAACACGTCCATGATTTCATTCTGCTGCAGGGCCAGGTCAAATCTACAAACAAACCATATGAGATCAGTTAAATGCTGGAAGATACAAAATATGTATTCAGCATAAAAAATGTATATACATATTTCAGCAATTTTTTTGTTTAAATCACTTGAAATCAGGCTGAGAAGCTGCAAAACAACAGATTTGTGTACAATTTCACAATCTGTGTTCATTTAGGTATTCAAACTAGCTAATCAAGTAAGTTTAACATCTCAAGACTATACTCTTGGAGAAGCAAGTAAAGTTAAAGAGTATTATGAAACAAGTTATAAGGTGGGAAATGTATGTATTCATCAATTTTTGGTTTAAATCACAGGAAAAAAGGCTGAAAGGCTCAAAACACCAGATTATTTTACAAGTTTTTGCTGCATGTAGGGATTAAAACTTTCCCATCAAGTATTATCTCAAGGCTTCCTCAAGCAGAAAACGTAAGACTGTTTGGAGAAGAAGTCATTTTGGCCTTTGAATATTACTATAAGTAAAAGACAAAACAATTTGCAAGAGTATACTAGCCCAGATGGAAATGCTCTTAAAATCATACTGCATCTGCATTAAATTTGTCTTTTTTTGTTATATTTATAGAAAAACAGTTTTAAAATACAAATCCTGAAATTAATCACCTTGGCTCCACTTTCTCGACAAATTCCTGAAGTTCTTTGGAAGCTAGTATCTTGGCACATTCCTCTTCACTGAACACACGGGGGGCATACTGGGTTACGTTGTGACACGGATGCTTCCTGCAGAGAGAGAAAGAGAGGGGGGATGGAAAAAAATATTTAAAGCATATACTGAAGAAAAAAATTGACTTGAATATCTTAAAATGCTAATTTGAAATCCAGAAGTATTCAACATTATACACAACTATTTCTGTGTAAAATTCAAAAGTATACACTAAAATCACGAGTACCGTCTAGAAGCATACATGTACATATTACGAAAAAATTAGTCTTGCAAAATTGAATAGAATGGGATTCCTTCTTATATATATATGCCATAATCAAAAAAATGTTCATTAAATAACAAATGCAAAATAAAACTGAGAAATATTTCATCACAATAGGGTACCTAAATGAAATGTCATAACAGTTTAAGACTTGATTTCTGAAAGAAGTTATTGAAGGATGCATCTTTTACAGGCAGGTAGATATCATCAACACTATATTGTTCTCCTGACCTCCAGGGTTACAAATAAAGGCGAAAACATGAAAATAACAGTAATTTTAAAGCCTGTGTGCACTAGTTTGGCCAGGGGATTAGACCTCCCTGCAAGGTCACTGACAGGTGGTTATCTCATCAAATCAGCTCTCAATTAGCATAAGAAAAAGGGGATCGTGGGGGACCAACAGGCACCGATTAGGCATTGTTTGCTATAGAGGGCACAAGTAGCTATATTAGTAGTGCAGTGGGGCTTTAAGGTAACATGGGTAAAATAACAATAAGGTTTAGTGAAAGGGCACTTACCAGTCTGTTTGTGTACCGTTGTCAATGTAAGTCGGTATGGCTTGCACAGATATGTCTAGTTCCACCTTCTTCAGGTTGTAGCTCTTGTCTTCGAATGATGTGCACTCAATGTACCCATCCTTGACATCGTCAGGTCCACGATCAGAGAACTTTGTGGGGGCGCCAAAGTCGCGCCTTACACGCTGGACGGTGAAGGAGAGCTGCGTGGGAAAGAGAATCGACTTTAAAGGCTGTCTGTACTAGTTTGGCTAGGAGGGATTAGACCACCCAGGGAGGTCATGGACAGGTGGCTATCTCATCAACTCGGCTCTCAATTAACATAAGAAAACGAGGATCATGGGGGACCAATGGTCACTGATTAGGCATTGTTTTCTATATAGAGGGAACAAGTAGCTACAAGTAGTACAGTGTGGCTTATGAACTGTAGATGAAAGTATTATATGCTCCATTTGTACGCATTTAGAAACATTGGTATTCTGCAATTAGCCAAATGGAACTGAACTAAAGACAAATTAGCTTACTTCTTGGCCACATCATAAGACTTAATTATCATACATTCCATTCAAAATATTCACTTCAAACTATTTTCATTTTTGTACAATTATTTTCAACAAACATATGCTCAAGCCATTCAAGCTAATACTATTCAATAGGGTAGTAAACAAATCCATAATCTCTTGATTCCTGTGGCAGGAAAATTAGGTATTGGGCAAGGGTTACCGGTTGATATAGTGTTTGGTTCATAATTATTTAAAAATATATATATTTTTTGTTAAACGGTGCTTATAAAGCGCTTACCACCAAAGTTTCTAAGTGTTATGGATGCAAATAAGAATTGGTAAGTGTAAGATACAAACTGGGGGGCACATGTCGCTGGATCATTTGACATGTAAACTTTCTCTCACCTTATCTCTAGTCTCCACCACAGCCTCCTCTTCGATCTCCTTCTCACTGCCGAGAGAAATCCACTCCTTAGCCTCGGGAGGAATGTAGCGATAGACTGTCGTATCTTCTTCTTCTATTACTCCTCCTTCTCCACCTTCTCCTTCCTCCCCTCCTTCTTCTCCTTCCTCTACTGCTGCAGGCTATCAAATACAAATCATAAGATCTTATCTTATCTTAACATTGATCATGAAAGTATAGTATATACTAGTCTCTATCAAAAAATGAACACATAAAAACAAAAACAAAAACAATCAAACAAATGATGATAACACAAACACACATAAAACAAGAGATGATTTGCATTGTCTTTCAAAAAACAAACAAAAAACATTTTGGAACATTAAAGATGTTGCTTCTTTTTTAATATGTCTAAAACATGAAAGTAGGATTTAGATTTATGGACAAATATCTTCAAAATGATCTAAACTTACATTCACTTTTATTAGCAAATGTTTTATTTCAGATTATCATGTGCACACCAATGGCATTGCAATCTGATGTCATCATAGGATGAGCTTAGATAACACATGTTTATTAATGATGCCTATATGGCAACACCTTCAGTGGATGAGGCATAATAATTTTTCCATCGATTTAATTTAATTGTACATTTGAAGAAGAAAAAAATAATACATTTATAATTTAACAGGGTTTTGAATCATTCTTCATATTATTGTATTTCATTAAAGGAAAAGACTTGATTATACCAATCTAATTGACATAAATATAGGTATTAAATTGTATTAAAACATAATATATTATTATATTTGCCATGAATCCATCATACTTACATTGAACTTTCTGTTAAGTTTTTCCTTTGCTTCCTCTGTCAGCGCAATGATGAAGTTCTCACCATATTTGAATTCTGCATCGAACACTACCATAATCTCTTCTCCATCATAATTCTGTTAAACAGATCATATCAGGTCATAATCGAAGAGATAATAAACATTAACTTTCTACATATTATATGTACATGGATCATAGGTAATATCTCACACATTGATAGGTACACATTGATAGGTACACGTTGTATAATTTTATCGAATTTTGAAACTCCTGATTCCATAAGTTTTGTTGTACTTATTGGTTACAAACTACTTTGTACATTTTTTAAAATAACTTTTACTAACTGCATGCGCCTACATAACCCACTTTCTAGTGTAGTAGAAAAGTGTCCATAGGCATTTTTAAATAACTTTTACTAACTGCATGCGCCTACATAACCCACTTTCTAGTGTAGTAGAAAAGTGTCCATAGGCAACCTTAAAGAGATGTTTATCTTAATTTCTCTATTGTAAAAAATTAAATGTTTCAAACCATATATTCTAGGGTGCGAGAATATGATTCTCATGTTTTTGAAGAAACACATTTTTTGTCATGATTGACAATTAAGCCAAAACACCTGTGCGCAACATGTTGCCATTTAGCAGTCAATTATAGCTGTTATATTATACAAATGATGCACAGGTTTGTGTGCACATGGTACCTTTGAATGGTTTTAGACTGCAAACTATGAAAAATAATTAAAAGACAGTACAAAAAGCAAGGGATATCATGTATCCATTCCTGAATAGCATACTGTATATCGTGTTGATATCGCGTGCAGCCAGTAAAAAAATCTACATGGTATTTGACATGGTAATCAGATCGCAGGGATTCTTTTACCAATTTTATAAACCTTTCTTTCACATGCAACTATTAAATTGAGAGTGTAATCCCAGCTTAATATAGATAGGGCTGTTCAGCTGACATGAATAGAACCACTTTACACCTTTCCTCATCCAAAATGGGTGTATTGGGAACAAATAGAATTCTTTCTTTTGTCCATGGAAAATACAAAGAAACCGGGCCTAATTAACTTGCTTAAGCAGTTAAAGAAGTCAATTATATAATGATGCAAACTTTCCTTTTGCACCAAACTGAATGGGTAATTTGGGGTATTCTAAAGAAGCTACAAACCCATAAAGTAGAAATGGTAGGTGCATTGTTAGCTTGAATGGAAGCGTTTTACACCTCACATAATCCCAAACAGGTGCTCTTTACACAGAATCTACTGAATGCCATCATGATCCACAAAGCAGAGTAGACCCCTTTGTTCATATACACAATGATCGAGCCCCTCAACATCCTTGTGTGTAATTGAAAACTGATTGATCACACTAACATTTTTGTCTAAGTTGATGAAGAGTAAAAAGCAGTAGCATTGCTTGTTGTTGGGCATACAGGTTATAAATGCAAATATTACTTAAAAATAAATGATCCACAATGGAAACACAAGGTTTACCTGTATGCAATATATGTGTAGTCACAATTTGTGAAGTGCAGTATACCATGTCATAATATTTATTTCTTTGCATGTTGGCCGGGCATGCAAAGGCCAATCTAAATAATTTCTTAACAAATTGAAATTTATTTTAAAAAAGAGAGAAAGACAAGAGGGTGAAAGAGAGAAAGAAAATAGGGTGAAAGAGAGAAATAGAGAAACAGAGAGAGAGAGAGAGTGAGAGAGAGAAGGAGAGAAAGAGAGAGCAAGGAAGGATACTTATCTAACATTTTCAAGTACTTTAAACATGTCATTTTGCTATTAATAAAGAGAGAGAGAAACAGTCAATATTGAACATGAAATATTTTACCAAAATGGCTTGTTTCAATGGAGAGAAATCGGAGACAGCTGCCCTGGTCTTCATGTCTTGAATAATATCCTCCTTACTGATTAGCTTGATGGGGTTCTCATCTGTAACATCTTCACCGCAAACACACTTGAACAGTTCTTGGGTCTTGCCAGCCATGAACAAGGGCACCACCTTGGGTGGCAGTTCTGTTCCTAGAGGTTAATTAGGAAAATAATGTGCATAATTATTGTATCACATTCGTAACTTGACAATAAAAAGAAACTCACAATTTAATTGCATGTTAAAGATAGATAGATAGAATGCATGATTATTGAAAGCAAGAATTGGAGATTTTTTTGTACACATTGAAATCAATAAAAATACATAATTTGGATACATAGATAATGACATATACCCTTAGATATTTCTTTGACTGCTTTTGAGAAGACGATAATCAGAAAGGACTGACTCTATGTGGTATTGAACAAAATTAATGTTCCATAAAAAGATGTCTAATCTGTATGAAAGAGTTAAGATTTTAAACAAACCATCTCCACCGCCTTCGGGCTCTGGTGTTTTCTGTGCCTCTTCTGCCTTAGGTTTAGCTGCCCCTGTTTAAAAAAGACAGAAGGAAAATCAGGAAAAATTTAATTTTTGAAAGATTTAAGATTAGATAATTACAATTTAATTGGATACTACTTAAAACCTGGGAATAAAGTGAACTAATATCATATTTAAATACATGGGGTGCATACAGTCTTTGATATAGTAAAAAATATAATAATATTGTAAAACTAATATTGTAAAAAGCAATAAGAAGAGGAAATGAAAAAACGCTTTTCCTCACAAATTCGCATCAAATATCGATGAACAGGATTTTTCTACTTGATACTGTCACCTCAAAATATTGTTATGAGTGAATGAAACGAGGATAATAAATTCAAATGATGCTGTGTAACAATTATTTTTCTTTTTAAGACAAAATCAAGCAATTGATAGTCACAGCAAAAACTTTGACAAGTTTGAGCAAGCTCAAAAAAAATGTATGAACAAACAACCTTTTCCACCCTTCTTGGCTGGCTTGGATGATGAAGTCTTCTCCCTTTTCGCTTTGGCTGGAGTGCCTGACTTCTCAGGCGTCTTTGCAGCTTTATCTTCTGCTTTAGTATCAACCTCCTTCTCATCTGCTTTGGCATTCTCTGCTTCCTTTTGGGTCACATCAGCCTCTAGGTCGGCCATGTTGGTCTCTTAATTATGTATCGATCTGGTAATCAAAGGCCTAGATCTGGGCAAAACAAAATGAAATGTATGACTTTTCACATTATTTGATTCAAATCCAACCTGGAAAAGCATGGAGATCTATTATAAGCCTAGACCTCTAGATCTAGTAGTAGGGTCTAGACTAAAGTAAAATATGAAATGTTTCCTTGCTTTTGCATTGTCTGAAGCTCCAACATAGGCGCAATCCTCAGTACATGATACAAACATTAATCCTGCTGCAGAGGGGCATAAAAGTAATTATACTTGAAGCCCAATCAAGGTAAATCAAATCAAGGTCAATTTTAACTTCTTGCAAGTTGGCAAGTGGCAATACAGCATGTAGGGTAGCGCGCCCAGTATTCGGTCAATTCCCAGTATTCGGTCAGACAGCCGTTTCAACAGCTGTAACAATTAAAAAAATAATTTATGAGCCACGAACTTGCACAAATCAGGCAGCTGAACAATTGTTCTTAACTTTCAAAATTAAATCAGATTTAGGGCCCCGGAAAGATCTCCAACTTAGCTCGAAATTGGTCAGTGTCGCACAACTTTCCGCACTTCCGCGTTCTCTTAGCACATGCGTTTACATGCATAGCCATATGCATGTTACATTTAGTATGTGTGTGAAGAGAATCACAGCGAATTTGCAAATGACGCACTTGCCGATGTGCAAGAGGTATTTATACGATACCCTTGCCATGCGGTATCGCTCGGCCAGTATTCGGTCAACGCATTGACATTCAGTGCTTTATCGCGCAATTGTGTGAAAATAGTGCGCAAATACGCTACGCTCCTTTGCAACGGAGATACCACGCACAAATTGCGTGACCGAATTCTAATCGGCGCGACCGAATTCTGGGCAGAAAAATGCTCCGTCTTCTTTCGGAAGTATTTTGCTTATCATTATTCTATATTTTAAGTGACTATAAAATCCTGTTAGAGGAATAAATTTCTTTTCTTTTGATGGGTAGATTGCCAAACAAAAGAGGTAAGAATACAAAATATTAGTGATTTCCCCTTAGGGTCTAAGTGACCGAATACTGGGCACTCTACTTAGTGTCTGTCAAACGCCCAGAGGCCAAAGGAAACATGTGCAGAATAATATTGCACTTTTTTCAATAATAATATCAAATGGACCCTGTCACCCTGGGCACCCCAAAACACGAACAGTAAACATCAGTTTACATCAGTACTAGATCTAGAACTAGGATCTTTTCTTCTTCTAAGTTCGAGAGCTGAGCGGAGAGTCGAGTGAGACTGTCCGTTGCATTGGTGGGACGACTTCTTTCACTTCAGTCCCACATGAGGCATATTGTGTCTTCCTGAAACAAGAATTATTTTTTTGCCCACTAGCTAGGCTCAATAAAATAAACCAAATATTTGCTAATTCAAACTTCACAACCGATATAACCTTTCTGTATTTTCGTTATATGAGTGTACATAAACAAGTGGTACTTGAATATTTTATAAATTAAGGTTACTTTCAGACTCACCAAAAATTATTTGCACGGACTATAATCCGCTGTTGTCAAGCAACGCTCCTTGAACCTAGCATTCAAACAAAACGTATCATAGTGTCTTCAAGTAGACAAACGTAAAAAGGAAAAAAACGAGTATACATTTTTTCTTATAGTTATTTGGTCAAAAACAAAGGCACATGCAGAGGGGAGAAACATTAACTTGAGCTAAGGTCTAATTCACATACCGGTAGTTAATTTGGCAATATCTCATTAGTTTTGAACATTTTATTTACATATAGGTAGGCCTATAATTATAGACAAGCAATAGCTAGAAAATACCTCCAAAGCCCTTCAACTGAGGTGAATAGTTCAATATTCAAATGAAATGTGATTTTCAAGATGACCCTTTTCATTCTTAATATTTTTCAAGCTTGCCTTAACGAATTCTCAAAGAAACAATTTTGGCTGGCACATACTAGAATATAAACATTCGCTGTGTGCCTGCATGGAAATATGAATATACATGTAGGCCTATGGGGAGAGATTCTTCAAAGTAGGACTTATGCAAAGCATCTAAAAATCTATGTGATTCCAAAAAAGCACTATAGCACCATATATCCTCGGCGGATTCGACAGGCCTCTTATAGGCATAATGATCTATATCATTTGAAAATAATAATAACAATAATAATAGGAATGTACATGAATATATAGCGCTAAATACGAAATACCATCTCTATAAGCGGGCTATAAGCGCTTTACAGATATTTCCCTCGTCATCAGATTCATTCACGCACAATGTGCACCATCTCTACTCCCTATGTAGTATTCCTACTATATTATGGTCACCTTGAGAATATGACAATCACTAACAGAAAGGCTTCCGTCATCTTGGGTATGGAGTGGGTAATGCAGATTAATGCCAGTTAAGAGGATTAGTGCTGTGTCTGGGATCGAACCCACTACATTTGCATTTTATGTCAACTACACTCTGACGATGTCAATACACTAGGACATACAACCTGAACACCGTGTCCGTATTTTAAAGTGACTTAATTATCTTCAGTACTTTTTTTATCCTTTATAATTTCAAAACTTATAGAAAGATAATATAAATCATAACAAATATACAAACCAAATATAGTATGCAGCATTTGTTATCTCATTGGGTGACATATAGCTGTTCATCATACATTCAATTTTTGATAATCATCAGGGTTATCAGAAAGTTGTGAAGCTGAAGTTGTGAATTAAAGAGGGTATAATTTTTTACCAGGGACGTCACTTCTGATAATAGCGTATACAGCATTTACAATCGATCTATAGTCTATCACAGTGCTGGGAGTGGGAGTTTGAAAAGAAGGTATGCTGAGAACAAAGCAACGTCGGACCAATATAAGTCAACTTCCGGCTTAAGATAGGCCTATATGACATCATCCTGCAATCTCTATTAGACCATTTTCTTAAGCTGAACTGTATATAATAGATGAAAAAGACGAAAATGTTCATTCAGTCGTTAGCTTTCAAAGACTTGACATCACTAGCTCTTGACTGATAAATCCAGCAATCTTTTAGTTCATAACTGACGACTCTTTCTTGGATTTCACTTTATATACTCTTGTGCTATTTTACAAGTCGCTTCTTGCAGTGTTAAAAGTTATCTCTTTCCACCTTTGCTCTATTAAAGTGCCAACCTATACTAATCGTCATTTTCCCTATTACAGGAGTGTCTTGTTTCTATTTTCGTTTCGCAAAATTTGCAGGTGACGACCTATGGCTACCAGATGGGCACCGAGATCGAGAGGCGGGAAACGCAACAGTTCGTCAGCCTTTGGAGAGTGGGATTATGCAGGGCGTGGCACGGGAAAACGGTGTAAGGCTGAGTTTTGGAGCAAGGGAGTCAGCGGGAAGCAGAACAAGACTTTTGTCGATGGTTCCACTCGAGATCGTTCGGTAATATAATATTCGCCATTTTTACAGGGAAGGGTTTGAAGAAGAAAAAAAAACGAAAACATCATCGTTTATCTTGTAATGCTTGACTTAATTTTGCACACGTACGGTTATGTACCTCAGATATATATATTTTAGTAAAAATATGGCGATTGTAAATTATGAAATACGTCAACTTGTCACTAGTCAGTTACCAGAGTGTAAACTTCAAATTTATTATTCATTAACAAATTCAGTTTTTTTTTTTACATGTTCAAAAGATTTCAATAAGTTGAATAACCATACCCATGGTTGACATACGTTGACTTTCTTTATAATTATATTATTTATTTTGATATGGATGTAGAGTTTACTTGATTGATCATTTGTAATATGATATATACCTGAATGATTTGTAATGTTCTTTGTATTAATGATCTACATGTATTTATATTTATAATTTATCAATTTCTTTGTACTCAATTTAATAATGTTCATAATCATGTTGAAAATGTATGTATTATCAATCCAACCCTCTGGTTGCTCTGAATAAATAAACGAATAAAAAATAACTTAAACCAGAATTTCTCGAAATAAATCAGGCTCAATTTAATGATTTAAATGTCTTATTGATGATAACCCTTTTTTCTTCTTCTTCGAAATCCAGGTCGCCTACATCTTCGCAGACAGTCAGCTGAGACCTGTGGTGCAAGGCGATGTAGAGCTGCCGCAAGGCCCGATCCAAATGATCATCAACAGCACACCAGGGGGCACTTGCCATCATGTTGAGAAGGAGCTCCTGGACTTCAGTTGGAGGCGGAAACCTGACATCGTGGTGGTTGCCGCAGGGACCAACAATATCGGCTTTGGCTTGGAATCCCTTGACGTTGCTTGCAAGCAGATCCGAAGTCTTCTAAGATCCGCTCTTTGTATGACACCACAGGTATATAATTCACCGCTATGCTATTGATAACATTAACATTTTAATATTATTTTTGTTATAATTGACGGTATATTTCACCTTGCTGCATGCACTATTCATAAATAGCAGTTTTTTTAACACAATGTCAGAAGGGCGGGGGGGGGGGCGAAATGTTTGACATTATGAATCAACATTATATCGATCCGATGATTTTTTTTTATTTTATTTTTTATTTTTTTTTTATCTCTTAGGCAAATTATGTGTCTAAAGATATTTTTATTGGTCACCTTGCCGACAATGTCATCCATAATGTATATTGGCTTATGAAATAATCAATTGAGTTATCCATACTATATTTCATTAAATTTGAAAGCATATAGTGTTTATATGATTTATTCTATTAGACATGAACCGACAGTCCCTAAAGCCGATTCTGTTTCGTTTTTCAAATCACTTTCTCGTCACCATCTAGGTTCTTGCCACCAGCATCGCTCCCCGTCTCGACAAGAAGGGACGCCTCGTCCAAGAGTACAACTACTGCTTCTCCATGATCTGTCAGGAGGAAGGGGTCTCCTGGTTAGACATCTCCGACTCCTTCCCAACGGATGACACGAAGCTATGGGCTCGTGACGGACTCCACATCAGCGAGTGCACCGGTCTACCTCGGCTCCTCAGGGTATTGCATCGGAGGATGGTGTCTATCATGTGGCCTGATGATTTGTCGTCAACTTCAGTTCAGGGGCAGAAGAAGTAGAGCAATTCGTGCTCGAGATGTTCGCCGCTATATCTGTCGACTGAGACGTGTTCACTGGAAAGAGAAGTATCTCGTTTATTTATTCATTTAATTAATTTTTTCTTTACATCAATCATTGTCCATTGAAATTATAACGATATTCTCATGTTATTTTTGTCTAATCCATGTTCAGGAAAATGCATGCATGTCACCCAAAAATGTGTCTGAATCATTCAATTATAGCTGATGCATATACTTATTTAGATAATGAATAATTCATCGCCCTTTTACTATCAAAATAGTTTTTCATAGCAGTGAAATAAATGTATTTTTTCTTTCACATTGCAGAAAAGAACCAGACAGTGTCAATTGATATCAGGGCCTCATTGGAGGAATATTGAGAACCTTATATTATTTATAAGATGTCTTCTTTTCTGTTATCTTCTTTTCGCTCTGCCCTAATTCTTTACTCTTGTTCTTTACGTCTCGTTGTTTAGTGTTGTCCGTCTTCAACTCTTGGTCTCCTGTTTGTTTTATTTTGTTGGCGGTATGGCGGGGTTTTGAATGGCATGACTCAAATCATTAGACGTGATTTTTGTCGCCTCTCTTCTTCCTCCGCAAGTCAAGTCCCTGGCTCCTCGTGCCACCGCTGGTTTCGACAGAAGGGACCTCTGGCTCGGGGTATTTAAAAATACTCTAGATTATAGGTTAAAAAGGCGATTTTGATTATCCAAAGGGGGGGGGGGCACCAACTAGAAGGGCACTTTCTGGGGAAAAGAGCACCTTCAAAGGAAAATATCAAAGCGAGAATATACAATTTTTTAGACATTGGTATATACCCCTATATTGTAATTACTTTATTAGGGATGATTTTAATATTTGTCTCTCTTCACATAATATAAAGGAAAACATTTAAGATTTGTAAAGTCGCAGAGAGAAAAATTATATCATTCAAACAAAAAACCCAATCCTGGCACTCACCAGGGATGAAAAACGCACTTATGAGAATGGGAAATGGGCATTTGTTGACGGAAAAGAGGCACGCATCAGATTTTGAAAGAGGGAAAAAGGAATTATGATCCTTATTAGAAAAAAGGGGGCGCGTATCATTGTTAAAAGGGTTATTTTCAGAGGTGAAAAGGGGCACTGACCATATATGAAAGGAGGCACTAATGCAAATGAAAAAAGGGGCACTATAAAGGAAAAAATGCATTTGTTAAAAGAAAAGAGACACCGATCAGATTTTAATTGGGTCATTTAACGGAGGTGAAAGGGGGCTTTTATGAGAAGGGGATGTGGCTCGCATCATTAAAAAGAAAAGGGGGCACATGTTTATATAAATGGGACACTTAATTAGCAGATGTGAAAAGGGGTAATTATGAGAAGGGGACGGGACACTCATAAGAAGGAAAAGGGGCATTTATTAGAGATGGAAAAAGCACTTATCAGGAGGGTTAGGGGCACTTGTCAAAGTAAAAAGACTATCTATCAGAATTGAATAGCGTCATTTACAAGAGATGAAAAGGGGCTCTGACCATACATGAAAATAGGCACTAAAGAGAATGAAAAAGGGGCACTATAAAGGGAAATATGCCTTTGTTAAAAGAAAAGGCACAACGTCCAGATTTTAATTGTGGAATTTATCGGAGGTAAAAGGGAGCTTTTATGAGGAGGAGGGTGTGGCTCTTACTAAAAAGAAAAAGAGGCACATGTTAAAATAAACGGGGCACTTAACAGAGGTGAAAAGGGTAATTATGAGAAGGGGAATGAAAAGGGGGACGTGTCAAAATAAAAGGGGCACTTAACAGAGGTGAAAAAGGTAATTATGAGAAGGGGAAGGGGCACTCATAAGGAGGAAAAGGGGGACGAGTCAAAATAAAAGGGGCATTTATTAGTGATGGAGAAAAATAGCACTTATCAGGAGGGGAAGGGGCACTTGTCAAAGTAAAAAGACAATCTACCAGAATTGAATAGCATCATTTACAAGAGATGAAAAGGGGCTCTTATGAGAATGAAAAGGGGCACTGACCACATATGAAAAAAGGCACTAATGAGAATGAAAAATGGGCACTATAAATGGAAATGTGCCTTTGTTAAAAGAAAAGGCAAACCAATCAGATTTTAATTGTGAAATTTATCAGAGGTGAAAAGGGGCTTCGGCTCTTATTAAAAAGAAAAAGAGGCACATGTTAAAATAAACAGGCCACTTAACAGATGTGAAAAAAGGGTAATTATGAGAAGGGGAAGGGGCACTTATAAGGAGGAAAAGGGGGAATTAAAAAAAGGGTCTTTATTAGAGATGAAAAGAGCAACTATCAGGAGGGGAAGGGGCACTTGTTAAAGTAAAAGAATATATCTCAGAATTGAAAAGGGTCATTTAAAAGAGATAAAAAGGAACTACTTTCATAGGTGAAAAGGGGCATTTATGAGAAGGGGAAGGGGCTCTTTTTTAAATGGGGCACTTTCATAAGGAAAAGGGGCACTTATTAGGAAGGAAAGGGGGCATCTGTGATAATATAAGGTGCGCTTATCCGAGTTAAAAGGGGTAGTTATTAAAAGGGGAAGGGGCACCTGTCAGATTTGAATAGGGCAACTATTAGAGGTGAAAAGGGTGCTTAACAAACGTGAAAAGGGTCACTAATAGTGATTTAAAAAAGGGCATTTACAAAGTGCTGGGTTAAATTGAATACTTACGGGTGCGTTGCCCTAGGAACTGATGGAATAAAAACAAAAGTTTATCGACATGCATAAGTTAAAAGCTTACAGATTTGAAATTAGATGGCTTGAGGGAATGTTTGATATTCATAAGATCATTAACAAAAAATACATGCATGTAGTCTTAGTAATTAAAAAAGTGTTAATTTTTGTCCTTTTTTAAAACCTTCATGTTTATCATGCTAGGTCGTTTCCGAATATGGAAGCGAAGCAAACGCGTAGGTTCCGAAACTAAAAGACATATAACAGCGCCATCTGTAATTCTTATACACCATGTTAGTATCGAAGGATAATTCTATACGTAAGGAATTTTGTATTAACGACTAGGATGGAGATTTATGTTTTCTCATTTTATTGAAGACACTACTTTTTCAGAACTTCTTTTTGGCAACCATAGCACTATACCAACAAACAATGTTTTAATGCCATGGTGGAATTTGTAGTCTTTTTATTATACTGCACAGACAACTCGAAATGTCTGAATACAATGTTACAAAATTTAATACACAGCACTTACGGGAGACGAACTGCATGCATGGGAGGAGAATGACTCAATAAAATGGAAGAATCGCGGAGAGAGAGAGAGAGAGAGAGAACGAAATAGAGAGAGAGAGAGTGAGAGAACGAAAGAGAGAGAGAGAGAGAGAAGGAAAGATCATACAAATATATATATATAGAGAGAGAGAGAGAGAGAGAGAGAGAGAGAGGAGGAGAAAGGAGAGTGAGAGGGTTTGTTTATTTGTGTTGTGGTTAAAGCCATTATGGTGGATCATATTGATCGGTATACCTCGAGGCTATTGTAGCCATCAAATTAGTCGATAACCAGTCTCTGTATTGGACTCATTTTGCTATAATGAATTGAAGAAAAAAAAAGGGAGAGGGGGGGGGGGGGGTTGAAGGAAATATTGAAGTGTCCCCTACCTATAGAATAAAAATTAAAATGTATGGGGTCTAGCTTTTATTCTGAAGATCGACAATATGGCAATCATTTATGATTCGCTGTTAATTGTAATAGGCCTGTTAGTTATTCATTATGTTGTAATGATTTTCTAAGGTGAATTGGAATAGGGTCAAAAATAAAAATTAGTGATTCAAATTAAAATAAACCAAAGTCCATACAAAGAAATAATAGATTTTAAAAAATATATTTATTTTGGGCGCGTGCCGACCGTGGTGTATTCCCACAAAGCCTCCCACCCCGACCGTCAGTCAGCTATTACTACATAATGTCAGGGACTGTCCTACGGTGCCGGGGATGGAGAGGAGGGGGGGGGGGGGGGGGGGGGGGTACGGCAGGCGCGGATTCAGGATTTCTCAGGGGGAGGCCCGAATTTGAAATTTAGTGGGGGGGGGGGGGTAGTGAGCACTAATTTGTTTTGGCCCTATTTGAAAAATCGCACCCCCCCCCCCCCCTTGAGCGTCAGGGGGGGGGGGGGATCTAAAAAAAAAAGAGGTAAAATTAAAGTGTTTTTACACGTTTTTTTTCTAGGGGGCCCAGGCTCCCCTGGGTTCGCCACTGGGGTACGGATCACTGTGGCGTTAGCCCCCATCCCGGCTCATCTAGGATATAATTATGACTTTGATTTAATTACAATTATTAATTAAAAAATCAGAAGTGAACGCAAATCTTGGCTTTATCCGCCTATAGGTAGTCAAGTCATTTTGAAATATCTTTGAAAACAATGTATAATTGTAATTGTTTACAGTCGCTAACCTGCTATCAATGTGGTGACACGACATTTGCTCCTGCGACAATTGCTCAGGGCTTTATTTCGCCTAAGATGTAGGGTTAGGGTTAGGGTTTCAATAGGGTTTTATGTTAGGTTTAGGGTAGGGTATAGTGTTGAATCCAGGGTTGAAGTTAGCCATTCGATTAGTGTATGAAATTTACAGCGGAGCAATTGTCGCCGGAGCAAATGTCATGGAATCATTAATGTTCCATTTTTGTCGATAAATAGGCCTACTGCAAAACTTTTGAAAAATTACCAAATGAATCATGGCATTTCAGATTCCAAGCATATGATCACCTTCAGACATTTTCTTTACAATGATTGAAAGGTCTTTTGTGATTGAAAACTTGAAAGTGGGACAAATTGACCCTCTTTATGATCCCGAAGTTAAATCGGTACGATAATTTGGTTTCAATTTGGATCCACTTGCCCACCACAGGTACTCGTCACCAAAGTCACTCTTTTTGAAAACGTAGCACTTGATTTTGTTGAAATTGCTATCAAGCAAGTTAAGTACGTTGAGCAGGTCAACCAAAATAGCGATGCAAAAAGGCGGAAACTGAAATAAAATATTCTTAAAATAGTCAAATTTAATGAATTTGTCTACATAATGATAGTTATTATTTATTTCATTACCTTTATCAGGACAGTTTTGGTCGTCAATATCTGTGAGATATTAACAAAATCAGTAATTAAGAGAAAATTTAAATTGGCAACGTCAAATTATGCCTCGACATCGATGATTAGAAATACGTATAAAGTCTGGGTGCTAGCTTTATACGTACATCAGCTGGGCCTGCAAATGGGGACTTGCTTGGAAACTAAGGAGTGATTCTATAGCTAATATTATCCCAAAAATCACATTAAACAGGATGGATCAAATTACTTGGTGAGACTGAATACTCTTAAAGCTTATCTCCCCTTTGTATGGATGCACTAACGGTTGACATCACATTAGTTCACCGTATTATATCATTATTTACATCGCTTTGTTCCTTCGTCTTGTCTCCTTGGTGACTATGAATGGTTTCGGCTTGTGTAGGCAGCAACGTGTAAAAGCAATCTGGGGGCCATGTCAACCTGTCTCGCCAACTGAACAGTGCGAGCAAGTGCCACTAGCTGCAGCAGCAGTAATCTCCCGTATTATATTATCAGTGTGTGAAGACCTACGACTTCGTAGCCGCAGCGCTGTGTAGAGGACATTGGGCCTTTTTGGAATGTCTGACAGGATTACTATCGTACTCTATCTCCTTTAAGTTGAACTTGACCTTCCATCAAATAAAGCGAATCTTTGTGTTAATTTGTTTGATGTGATGCTTGATGGTCATTTTTCTATTGCACTCCAAGTCCAAAATGATCTTGCTGTGACTGTGATAAGGATGCTATCAATCTGTTCAGAATCAGAGTGACAGTGAGTACTGTTTGATGTTGACATGTTAGTTACTGTTTGTTTTTTTGTTTTGTAATTTGTAGATAGATCTAGACCCTATGTTAATTTTTAGCCGGGGACCAAGTTCAAGTGGAACAATGTGGAATTATATTGGATTATAGATGAGTAGAGACAGACTAGAGTCTAGATCTAGAACTAGATCTATGTCCTTGTTTCTTGAATTATTTTTCGACACTCTGAATACATTAGAATTTAATTTGTAATTGTACTTTGTAGTGCCAAAAATCACGGGACCTTGATTCAGTCTTCTCAAATTGTGTTAAAATTTGATTTGGGGTTTGCAGCAATTGCAACACATTTTTGGGGTCAATTTTGCACAAATTTGAGGAGATCTTTTACTTTTTATATTTACTGATTGATAAAATCATGCCCTGCCCCTAGTCTAGACTGACATGTAGGGATCATGTCTAGACTAACGTATGTCTGCAAATTTGTACATTGTACAATGTAATCTGCTAACTGCGACAAACATACACTTTAACCTCTAATAGTAATACTATCTCAGAACATGTTGATGCAAAATTAATAATATAAAGTGAGAAATATGGAATCCATGTGCAATGATAGAACAACCTTTTTACTTACCTTTATAGCATTTTTTGGCAAAAAAGATGATTTTTGTGGCACATTTCCTTAGATTAAGAATAGAGGTCTATACATTTTTTTTCTTCAAGTCACGTATCTGGATCAAGGGTTGCAATAAATTAATTGTAATTTTATTAAATGAATAAAAAAAGAAAGTAGAAAGAAAATACAAAAGCATTGGGAATTCAATACATGAAAGTAGAAAAAGTTTTATGAATCATTCTAGGAAGAAGTTTTTAATGCATTTTTTTTGGTCAATTTGAGAAAATACAGTAGATGTTGTATGATTATAATTAATTGTAGGGTCTAGTTCATTTCTTTTCATCCACTAATCCTTTACTTTCCATACGATAATGATACATTTCATCGACTTCAACAAAAGTTTGCAAACAAAGAAGAAAAAAATCTTTTTAGGAAATATTGAGTAAGTAACGAGCACAATCGCGAAGTAGTAATTTGTGTCACTCAGTCACAGTAATACTATTTCTGCTTAATTTTTCAGAGTATGGAGTCTGCAACAGCAGAACGTCCCTAGTCTGCCCATTATAAAAAAAAAACCAACGACAAGCAATCATGTCGGAATCCGTTCACAGCAGTCCCAGGAAATCAGATGGCGGCTCAAGCATCCGTACGCACAGGACTAGCGGGGAACAGTCCATGTCCAATTCTGAACCGGCCCTTACTAACAACACACCCGTTCGGAGATTAACTGCCTATGAGAAGTACATGGAAGAAATGAACAATGACCCCAGGGCTCTGAAAGAGGTCACATTGGGAAAGAGGATAGCATTTTATAAGATCAGGAACGAGCTTGGAAGTGGTAACTTTTCCCAGGTCAAGATGGGACTTCACGCTCTCACGAAAGGTAAGTGCTAAAGAAATTTAGGAAAACAAAGTCCTCCAGTCACCCATACCTTCCCTCCATCGTTATACCCAAAGACGCGGGCCGATGCTCAATTCAATACTAATGATGATAAAAATATGAGTATTTTACTAACTTTTCGGCTTAGATAAAATACAAAGCCAACTGTGGTATTTACATGTAGTTGATGCTTTTGGATTAGTATTTTACCTGACAGCTCCTGAGCAGACTTAATTGTCAGCCAATCTTTTTGGAGGTCTTGATTGGTAGGCATATGGTTGTCATGCGCAGTTTAATGTGACATGTTTATTGCGCATTAATTTTGATTGACCATGTGACGTCAATACGTACATGTACATAATATTTTGCCTTAAAGTCTACTTAAGTAAAATGATAAGATATGATTTGAATACAAGTTAAGCGCACATGTACTTAAATAGCCAAGTATAATTCTAAGTAAGATACTTAAACTTAATCAGGGTACTGAATTGAATACGGCCCCTGTATTTGTGAAAGTGGCCTATTGTAAGTTTCAGTTCAAGTTCCGTTCAATATGTATTCATTCTTCAGCATAAAAATAATTGTAATATACATTAAAAAAACGGCAAATATACATAATATACAAAAACCATAAACTAAACAAATGTTTATAAAAAACTTGTACAGAGTAGTTCCCAGTAAATGGAAAAATACATGGTATAAATTAAAAATTCATTTATATTCTTTCATATTATATACATACAATTTATATGCAGTCGGTGAAGTCTTTCCTTGTGGTTAACAAAATGAATGAGATAAAACTATAATGTCCAGTTTATGCATTGCTAACAGATATTTCAAGGGAGAACTCTGCTTCAATACATTTACAATACTAGTATACTGTAAGTCTATGCTTTACATTAACTTTACTAAGAAGTCTGGTAATCCAAATTGTAACTAACCTGCTGTCTTAAATACATGTACAGTATGTTCAGCTATTCTACTGTACCTTGGGAAGAACAACGCACAAAGAATAATCTTTATTACCCAGGGAAGCATCATCAGCTTTCATGATTTTAATGATGATAATATTCTGGGTTTTCTTGTATACACTGTACATGTACAGTACATGTATGTAGTGCTTACTACATCAACATTGTCTCTTAGAAGTGCAACATGCTTTACAGATATAGTGTTCTTCTTGTGGGCCCTGCATTTATTGAAACCCATTGGTACCCAATACACCTGGGTGAAGAGGGACAAATGTGGGTAAAACAACTTGTCCAAGGGTGTAAAAACCATAAGCATTGGATTCCCGGGACCTCCTTGGTGAGAGTCAAGAGCCTTCACCCATACACCACAGTGACCCTGGGATGTGTCCTTTATTGATTGTCTTGGGAATCCAATCCATAATGAATGCGCTCCCCTCTTTAAATGTATGAATAAAGAGTGGCCTGCTTGGGATACTGACTAAACACTGTGTTGTATACAAACATTTCAAGGCTCCGACTCACAGGCCCAGGTTTACAGTCTTTATAAACCAGCTCGCTGATTTTACATTCTTATTCATATTGTCCAGAAACCTTGCGAGTCTTCTCATTCTGTAATATATCCCAAGTTGGCCAACCAATATCCAAATGTGCATCTTCATTTTTTATCTTCATATTGAAATCCAGCTACCACATACATCTGTGAATCTTGATGTACACCCCCTCTTTCTTTTTTCCCCTTTTTCCCCTTTTTTCTCTTTTTCTCTCTCCCCTTTTTCCCCCTTTTTTTTCTCTCTCTCTCTTGTTCCCCTTTTACCAATATTTTTTTCATCCATATTTGTATTATTACATGTATCCATTGATGGTAGTCATGCTATCAAGTTTTGCTTACTTTGTCAACCCTCCTGTTTAATGTTTTTGATTAGTTACAGCCAGCCTTACTTTATTCTATATAATATACTCTTTTGTCATGAAAACAATTTGCAATGATTTGTTTGTTTCATGTACATGTACATGTACATGTACTGTATATACTGGTATTTGTAAAACTGCAAAAGAAAAAGAAAATCAAACAGAAATAAATAAATTAAATCAAATCATATCTATTGATTGGCACCATCTACATGTAAGCTTGCCCAATGATGAAAGCATTGACAAGGATTGGACCTAGGGTCTCTTGTATGAGCATCAAGAGCTTTCACCAATAAACCACAACAGGGATGGATCCTGGATTTTGTAAAAGATTCAAGGATTTTATAATTGCTAATTTGCAAAAGCAAAAGCAAAAAAGTCATCAGAATTTTTTGGTCGATTCGTAAATAGATTTCTAACAAGCAAAAGAAGAAGAAAAAAACACAGACATCATCTCAAAGGGGAAAATGGAATGGGGGAAAATTTCAGACTTGTGTACTGAAGTTATGTCACTTGGATTTCAAGAGGTGGTTTTTTTTTTGGGGGGGGGGGATCACAGGCTGACTGTACCCCCACCATCCATCATCCACTTTATTAAGTGAACCATGATGCCTGTCGTGTGTGTCCCTGTAATGTGCCATAAATCATATGAAAATGTTCCGTTGATCCATTATGAACTACTCTATATTGATTGGCACTGTCTAAACTCACCCAAAGCCAATCGATGAATCTGTGCCAAAGTGTCATGGTGATCAATAAACAAACATGATGTAGACAAACTGATGTACATGTACATTTGATCATGTGCTTGCATGCAAAACATGGGGGGTGCAGAGTCCATTACAATTGATTAAGTTTCTTGTAATTGTATGCAAGATGGAAACAAATACATGCATTTAATCTTCGCTCAGTTTATGAAGCTTACCAGTAATTAATATTTAATGTGTAATCCATTATTTTTCATACGTGTACACATGTGTATGGATGATATCTTTGAGGGTATTTCATGTGCACACATTGTACAATGTTCATAGTAGTTGAGGGAATTATCAATTGCAAATATAATTGTAGCATTGATGAAAACTAAACTTGTGGGCTGATGCTCCAAACTCCGCATTTGTTTTTGTTTTTGTTTTGTTAGTAAAATTGTAGCATTAAAAATGTAGTGCTTGGGCACAAGTCCACAGAGCCTTTGACAAGCAAAGAAATATAAAGAGTTATGGTACTCTCATTTTTAATCTAGAAATGACTGCTGTAGGCTCCTTAGAACACTGTCCATGTTTAATAGTTAAAATTTCTAAATTCCTTTTTGGCCTATACTGTATACACTGTACATGTGTTTAGTCTTCCTATATGAAGAAACTCAATGGGATGTGCCCAAGTATACTGAGCTGTGTGCAGTAGCTTTCAAGTCAAGGTGTTTTCTGGGCGATGAGGATGGACAGGTCCTCATGTTTCGTCCCCGTAGTTGCTTAGGTATTCGGCTCGCTCTCCCTGCCAGTTTAAAAGGTTTTAGATAATGCATCAGAGAGATAATGTAATATGCAGGGTAGACTGAGTGGAATTGCTTTCTAATGACCCTCTTCTTTCACAAGAGGCCTTCCTGAGAGACGGAAGGTGGCCGACGACGACTGCATGCGTCTCACCGTCTCCATCCAAAACCATCCAACCCCAGTTCAGACTACTAAAATTCATGGTATAGCTATGTGATAATTTTTCTTGTCTGAACTCTGAAGGTCTTATGATGAAATATTGTATGATAAAATCTCAAGTCACAAAATGTATTTCTTAGCGATTTGTGCATCCTTTCAAATAATAATAATTGATTCTTATTGAGCGCTACTGCAGACACACTGATCTATTACAACAGAAAAGAAACATACAAATCATATTATTTAAGATATTATGAACGAAAAGAAATTTATACTCAAATAAAAGGCAAATGAAAGGCAATGAACTTCAAGTACATCAACATCATATCATATGAAAATCATGAGTTTACATTGAGGAATGGCCGACTGTCATATCAACCGACCTCTTCATGTATAAACTGTAGTTTCTTTACACTATTTTTCCATACATAATGCCTTGTATGTTACATCCGCCCTTCTGTTACACCATGATTCTTTAACAAGGTTTGTACCGTATACATTTCCTTTTGCCTGAATAGTCTTTAAGATCCATCAGGCCTCGCTCGGCCTCCTGATGCATAATGCAACTTGAGACTGACCTGAAATGTGATTACCTGTTCTATTTTGGGCCGGTTCCTATACTTTTCTGGCATACCCGTTTCTGAAGTAATTACCAAAGGAATTTGTGATGTGTCATTTTTTGTAAATGTAAATGTGCATGTACAATACATGCTGAGTTCAAAAGAAAGGAAATTGTCATTTTTAATGTGTTCTTGTAAACTCATTTGGGCCATTCCATGAGAAGAAGGACATGACATCAAAAAAAGAAATGTACCTCTTATGTTAATTCTTTGATTTATCACTAACCTTATGCCATGGATGTTCATAAAACATTAGGGCCTTTCAAATTCAATACAATTTTTTTTCATTTTTGTTGATTTCCTAAGATCTCAAACTATCATCAAAAACGTACATGTGGGACTGTAGCTGAAAAAAAACAATTTATTGCAGATTACACAGGATTCTTGTAATATTTTTTCCTGAAAATTTCGCTAAATGGAAAAAGATGAATATATTTCCATATTCTAAGGGGTCCTGTGATATTTAATCTATTACATAGGGGTGAAAATGGCCTCCGGACAAAATGTAACGCGAGTTACCGTAACGTGAGTTACCGACATATTTGCTTCCTGCATTTTACTAGTCCACTGTTTCTTATCTTTAATATTGTGATCTTATACTAGTAAGTCACAACCTACTATCAAATTAAAATAGGAAAGATTTTGTCAAGATTGTCTAGTATGAGGAGAAAAGAGGGTCTCGTAGAATTGACCATGTCCTTTTTTTGTAACGCGAGTTACCGAAATTCAATAATCCAAGAATCTAAAAATGTTTGTTCTTCAATTTTCTTTTTTGTTTCATTCAGTTGTTCTATATCTACCCTGTCCATGTTTGAAAAAAGTATCTTGTAGATCCTAGCAGTTCTAAAGAT